CGTGCATGAATTTCTAAACGAAAGAAAAGGCCAAGATATACAGAGTAAAGAAGAAAAATTAAGCAAAAGAAAACAAAATGGCCGGGGAGGGGGAAATTTAGGAAAATGGGGTGGCAGGGGATTTAGTGTCGTTCCCTCGGACTGGCAGCAATTCTTTGATCTATTTTGGACTGAATCCTCTAAATCTCAATTAATATCCTCTTTTAATCCCTTTATCAAATCGTCTTTATAGAAGAGTGTCACCCAATGCACTACGCACCAGCGAACACCCTGCTCGAATGGTCTCCGACGCACCCTTGGACTCCAGGCTGGGGTTCACCTCGACCAAGTCCATCGCAATCAGATTCCCGGTCTCATGCACAGCCTCACAGATGAAGTCTCCCTCACGCAACGTCAGCCCACCACGGACTGGTGTACCGGTACTAGGAGCCCACTGCGGATCCAACGCATCGACATCGAAGGACAAGTGAATGGGAGTGTCGTTACCGATGTGAGCGAGAGCCATTTCGACAACGCGACCGATGCCATGACTAGCGGAGGAAGAGGTCAGCACGAAGATCACCACCACAGCCCAGGGAAAACAAAACAGAAAACATACCGGTCGATATCGTGCATACTGAATGCCTTGATACCATTCTCCCGCAAGAGCTTCTTCTCCCCGCGGTCGACATCGCGCAACCCGATATAGACGAGCTTCTGCGTGCTCACGATGTGCTCGTCCTGCATCCAGCCAAAGATATCCTTCTTGTCCTCCCGGGCCAGCCGAGTCAGGAACGCCATCGGCATACCGTGGATGTTTCCGCTTTCGCTTGTTTCGGGAATGTTGATATCGGCGTGGGCGTCGACCCAGATGACGGCCATTTCGCGGCCCAGTCGCTCGCGGATTGCCTTTGCTGTGCCGGAGACGGTGCCGATGGCGATGGAGTGGTCGCCGCCGAGAGTGAGTACGAATTTCCCGTCCTTGGCGTAGTCGTAGACCTGTGAGCTGAGCTTCTCGGTGACGGCGCTGACGGCGCGTGGCTTCTTCATGCCTCGGTGGTCGGGGTCTTCGGCGGGGATGTCATTTTCGTAGTAGTGGACTTTGCTGTCGTGGTGGACTTCGTAGTCGAGGTCTTCGCTGAGTTGGGTTAGGAGGCCTGATTCGATGAGGGCCATCGGTGCTGCTTCGACGCCCTTCTTGCACTGTTGGGGTTTAGTATGAGTTCATGAGCTATAGCTGTAGTTCCACCGGGTGTCTTACCTGGCCGCCATTGAAACCAACGGCAACAACGCCGAGCTGGTTCGGGTGTGAGAGGAACCTCGAGGTAATGGTTGAAGGTTGTGTCATTTTGGAGAAAGCAGGGAGATTGGAAGAGGAGTCAAGAAGAAAGAGAGCTGTTCAGGTGTTGCGATCTTGAAGATCTCGATAAGAATTAAAATGTGGGGGCTCTCGATAAGAATATCTGAAGAATCGTCAGGATAGTCAGGCTGATGTCGATTTGTGAAAGAAACAGAGGATAACTCTTCCTTTAAATATCTCGGACTTGTCTTACAACTTTTCTCACATGGCCCCGACTTCAACCGGGTCGGTGTTTCATTCCTTGCGCGATGCCCGCGAAGTCGCTAAAAACTGCTTTTAGCGATCACAGCGACTCCGCCGGATCTCCATCACTTCCGTTAAGTACAGGTTGAGGAGAGCGCACCCCTTTAGGGCCATTCGGTGTCCCACAAGCCTGGGTTTGACCTCTTACAGCGAGAGATAGGCCGGCAATTCTGTCATTTCATTTCCGGGCTTTGATCCAAGCGCGTGGGGTGGTATCGGAGGTCCGGGAGCCTACAGGGAAGAGAATAATCGCAAGGCCACCGTCTCGGCCACGGTCATGAGGGTATCATTGAGGCCATAGAATACATTCCATACTATACTATACAAGCTATCTCAGGATCAACTCTCGGAGAACCTCTTCTGCCTTGAGTGCCTCCACCCGGCCTTTCTCACCATTGCGCATCATTTGCCCCACAAACCAACCCAGTTTACCCAGCTGCTTCTTGCTACGGATCTGCTCGACCATCTGCGGGTTCAGCGCAATGACCGACTCCGCCAGAGCTAGGTACTCCTCCCGCGACAACGGCCGCAGTAGGAGATTCTCCTCCTCCAGTAGTTGCGGCACTGGCCGTTGGTCCCCGTCAAAGATGGTGGTCAGCACTAGTTTGGCTGTCGGGCCGGTGATGAGTTTCCGCTGCAGATGGTCGATGAGATGCGCCAAGGACCGGGCTGGGACGGTCTCCGCGTCCCATGCCTGATCTGCCTTAGCCAGGAGAGCGCCTAGCTCGTGCAAGACCCAGTTGCTCGCCACCCGCGTGAGACCGGCGCGCGTTTTGTCGTCTTGATCTACTTGAAGAGTGCGGAGGATATCCACCACATCGTGGTAGTACTCGAGACGGGCTCCGTTGTCCAGCTCGATGAGTGGTTTGGCATCTTCGATTGGCAGATTAAACTCGGATCCAACGAGCAGTGTAAGAACAGTGTCTGGTGCTGTCGGAATAGACGCTCGGAGACTAGAGAGCAGGTCCTCTCCAATGACCAGTGGTGGAATATCAGGATCAGGCATGTAGCGGTAGTCGACCGAGCCCTCTTTGCCGCGAAGTCTGCGAGTTTCCGTGCTGCCGATCGTCCACCCACGTGTCTCTCCTTCTACAACACCGCCACTCTCGAGCACCTCGATCTGTCGATTCTTCTCGGCAATGATGGCATCCTCTACCGCCTTGAAGCTGCTGAGGTTCTTAATTTCGGTACGCTGACCCAGCCCGCTGATTCCATCGTACTGATATTGTCCCGGTGCTTCGCCTCGGCGTCGGACCGAGACGTTGACATCTGCGCGGAGACCGCCCATTTCCATGCCCGTAGTCACGGCACCACAAGATAGTAGAATGGCTTGCAGCTTCCGCACGCATGCTGCGGCCGTTGCAGGAGTGTGGATTTGCGGCATGGTGATGATTTCGACCAGAGGATGGGACACACGGTTGAAGTCGAGAAGTTGTCTTGAGCCCCGGTATTCCTGGGATTTGGCTGTGTCTTGCTCCAACTGGAGTTGCTTGATGTCAATACGAATCCGTTCACCGTCCTCCGGGGCGATTCCATCGTAATCGAATAGGTCAACGTAGCCATTTCGGGCGAATGGTTCTAGAGCACGTAAGTATATTCCGCGGGTTGAAGGACAATAACTTACCATAGTATTGTGTGATTTGATACCCCGCCGGCTGATCCTGGTAGAAGTAATGTTTCCGATCAAACCGACTCACTCGCTGTATCTCACAATTCAGTGCAATGGCAGCGCGGAGAGCTGGTAAGAGAGTCGCGATTTGGAATGCCTGTCTCAGATCAGCCCTGTCGCGATTCCACAGCATTGTACACGATAACACTAACCGGCTGGCTACCCGGGAAGGCCAGATCGAACAACGCAACGTTGGAATTGGGGATATCGCTTATCGAAGTTGCCGCCCCTATTCAATTGATGAGACGCCGACTCGTAGTCTCCGAGGTAAAAGGCGTACTCACGAGAAAACAATTTGGTCTCTGTATCCAATTGCGCGTGGATCTCCACGCCCACTGTCAGTTCCCATTCTTCCCTCGATGCCTCCTCTGTTTCCTTGCGTTGTCTTTTGTGTGATCTGAGCGCTTTGGCTTCCTCCTTGAGTTGTTTGCGGAGGGGAACGCGATCGGCGGAGGCTGGCGGTTGGAGATAGCGGGTTGGCGCGGAGGAGAATTGGGCTTTAGTGGATGAAAGGGCTGACCGAGTCAAGCGACGGACGCAAAGAGAGCGGAGCGTACCGCCACCAATACATGACCGAAGCATAGAGATATTGGACTCGTGTTGAGTGTTGAGTCTTGAAAGACGTGAATTTGCGGGAGAAGCTCGGGACTTGGCGATCTGCAGATCATTGGACTTCAGTCTAAAGAGACATATTCTTTTAAACAAACCCTTTCGAATATCATTTTTGTACATTTACAATGCTGTGAGAAAAAGAGGATAGTATTATAAAGTTCTTTTAACACTAGCAGAGTTGTATTCAGTCAAAAATTCGAGATGTTATACACCTTATTCACCCGCGGAGTGTAGCAACGCTCTTGGTTTCGTATAAAATCAAGTATTAATATGTTATAAGACAGTCTAAACATCATAAAGAGAGAAAATAGACCTTTCCTACCAAGACAGCGAAACCTGATACTTCTTCTAGTGCTCTATAGTGTCAGTCTTAAGACTTCAATCCCGCCTGACAATCCATGCATGCTCAGGATCGTATGATGAAGCTCGGCAGATAGCTGAAGTCAAAAGAAGAACAGGGTGCTAATATAATACTTGTTGCCTGTTAAGTGAGCCTGTTCTAGGTTGGATTTGATCTCTCGAACTATATAACCTTCTCGGAGGAGCAGCGATTGGCTCAGTCGCCACAGTAAATGTTTTCCATCGGCTCGAAATGCGGGGATTAAGTCTCCACACCAGCTAGAAAGAGGCATTGGAACGAAATATCAGAAGTAGAAGACTATCCCAAGGGATAGAAATAGCTATACGCAATCAGTGACATAATTGATATAACCTTCTACGTCGAACCGTGGACGATAGCTGTCTCTCAGCCATGTACCTGTTGAAAAGATACAAATCGACTGCATCGAGTCGACCGCTCTTAAATTCTAGCTATTCTATTTCTACTATATAAAACATATCGATAGAGACTAATGAATTTCCATCTGCCATGTTATTGTAGAAGATACACACAGCAACAATTCCTAGCCAATCGCCCTCAAGGCAGCTAGAACAGAATCAAAAACAGTACGAATATCAAAAAGCTTCCGTTTACTCAAGTCGAGGGAATAAAAACGCCAGACACCCTCCAGTTCCACACTGGATCGCAATTGAAAGGCTCCAAAAATCCCACATTCAACGCCAGACTGACAGACCTGCTGCCCGGATTACCTCCACATAAAAAAAGTCGTTATCACATAACATCAGCACGTGTTAAACTCACACATTGATCAAATCATCAAATGTATCCTCCGCCGAGAACGAATAAGACCCCTCAGAGACGAGCGAAGCCTCCGACTCCCGGCGCATCTGCTGCTCAAACGCCTCAGCCGCCGCCGCCGCAGCGGGCTCAAGCTGTAGAGGATCATCAAAGCCAAAAGACATGGCCGTCGGCGCCGGCGCAGACACAGCCACCGCCGCCGTAGCCGGAGCTTGCGTGTGTTCGAGGGGAGAAACTGAGACAGAGGGGTTATCTATTCTGGCGGGCGATTCCGGTAGCCCCGCAGGCGCAGCGCCATCTTTATCGGTAATCTTCTTGACCATCTGGGCGAGGTGAAGTTTAATGGGCTCGTCCCCACACTGAGCATGTTTCAGCACCTCGTTCTTCAGCCCCAGGATCTCCGAGCGCAGCCGGGCAATCTCCGCAACCAGCTGCTCCTTCTTCTCGGACTGTTCCTTGAAGTTGAATTCCAGCTGCTGGGTGTGTTCCTTCTTTTTCTGGCGACACTTGCTTGCAGCGAGACGGTTGCGCTCGAGGAACTTGGCCCGCTTGGCGCGTTCGTGTGGGGCTTCGTCGAAGTCCGGGCTGAGGCTGGCGGTGGTCTTGTATTCGCGTAGGCGCCGGTGTTTGCTCACGCTTTCCATCATGTCTAGCGTGAGGTCCCGGCCTTGGTCATCGTATGGGGGCGGGGTTGGCTGGCCATTCCGGACCTGGGCGTTTTTGAGGTCCCGCTCGAGTGCCGAATGGGCAAATGCTGCCGAGTCGGCCTTATCCCACCCGGTGGCCATTGGTGAAACTGGACTCAGACCCCAGAGTTGGTCGTCGTCTGGAATAGGAAGACCTAGGAAATCGCCTGAGAAGGAGCTTGTGAATGGTGATGGATCGATGAGATTGGTTGCAAGGCCAGGTAACCCTGATGGTAGCCCTGATGGCATTGCAGATTTGAGGTTAGACATGTCAAGGCAAGGAAGCTTTAGAGCGAAAGTTATGTTCCTTCTAAAACATGGAAGGGAGAGAAAGCAAGAGAGCACACTAAGGAAGCTAAGACAGGCTCTCTTGCCCTAATAACCCTAAACAGTCAAAGTCTGTCTTTCCCTTGGAAGCAGGAATGTGGACGGTGCCTGAAGAATCGCAGAGAGTCCAGGTGCAGTCGACCTGGTTGGAGCCACGGTCGGACAAGACTTCCTGCGGTCCAGAAGATCCGAGCGAATGGCACCGGATGAGATGATATTCGGGTGTCACCAAAGAAAAAGAAAGGTAGAAGAGGAATGTCAAAGGATAAAGGAATGTATGAATGTATTTTTATCGCGGTCGTGCCCTGGCCTACTAGGTAAACCCCTTCAACCCTAGGATGCCTATCAAAACATAAAACAACAAAAACAAGGTAAGAGATAGAAGTGAAGAAAAGAACGGTATCCAACGGGATTCAAAGCCGGCCAGCGAAAAACAGGGTTGGGGAATATCCCAACCTCAGTATACAAGTAACAAGTTCAACTCTTTTAGAAATCCAATCAGAGAAACTTCTGGTGTCTCATATGAAACATCCACAACCTGGAATCTCTTTGTCCGATTATTCCCTGCCCACCACGTATCGTTCTTTCGTCCAGTGTTGCAGCTGTCGGTGGATAAAGTGCCAATTATTGAGCAATAGCCCCGCCACGCGTTGTTCCTCAATCTCCCTTTCCACTGCTGAGATTCCTTCGTCGTTGGCTTGCCCCCTGGCCCCTAGGAGGAGCGGTCCAAACACCCGCGCCAACTCGTGGAAGTTGGGACTCGCCACTGGATCACGGAGCTCCATCCCGGGGTCCTGGGCGTCGGTCTCCACATTCACCAACAAGGAAAGAAGCCCAAATACCGCACAGATAAGGTCGAGCTGCATCTCAGGCGCAAGGGCGATGAGCGCAAGACAGATAAGCTGCACTCGGGCGGCGGTCGTTGGGCTTGCCTCAGAGATACAATCTGGCACACGGAGCAGATGGGATGGATTGGGGGTCCAGTGATAGTACATCGCCCTCAGGATTCGGTAGAGCCGGACACTCCCGAGGATCCCGTTTGGAAGCCCCGCCAGCACGGCCCTTAACGCCCAGGCGACACTCAGGACGGGCGCTGAGTCCTCACGGAGCTGGGGCATGGCAACTACACGCATCGTGAGGGAAATCTTAGATTCATCTTTCTCTGCCTCTAGCACCTGGCTAGCAAAGTGCTCATACAAGCGAATGGCGACTTTCAGATCGCCGGGCTGGACGAAGATCTCGGGAGTGTTAAGACCTGCAGGAACCCGAGTCAGTTCAGTCGTGACGTAGAAGAAGCAGCCACCAACCATATTTGTGCAGAAACATCAGCGTTGCCACAATGTATGCGGGGAGCTGCACGGGACAGGGGGCTAATTCCGTCAGCATAAGATAGCCATGTCCTCCAAGACGGGCCAAAGTCTGAATCGATCTTCCTTGCAACGAAGTCATCGTACTGGGGCGACGAATATTCGCCAATGTTTTCATTCGTCGCAGTTTAGGAGCTGGTACCAAGGGAGTTGTATCGACATCCAAACTGGATCGCACCTTGCGAACTCTGCCCAACAATCCAAATCCACGACGACTCGTGGCTTGTTCGGGATTGCGCTCTGATGCTATAATCTAGTCAGTGGCAACCCAGGCCCAAACAAAGACAAAACGTACGTGGGCTTGGAGTATCATTAAATGGAATGGCAAGCGAGATCCCAAACTGAGCTGCCATCTTGTTGTAGGCCGCGATAGCCTTGGGCGAGTCAAGTGTGCTACTCCAACTAATTCGACTTGTTTGGCTGTTGGCCGAACTTCCCCCCGGACGTTCGATGACCGATTCAATTGTGTCGAAATCAGTCTCGGCGATAGGCTCCAGCGTCGCTTCAGAAGCCCTGGATGATTCCTCGCGGCTCGTACCTGCACTATGCCTCGAACTCGATTTTCCTTGTTTAACGTCGGTCGCCTTCCCATCTGAGAACGGGTCCGAACCCTCGTGAGTATGCTTTTTGGTATTGCTGCTACTATCGTCAGGGTAATACAGCATCAGTCCCGGCCATCCCCATTCCCCCAAAGGCCCCTGAGTTGGCATCCCGAGGTGCTGGGCAGGGGTTTGGGAGACAGTAGCCTCGGTTTGACTGGACTCCTGAGAATGAGTCGTTTGAGTGCTGACCTTCCGCCCCTCTTTCGGGTTATCGAACCTGACAGACTTGCCAGCTGTGGATGATTCCCCGGCAGCAGTATCTTGCCCAACGGGGTTGGAAGTCAACGGTTTGGAGCTCGACCTCCCTTTGCGGGCACCCTCCTGTGCAGCTTCAAGCTGTGTGTCCGTGATGGGGTCATCTTCCTGGGATAGACTGCTGCGCAAGCGAGTAACCATTCTCTTCAGACGCTTGGTGCCATTCTTGGACCGAGTAAGTTCGCCCGTATCTTGGGTGTGCTGAACAGTCGACTCAGTTTCGGCATTGTCAACGGGGGTTGCTACAGCCGAGCTAGGTGCCTTGTTCGCATCGCTGGGTCCTGCTTCTGCTGTCGGGTCCTCATCGCATTGTATCTCATTCGAGGCGGCTTCGGGCTGATGCTTCAATGGGTCTTCCTCAGACGTTGGACGTCGTCGTGGCCAGACAGTACGAGATGCAGCAGGGTTAGATGGCTCAGTCTTGGACCGGAATACAGTTTTGAGACGCCGCATGATTATATTTGGATAATGTATACGAGAGGAAGAGATGGTGATGAAGTAGAGCTAGAACAGGGGCGCCGGGTTGTGACTTGGACAAGGTCCTGCCCTCGAGGAAGGAGCTGAGATACATGAGGAAGTCACGTTCTACCTTCTATAGTCCTGGAAGAACAATAATTAAGATAATGCTTAAGCATCATTGACATTCAAATCTTCCGAGTCTATTCTGTGCCAGTGCTCGTAAAAAACAAAAGAGAGCACCGGTTTTGGAAACCATGTCATTACCTCTGTACATTCGTAAAGCCCAAAATTAAAAAAAATAGGAATAGTCATGACCTGGGTCCATATGCTCTCGGGCATTTCATATGTTATCTTCGTCTTTCGAGGTCTCGAAGAGCCACAGGACAGATCAAAACGCCGGAACCATGCAAAACTGAATATGTATGGGGAAATTATTTTCTCGAACTCGATCATGCTTCCTCATTCTCTCCCTCGAGAAGAATGTAGTGCAGGATATCACTCAGAGTCAAAACGCCCTTGAGCTTGAAGTGCTCATCCACGACGACGAGACGGTGCACTCGAGATTTGCGGATAGTATCAAAGATAGTATCCAGTCCATCATTCAATGAACATGTGTAGATACCCGGGAAACCCTGCGCAGAACATCAGTATCAGAACGATATCACTAGGAACGGAGGTTCATTTACCGGCGAACGTTTCTTCAATGCTTCCCCAACCGTGAGACTCAAGTCATCGTAGAAACCACCCTTGATCAAAGTAATGACATCGACCGACTCGAATACATTATACACCACACCTTCCGAGTTCACGATCGGTACACTGGATATGCTGCGCTCGACCAAAATATGGATGACATCAATAACCGGGGTATCCATCGAAGCCGTGGCGACGTTATCATACGATCCAAGCAAGAGCTCGCCCAGCGGACGACGGAGCTGCTGCGTATCGGGGACATTGACGGCAACGAATTTCAAGATACGGTATTGCGTGATGACGCTGAGAACGTGGGGCCGCTCGGTCTGGCTATCGCTGGTGACGAGGGGGATACGGCGGGCGCGCGATTCCAACATGCGCCGACAGGCATCGTAGAGAGGGCGCTCGGGGTCGATGGAGACGGTCTCTGGCGGCGCGACGCCTAGCGCTTTTTCAACCTCTGTATATTCCCGTTAGCTGCGGGGTGTACCTGCAGAGATGGGGCGACACGATCCAACGCACCTCGCAAACTGTCCAGGCGGAATTGATCGATCTGATCCAGCGCCGCGGGGTTTTGGAAATAGTATTGGATGACATTGATATAGTCGGAAGTGGTCAGAAGACCTGCGAATTTGGACGCTTTGGAGTCCCACAACGGAGCTGAAACGATGCCTGTACCTCCCGATTTCCGGGCTCACGATCAGCTTGAGTTCAATAATTTTGTAGAGAAGGAGGGGGAATCGCGACAAACATACCGTTTTGAATCAGAATGTTCAGACTCTCCTTGACGGAAAGCGACGTATCGAAGATGATGAGTCGGAAGCTGAGCGGCAGGACATCGTAGGAGTTTCGGGCCTTAAGGAAATCGCGAATGGCACGCTATTTTCTGCGTTAGTCAAGATCTGGATATTCCCAGGTGATCTAATCTGGTGACTGGTGAACCCATGCCGAAACACGTTCACAATGTCCGATCCCCATGTCCAACGTCAGGTATAAAGAGGGGTTGTCTCCCCTTGAAAAAGCAAAAACGGACAAGACTTACAAGGCCCTGTCGCTCTTCCCGATCGATCGCTCGCTCGGAGGCCATTGGGGGGCGTAGGTACGAGGATGGGCTGCACGAAAGGCGCGTGACCAGAGGAAGGTCCCGAGTCGAGGGTCTTCCGCCTTTCGATATGTGGGGGGTTGAGGGATCCTACGCAACCCAGATTGAAATTTATTCGAGAGATTAAAGGAGATTAATGGAATACTTTCCGATTTTCTTCCCTATTTTCAGAGATTATCACATTCAGTTAATTATTTCCTGCGAATGAGGGGGCTGCAAGTACGCGGACTATACGGGAATACCAAATGATCCTTGTTCAACGATGTAAGTTGTATACGACATGGATAACCTGGCGACAACTGACACCTAGTTCCTCAGGCATATCCCCAGATTCCGTCTAAGAAAATCTTCCATCTGGACTAGGACGTGGGGCAGCCACCGACTTCCGGATATAGAGCACAATGTCCGAGAACATTTCCTCATCAGGGCCAAACTCATGCTGCTCATAACCCTCCAGCATTGCTCTGACTCGCGGAGAATCAGGATCAGTCCTAATGAAAATATTAGCAGACTGAACAGAGGGTAGAACATGACCTGACACTCACAGCCCCCGAACAAGTCCATCGTTGTCCCCCACTCGACCCCAAATAATAACCGCAGGCCGAGCAATGTCCGTAATAATCTCCTTGACAGGCACATTCGGTGCTATCGAGAGTATGATCGAGTGCTCGTCCACCTCGAGCCAACCACGCGGATCTTCAATTACCTCGATGCCGGCCTCGTCCAGAATCTTCGTGTCTACCTCGGTGTAGTCCGGGTCCTGTGCGTAGCATACGACTTTCTCTTTGTTGTCTCTTTCTTTTAGCCACTCCATAATGGTAACGAAGAGCGCATGCTGAGACGCAGATCGCCACCCATTCCTGGTATACAGACTGCCATCCGCATTGAAACATTGGAAGGACATCGCGCCCAGAGCGAAACCGACGACCTTGTCAATTTCATGATTCTTTGCAGAAGATAACAGGATTGTCTTGAGTTTTTCGCAGGCTAGACTCTCCTTCCATTCCTCGGCCTTGTCTTGGAATATCTTTGTGACCACTTCACGGTCCAGGGGACCACGCCGCGGGATGATTTTCTCGGTCTTACTATCCCATTCGTGTGTCCGATGCATGACACTGACTGAGCAAGGCTCCCAATGCGACAACGGGTAATCTCTTCGGTTGATCTCGTTCCTGAGAGATGCTCGACACCGGTAAGAAAGGACCAGTTCCTTGCTGGATGATGTTAGTTCTCGCCATAATGTGAGGCTATTAGACATGTACTCACCACACAAATTCCAATGCCAGATCGTCCTCCCACCATTGCCGAACCTTTCCCGTCTCGACGTCGCACTCAACAACCGCGCCGGTTATGTCTTTGCTAAGTATCTTATCGCCTTCGACTGGGTCTCGCTTGATGTGATCCCACATATCTTGAATGATCTCTTTGGTGAAAAATGGCACCCCGGATGCGTAGAGTCTATCGATAATTGCCTTTGCTTCCTCCAGGGTTGGCACCTCCCCAGGTTCAACCAAGTAACAATGTGTGAGTTTGTAGTCAAGATCTAACCGCGAGATTTTTTCTCCATCGACAGGCTCCAGATTGTTTACGTCGCTCATGTTGGCGATCTGGATAGAATAGGTTTGAGTATGAACAGGAAAAGGAAAAGGAAAAAAAGGGAATAATTTATTTTGGGGCCGTATGTATCTATATACGAGCATTGCTATTGCGGCCGGCGCGTAACTGCGCATTCATCATGCACCTACATATCACATGAGCGGGGTACAATCAATGGTAATCATAATATCTACTGATAGCTGAGTGGAGAGAAAGCGGCTATAGGACGAAAGAAATGATATGTTTCGATACTCCCAACCTGCCTAAGATATCCAAAGAGGCCCCTATCCCGACCTCATGGCTGTGACAACATCCTTCCGGATAAAAACCATAGCACCCCTGAACTTTCCGTCAGACACGAGTTTCGGATCGAGTCTATGATCCTCGTACTCCTCCATCATTTTCGTGATGCGGGGGGTCGAGTCAGGGTCAATCCTAGCGAGCATTCATGTTAGCTTTGGGATCAAATCTCATAGCACATATTAGAAAGTCCAATTAATCACTCACACAGTGCCCTTCGTTTGTCCAAAGCGAAGCCAGATCACCATGGCAGGTCTAGCGATATCCACGATGATACTTTTGACAGGTATGTTGGGTGCTATGGACAGCACAATCGACCGGTCATCAACCTTGAGAAAGCCATCCGGATCGTCAACCACCTGGATGCCGACACCGTTGAGGACTTCCCTATCGACAAGTGTGTACTCCGGATCCTGCACGTAGCAAGAGAGCTCCTTCTCACCCGGCCGCTTCTTTCTCAGCCAGTCCTTTGCGGTAAGCAGCAACGCGTGCTGGAAGGCAGAGTTGGGTCTGCCTAGCCGGGACAGGCTACCGCAAGCAATCCCGACGATGTTGTTGATTTTGTCAGCTCTGGTTGTTGACAAAAGCACTTCGAGAGTCCTGTGGGCCTCACTTGTTTCCCAGGCCCGTCTCTCCTTCTCGAAGGTAACACCCGCATGCTTGCTACTCCATATTTCTTCCTTTGTACCGAACGGATATACCTCATGCGTCAGTCGCAGGGGAATGAGCTCCGAAATTGGAATGTCAATGCCATCCGGATATCTCATTATGTCCGCTATGAGCCTTCCTGCATGATTGTAGTCGATGGCAAGGTCCAAGCTAGATGTGTCAGCTCTCATTGAAACAAATCTGCCAGTAGCTAAATCAAGCGTGAGTTGAGTAACTTACTAGATATATTCCCGTTCAACGGGATTTGCGAAGGTTGTCGAGAAGAAATGATGTCCCAAGTTCACTGTGCCCTCGAAAACAGCGCCGGTGAGGCCCCTCACGGTGACTTTGTCTCCCATGGTACGTCGGCTCTTCAGCTGCTCCCCGAGATCTTGGAGCGCCTTTTTGGTGAAAATTGGCCGGCCGGCTTCGTACCATTGATTGACAAAGTCTATCGCCTGCTTCTTTGTCATCGTCAGCTGTTGACGAGTCGAAGTGTTCGATGAGTCTGTGTCCGGCTGGGGTTTCCAGTGCAAAGACTCTGAGCGCACTGCAGTCATGATGATAGGAGTCGAAGTCTTGCAGAACTGAGAAGCTGGGTTGAATATCAAGAATCTTCTGAGGGTTGTAGCTTCATATTAATACATCTTGGAGGACATTGCTCAAAAAGCCTACGCTGCGAACATGTAGTAGAAGACAGTATACCACATCTTCTACCACATTCGCGTGACACGTTAACATCCACTAGGCGAGCACAGTCTGTGTCCAATTGTTTCAGCTACTTCTGTTTCCTGTGTTGGTTGGACGATAGATTGTGGGATATGACTTGAATTGAAAATCGGTAGAAGGGAGAAAGCGCTCTCAGACAAGAAACAGAACAGATATAGCCCCATTTAAGCCATAAATAGAGATCATGGTTCTTATTGTGGCGTAGTGTTAGTACGCTATATTATTTTCCACAAGCGCTTAATCCGAGGACCTGCAAGAAAATAGAAGTCAGACATGACTCAAAGTTCTTAACCATCTGAATATTCCCCATGGTAGCCTGACAGACAACATTTTGCCCTGTACCAGGAGGATTAGACAACTGGGAATCTCAGGAGTCGGCGCGTACCATCCGTCATGCGCCCAGGAATATAGTATAGTACAAGAGATATAGAAGGAGTCAGCGGATGCGAATGAAGAATGTGGGAAAGAGCCATCCATCGCTTTTTTATCTTATATTAATCAAAGCCATATATATTATATACATGGCCATTTACTGCAAAGGCAACACGAACTATCTGACAACGTGTTGACATGCAAGAACTATTGTACTATAGGCTTCGGCGGACTTTCAATTAATCTGTTAGATGATGTATATTAAATTTTCATTGAAAGAAGTTGTTTGTGCCGAGAGAAGGAATTAGGGCGAAGAGTGACAATCAATAGTAACCAGTAACCATCTACCTATTTATAGGCCTGCAGGGGTATGGATCCCGAAGTAGCAGGCTAGCGACGTACGAGAACAAGAGCTGAAGGAAGGCAACCGTGCTGTTGGTAGAGCAAAGCGCCAGGAAACCGAATGAAATCATGGCTATCATATGATATGGCTCTAAAGATAAATATGAGAGGCAAAAAGCCCCCAAACCCAACCGGTAACGCCGTCGCACCCATGCAAGGTATCATCGCAAAGCACATTTTGTCCAAATTCTAGACCAGCCAGAACCTGATCCCTTGGGAGGTAAATACATGAGAGAACTGTAAGAGACGCGAAGCTCGACGAATCTCAACGAGAACTGAATATCCGTAGCCGGGCCTAGAGGTGCCCGTGTAACTTGAATCGGTAGATGCAGGTGTGGTTTGCACCCCAATTTGAAGTCACTCGGAAAACAACCTTGTCCACACGGATGGTTGACACGTCGACAATGGTGTTCAGCTTGAATGCTTGCGCGTAGTCTGGGCCGTGGAGGTCGTATTCCACTTTCCCGATGCGGTAGAAGTTGGGGCCGAGAATTGGGTCATCCGAGTAAGCGCTAGGGGGCTCAAAGGGGTTGCTCCGACGCAATAGATCCATTACCAGCCCGTGAAGTGAGCCAATTCCAGGGATTAGGAATCCTCCAAGTCCCGTTTCACGGGACGAAGGGGCCTGGGTGAACGGTGGCGGTTGTGACACTGTGGCATCTCCGAAGACTTTCAGGAAGCCAACACGGCCAGGTTTAGCCTCGGGTGTTGGTTTGGCTTTGATTGGTATTTTGTGGGGGTTCACTTTGAAGCGAGCCCACACCTCGATTGTTCGAGGTGCCGCCTCTGGTTCGAGAGAAGCGCCCACGGGAATGTGCTCAACTACCAACTCTTCTGCCACGATATCGCGGCCGAGAAGTACAGATAGTTGAGTCGTTCCATTGCGAGGAGCACTGCACCAGCAGTCGCCTACCTCTTCCCACGTGGTAAGGGCAGACATGGGGGATTGTGGTGCTCGAATGGAGCGCCTGGCAACAAACGAGCTCGCCCAGAGGAGTGCTCGTAATGATGCGCTCTGTTTGGGACCCAAAGTCGGTGAAGTTTTGGCTGGGTCAATCATTGCCCCCAATGCCACCGAGAGGAAATTTACCTTATAGATTGGCTTCCGATGGAGGTTTGCATCTGTGGGCGCTGAATCATGAACGTTGGAAAGCGACTGTTCTGATCGAACAGAATTGATCTCATTCGACAATGATGACATCTGAACGTCCAATTTTGATACCTGACTCCGAAGGCTATGGAAAACTTCCGGTTTAGATATGTTTATGTTTGAAGAGGAATCCCAATCCAGAGTACCGTGGTCCAGATATTCACGAAACTTTGCGGCGATGAGGGGCACGAAGATGAAGCTCAGAAACAAAAGCAGATAGAACGCAGCCCGAATCCAATTTTGGTAGCGGCCCTCCATTGCTGCTTCAAATGTCTGCGTCCAGCTTTTTCGTTGTGACTCGCTGGGGGGTTCATTGCGACTCTCTGGCTCCCGACGACTCTCTGGCTCCCGACGACTCTCTGGCTCCCGACGTCGGGGTCGCGCTGCTCCTAGCCATCGACGCAAAACGCTTTCCTTGGGGATGTCGGGCTCGAAATCTTGATATATCGCCGGTTCAAACTCGGCGTCTTCCTCATCCTCCTCGAGAACATTAGCCAGGCCAGAAACTCTTCGAGGAGGCGCCGTGATGTTGCGTCCATGTTTGCTTGGCCGCGTTCTTTGTAGGTCATCTTCGTTAATATCACGTTCTAGATTCCAAGACGCGACAGAAACATTATCAACGGAGCTGTGGCGGAATGGCGTGCTGCTGCCCGAAGGATTATTAATACGAGGAGATCCCATCCGTTGAAGCGGCGATGGATAAAGCGGAGAGTTTGACAAGTGTCGTTGCAATGGGGGTTGAGCGTCAGGACTAGAGTCCGTAGAGATCGAATGTGGAACTGGAGGCGAAGGAGTCTTATCGGAGTGTTCATCTACTGCATTATGCAGCGACTGCTGAAGCTGGGTTTGGTCGGGGGTTGGCTCACGCTTTGACTGGCGTGCTTGAACGCCTTGTTTCTTCTTCGTAGCGGCTGTTCGCTTTCGAGCAGTCTCAAGACGGGCATCGACTACCCCAGCTATCTGATCTATCCCCATGTTGGGTCGGATCGACATGCGCTGAGGTAATGCTGTGGTAGTAGCAGCGCCATAATTGAATGATGCTTGAACTGGAACACTGGGCAAAACAGGCCCTTGCACAAGGTCGAGTATTGACTCAAATTCGGGTTCCTGATGTGGTCGTTGAGGAGTTGCGCCAGCCCGGCGTGTAGCACGTTTGGGCGGCATCTGTGTTGTTAACCCCTAGGGTTGATTCCAAAGATTATACTTTGTTCTTGTTTTGTATCTATTTGAGATATCAGCTTTGGACTGGACAGGTAAAGCTAAAGAACCCAGACAATGGGATGGCCAATGTATCAATTGAAGCCTTGCAGATACTAAATATTGATTGAAACACAATATCCACACATTCATGCACAAGACATAATGCGACACGAACTGGAAATGATGGCACGCGAATGGAACATATGCAAGTATGGTGGACCAGGGCCATTACCACAACTACAGAGCAAGAAAAAGAAGTGACAACAATCTCAGACTTACCACAGAACAGATTGAAAATGCGCTCTGACAGGCCGGGTGCAGATGTCCGAAGCCTGTAGATCGCGACCCCGGAGAGACGCGCAGACGCGACGGTAACGTGACTTGCAGCTGCCAGCTATCAGCATCCGAGGGTGATGCCACTCAAGAGGTCAAGAAGTGTTCGCTTTATTTCAATGAGAGCGACAATTTGGTCTGAATCGCCAGGGATCCGAGGGATAACTCAGGAGGTTGAGTGAAGTGAGGAAAAGTAGACGAGGGAAAAGGGTGGAGGCCTCTTGAAGATCACTGAAGAATCTCAAATCTCGACTTTTTGAGCTGTAATTCACATCGAACTCTGCATGGAATTACTTGTTCTTTATATTTTTGTTGTTCTTTATAGAATACAGTCTCACTTCCATTGTCTTTGTTGTTAGATCTCTTTGTCAACCCTTGCGCCTCGGACTGCTACGATCTTGACACTATTTTTGTTTCATTTCCTTACATCCCTGTTTGAAGGACTTTGTTCATGTTGTATATAGAATGACTAACGTGATGCTGCTCCTGATTCGCCCGGTCGCTACTAAGACATAGATTGAATACTATACAATGGACGCAAAAAGGCTGAGCTGAAAAGAAGATGAGACCCCCGTCCCCCCAAGTATGCACCCCTAGGAAGAGATCTTACACGTCTAGCATGTCCAGGCAGCCATAGTGCCATCTTTACGTCCCTCCACAAGGTAGCCATCTTTAAGACAAACCCGCTCAACGGTTGCAGGGAGTGGCCCGTCGTCATCAAGCCCAACACCTGGACCACAGTCCCAGTGCTTGCCATCGGCCTTGTCATAGACCTTGACCACACCCTCCCCGGCAGCGGCCACGATCCGTTTGGAGTCGAACATCATATCGGTGATCGGCTTGTCATAAGCGTAAGCGTCATAAATAGATCCCATGCGTAGATCCCAAATCTGTAGATAATTAGAAACAATGGGTAAGCAGGAAAGCAAAAACTGGAGTGCGTACCCGAATGCTGCGATCAAGACTACCCGTGACCAGATGCACGTCGTCAAATTGAAGACATGTGACCGGCCCCGTGTGTCCGACGAGGCTCCGGTGGACATGGCCACTGCGCAAATCCCAGAGACGGACCATGCCATCTGCTGTACCGCATGCCAGCGCGGCGTCAAAGCACTGTACTGCGCCAATAAAGTCGGCCGAAGCATCGGGCGTGCGACCCGATGGTCGCCAGTCAGTGTCTCCCATCATAGATGACGATGCTTGGGCGGCCGCCCACAAAACATCCAGAGTTTGGACACAGCGGCCTGTGACTAGATCCCATTGTCTGAGCGTCTTGTCTGCAGAACCCGAGATGAGGGTGTCACCCTTGAAATGAAGCGCTGTCACCTCATCGACGTGTGCCTCCAGCGAGAATACATTGCAGTCTTCGAGGTTAGAGGTCGGCGGTGCCGGGAAGTTGTGTTCTGCCTTTCCCTCTTCTTGGTCACGCTCGTGCTTGTTGAGGCGCCCGTCCCGAGTCGTGGGCCGAGCACGGCTCAGGTCCCACAGCTTGACAGAGGCATCCATAGACCCCGTAGCAACAATGTTATCTTCGACTTGCAAGCAGCGAACCGAGGCATTGTGTCCCTCCAAGAAACCAGAGCATCGGCCGACATTCATGTCCCAAACCCTCACGGTATCATCTAGTGCAGCACTAACCATAGTACCAAACGGATAGTCGAAGTCAACTGCTGTGACCATGTCGGTGTGCGCTTCTATTTCCTTGATCAAAGACCCTGGGGCAAAGTGTTCATGTAGAATTGGCATCGACCGTTTCCCTAAATCAGCTGTCAGTTGTGATTCGTGTATCAGACAGAAGGATTCCATACGATTACTTCGATGTCGTAGACTTTTCGGTGAAGATGAGGGGAGCTTCTCGTAAATCGATTCTGACATGAACGAAGCGTCCATCGCTGGATCTCCGGATGACACAATAGAACCATCCTGGCCGTCTGACCGCGGCGTCGCTACTGGTGTGTCCTGTGATACCTCTTCTGGGAAATCTTCCAGCTTATTATCGAGATCGATCACTGTTCCATTTTAATCAGTTTTCTCCGCATAATCTCGTTTGTCTCAAAACATCGACCCACGTTCTTGCTCCAATCCCGCTTCGTCCATTTCCAAGCCGGCCAATCGATCGAGAACAATCGTGCGGATTTTGTGCAAGTTGGCGACCTTGTTATCGATTTCGTGGATCTCTGCGCTGCACATGTTTTTCCGGATTCCCATCAACTCCAATTTGCGACTCAGTGATTTCCGCTGGTCCTTTAACCCGGCCGGGCCGGCATTCAAGCTGCCGCCTCTCTCGGCGTCCTTGAGAAGCTTCCCCTTGGAGCTCCGCCTTCGGTGTCGCTTCTTCTCGGGTTCATCGGGAACGGAGGCCTGGAAGCCTTGGAAAAGGGAGTAGGAGCTGGTGTCTTCAGGAATGTTGGCAAGAAGATCATCCGAGAGGAACGAAAGGGCACGGGACTGGATCTCGGTAGTTGAAAGCTTTGAGCGGACAAGGTCGGTCGGTGTTGTTTGTGTTAGAGAGAACACCTTGCGCTGCGTAGCCGGTCGACGCAGCTCGCGGTGGATGTCGGACATAGCATTGTGCAAGTTGGTGGCATTCTGTTCGCCCGGTCCGATCAGGTGTCCTGCGGTCGTCGTGACTTTTCGTCCGAAGGCTTCGAGGTGACGAGTCTGCAATTACCGCAGATGAAATCCAATCAGTCTGTAGCTTGGTGGGAGGCGTCGGAGGGTGGGAAAAAGCCTACCGTTAAGCCGGTGCCCAAAAGGCCATCGCCCTCGACGATATCTGACAGACCCGACGGTGAGTCGTCGCGACGCTGGTTCTCCATGAGACGGAGAGTTTCTTGGGCTCAACCGAAACCCATGCGATATGAGAAGAGGAAAGTTGGAAGCTTGCGGTAGGTTGAAGTAGGAGACTTGGTGTCACGCGGATTTACCGCGTTCCCCGGGTACTGCCGTATGGTACTTTTACAAGCCAAAACCAGTTAGGTACTTATGTAAATCTCTATGTGTGCGGAGTATGCGCTGTCACTTTGGACTTGCCCTAATTCAAGTGACTTGGAACAATATTTGGTCAAAATGCAAGGATGTTCAAGTGTGTTGATTCTCGATTGTGGTATTTCTGCAACTGCCTCGGTCGCATATGGTCAAAAGTACCCAATGCGATAGATCACTATACACTAGAGCATCGTAAGGGTTCTAGTGTTTGTTCACCGTTTTTTCTATTCAGAAATTGTTGAGCCCTGCATAGAAGAATGATGTAGAGCTTTCTGACACAGCATATTTCTTTTCCACCCCCTCTTCTACAACGTATAAATAGGAAGACGAGCGGAGTGGACTTGAAGCCGGAACTCACTTCGCGGTCCCACAGACTCTCCATCTACACATCACCATATATCAAGCCATGGATACCGCCATTGACCTTTCGGATGCTCTCAAGGCATTGGACCTTGCTAATATTCGTTTCCAGTTGATGTGAGCTCTCACCCTTTCCTTCAGCTGCAAGACTCCCCATATCTTTCCCCCGTCCCCGCCATATCCTTCAATACACACTATAGCTCGAAACACCACAATTCCCCAGACTCCACCACAGTGAGAGCCGCTAGCTAAAAGTACAGACACGCAGTCGACTAGAAGACACAATTACCTTCCATCTGATCGAACGGGTTCAATTCCCGCTGAACAAGACCATCTACGTCCCCGGCGGCGTCAAAATCCCCAACAGCGAGCTCAGTCTGCTAGACTACCTGCTCCGCGAACAAGAGCGCATACAGTCCCGAGTTCGCCGCTACCAATCGCCTGACGAGTACCCCTTCTTCCCGGAAGTGCTTGAAGAGCCAATCCTGCAGCCGCTGGTATACCCGCGCATCCTGCACGAGAACGATGTCTGCGTCAACGACGTGATCAAGGAGCGATACATCAGCGAGGTCCTACCAGCAGTGTGCCCCAAGTTTGGACGGGAGGACCGTGGCGAGACACAGGAGAACTACGGCTCCGCGGCGACCTGCGACGTTGCTTGTTTGCAGGCGCTATCGCGCCGCATTCATTTTGGAAAGTTCGTTGCCGAGTCAAAGTTCCAGAAGGATCCTGAGACTTTTGTGCGTCTGATCAAGGCCGAGGACCGGGCGGGGATCGACGCTGCTATTACTAATTCTGCTGTTGAGCTCAAGGTCCTTGAGCGTTTGGGCCTCAAGGCGAAGACTTATGGCACTGACCCTGCTTTGCCTGATGAGAATGGTCCCAAAATTAACATTGATGCTGTCGTTGCTATGTACAAGGTGCGAAATGACATTTGGGGTTTTGCTTTTAGGTGTATATTCGCTGACTTCTGTGCTACTTTGATAGGAATGTGTCATCCCATTGACCAAGATTGTCGAGGTCGAGTACCTCATGCAGCGACTCAAGGGCACACAATGGGAATAATGAGCACCTGAACATTTATGAGAATGACGTGGCCGATGCAACACTGTCCTCGGGATATACAGAAAACAAAAGGCAAAGCAAAATAAGCTAGAACTCAATAGATTTTGTCGTAAACAGGACATGAAATGCATCAGACTACAAAGTCTTAACCTTGGCTACGACATGTATTGCGTAAGAGCCTTAACCATAGGCTCAAACTTGGCCGCCTCAATCAAAATCAAGCTGCCTTTCGTCCGGATACCCAACTCCTGGAACGCACGCTTCGAGTCTGCGTGCCCTTCATCGGACTGATGGGTATAATCAATAGAGCCAGCACACAGCGCATGGCGCTCTATAACCTCATCTTCGGGGTGGAAGAAGAATCGCTCGGCCTGCTCACCACCCTTCTTCTTTTTCTTCTGGGGCCGCGACTCTTGCTGATCAAGCTTTGACTCGACTTCCTCGTAGTTCTTCGAGAGGACCAGATAGTGTGAGAATGTGTAGGGCTCCTTGTCCTCAACAGCCCAGGCAATCTCCTCCTGGAGCATGTTGTACATGGGAGGGACAATCTCGGACGGCATGTTGATCAGCCGCTCGGTCAGAATGAGACCGATAGGAGGGATCGGGGTTTGGGAAAGGAGCTGGGAAGCGGCGGAGAGGGACGGGTTGGAGGCGGCTTTGGTCTTGAGGTAGTTGATCAGGTCCTTGACGACGGGTTTATCCTGGGAGCAGATAGTTAGTACAACGAAGAGGCGAAGATCCGGAAGTAACGAACCTTGTGTTCCTGCAGGTTGATAATTGACAAAACCGCGTAGGGGTCTGATTCATGTCCATCAACCTTCACTGTTGATCCCAGTGTTGGCTGAGAGAGAATCAAATCGGCCAGCGCGGACAGGTCGAAGATCTGAGCATCGTTGTCGAATAGTTGGCGCAAGAGATTCTTCAGGCCGTGGAAATCGATAGGCTGGGGGTCGAACCATTCGAAATCTACATTGACCATGTCCATATCCTGCAGTCGTCATGATTGTTAGCAATCCGACGGCACACAGTCCGGGGTTCAAGTCTGACCTCGTCGGAGTCGGACTCCTCTGGCTTGGTGCCGCCCATGGTGACATCACCAGGATCTTTCCGCTTGACCATATTGTGCTAATTGAGGTATTTTTGTCTGGGATTGGTAGAATCGGAGTTCAAAAGTTGATCTTGGCCCCGCGTTCGGTGCTGTCGAACTTTTTCCTTATCGGTTGTTATCGCCAGCGTAGGTCATTGTTGGCTGTTTTCCGTCGATGGATGGATTTCAATGTTCTATATTAGGCTTTATATATCATTTAGGGTCTTAAGACAACTTGAAAGAAGACTCTAAAAAAGATTTGTTAATTTATAGGGTGTCATTGACAAGCTGTCTGGGCGTAATGGTTGATATACTTGCACCTAAGATATACCAATACACTACCGAAATCCAGAATATAACAGCGTCCGAAGCTTCATAGAAATGCCCATCTATATACTGTGTGGTAAAATACAAAATCTAAAGATACCTGCTTTTTCAAGCCGAGCCCCCAAGTCTAGACATCATACTCAACCGCCTCGACAGTCGGCACTTTATGAAGCTTAATATCAAAGAACTGAGCGACAAGCTGCACACAATCCCAAATAACCTGGACCTCCTCCTTAGGGACACCAAGGCGCCTCGTACCACGAATGTGCCAATGAGTCTCCTTGGGCAGATTCTGAATCATGATACCAGGCAGCACAACAAGCTCAGTATCAACATCATCCAAGATCTGACGATCTGACAAGAACAGCCCGTAAGTAATCTCCTTGGACAGCCAAGAAAAGTCCTTATGCGCACTGAACAAATCCAGCGTGCCAGTAGTGTTGCGCGCATACAGTTTCTGGAGCCACCCAGTGCCGCGCTCGTGGTTGGCCTCGTCGCATTGCCATCCCTCGCGAGTGAAGGTGAAATCCTTGTCCTCGTCGCGCTCAACCTCGGTAATGGCCAGGATTGACTCAATGGGCTTGCATACTCCGATAATAGGCACGGCTTTGACAAGCGCCTCGCGCAGTCGGCGGATCAGGGCTTGTCGGGCTGCTGAGGTCGCATATTCTGCTTGCTGGGTGAGGTGGAGGTAGAGCTGGTCTGCTCGCTCTGGGTCTGGGCCGGCGGCTAGTGTGGTAATGGCTAGTATGTACCATTTATCGCTGCCCAGACTGGTAGTTTTGAAGCGGTTCTCTAGCTCAGTGAAAAGTTGGCGGTATCCGGGTTGGACTTCCGCTGTTGTTGCCGTGGAGAAACTCATGGTTGTTCTTGGTTGGTATGGTAGAAGAATTGAAACGATTTTAGGCTTCAGCTGCAGAAAGTTGCCGGCTCGGATTGGTAATCGAGAGAACATGCCAAGGTGGCGTATATTGTATGATTACAGCGTTTAAGACAACGTCAAGTTGGTGATTTCATCAATCGTAGTACACCCCGATGGCCGAAGTGGGTCGCGGCAAATTCAAAGCATTTTGTATGATATCACACCACTTCTGTTTCCTTTCCAGGGTAGTGATATGCTCGGCTTTACGAGAAAACATCAAGATAGATTGTTCCTACGTTAATTGCTTCTTTAGTTAGCTCAGGCTTTACCGCCTGCTCACTGTGATCTGCTCCCTGATGGTTACATAAGCGTATTGTCCCGCCGACCTCGGTCCCGAGATGCCGTCCAAGTGCCGGCGCTGGCTCGGGAGCACCCGCATCCTTCCCGCTCGGTACCCAGCGCAACAATAGTACACGATCTCTTCAGGTGTCTTACTCTATAGGATATTGTCTAGAATTTACTTTCAACGTACACTATTGAAAACATATATTCTTGTCTCGTAGAAGCATGAAACTAAATACACATTGGCAAACATATAATATGTGGTCATCCCATATCGCAACAGATACAAATCAGACTATATGCTGCCACGGACTTCCAATTCTCATTTATCTTCCTTTGTCTCGATGACTTCCTTCTCTTCCTTTGTCTCGATGCCTTCCTTGGTCTCTTCCTCGTGGAAAAGGTTGACCTTGGTAGACGCGAACTTGCGGGCGGAGACCTTTTGTTCGAACAAAGCGTCCATCTCGGCATAAGTACGACCCTTGGGTTCTGGTAGGCGGAAGAACGACCAGATGAAGGAGGCAAGGCATAATCCACCCCAGAAGAAGCCGGCCTTTCCTCTCCAGTTCCAGCCATCCACATTCAGCATATACGGGATCACCACCCCGTTGAAGATGCTGAAGCAGTTGTACAGATTGCGGGCGAGAACCACGGTCTTGATGCGAAGCCGGATTGTAGGAATTTCGGACACGAGTGAATAGCAAACAGGCCCGGCCGAGGAATCATAAATGAAGGTGTAGACCAAGAGCATGGAGCCGGTCGCCCAGGAGGTAGCCGACGTTGAAGGGGCAATCGCGATAAATCCGATTACAAAGAGGATGACGCAAAGAACAGCCAGACTGTAGACATACAAAGTTCGTCGACCAAGATAGGACATGAGAACCCAGGAGAAGAGAGTGCCAAAGAAACCGATTGCGTATTGAGCCAAGGACATGTTGAATGACTGAGAGACGGGCAATCCGGCTCGCTGGTAGAAAACAGTCGAGTATGCCATCAGACCGGCTCCGCAGAGATTCTGTGCTGCCCAGATCAAACATGAGATCTCGGTCCGGCGGAGATTGGTACCGCGGAAACAATCGAAGTAGCTGGTACCTTCATTCAGCTGTTTCTCGACCTCGTTGGTATGGATGATCATGGCTACAGTCTCCTCCGCATTGAAGTCGGTGTTTCCTCTAGACGTTAACCTTGTAAGAGATTTGACGGCCTCCTGTAGTCGGCCCTTCCGGACGAGCCACCAGGGGCTCTCTGGAGCCATCAGAACGCCAATGAAGATCGGAACGGGCCAAATCCACTGGATGGCAAATGGAATGCGGTAAGCCCATTCGTCATTTCGAGACTCCAGACCCTTCAAGACGCCCGAGGCAATCAACTGCCCCATTACCCAGCAGAGGTTGACGTAAGTTGTGAGGTAGGCACGTAGGGCGACAGGGCAGACTTCGGACGCATAAGTGACAGACAGGGTCTGGTAGACTCCCAGAGGGATACCCATTAGGATCTCACCGACCAGCAGCGTCTCAACATTGGGGGCAAAGAATAGAATGAAGATGAAGGCCATTGTGGCAATGAGAGATCCCAACATGGTCTTGCGGTACCCAAATCGTTCGGAGACGATACCGTTGGCAAACAATCCCAGGATCTGACCACAATTCATAGCATTGGATAATCCTGCTTGCCATGCTGCCGAGAGCCCTTGGGAGCCATCTGAAAGTGTGTGTCCATATTTTTGGTTGAAGGCGGGGAAACCGTAGAACGATCCCATGAGCACGACGTCGTAACCCTCCATCACAATTGCTGTCGAGATCAGAACAGACCATCCAATTGCCTTCGGGTACAGCTTCAAAGCCTGCCACAGTGACATGCGGTGTTCTTTGTCGGTGGCGATCTGGGCCTCCTGGACCAATGTACCAGGATCGACGTCCATTGGCGACTTGTCGTCGGGTGTCTCGACATGCTGGGCAGCCGATTTGAAATCCATCTCGTTGATTCAGAGGGGCGAGGTGTTGAAAAAACGAGGAAGGTGATATTGGTTCCCACGAGGGTGGATGAATTCTGAGCGACTAAGCGTGCACCAACTCTATATATATCATCTTCCAGAAATGATATTTCTAAAATATGAAGTACATCGGAACTTCCGTCGGCGTTAATTTTGCTTTTTCCAAAAGGGGGTACGAGTTTTCTCCCCGGATCTCGGTGTGATCATAGGCTTCCCGGGCCGAAGAACGGCCGTTCGTATTGCAGTGGCTTGTGACTGAGGAATGTTCGAAAAGCCGACTGATCATGTTGTCCCTCTGTAAAGCCAGGGTAATGAGAGGAAGCTTTTCACATCGTATGAAACCAGCAGCGACAAGCAATCCGATGCGGCTTCAATAACGAACGAAAACAGAGAATCGGTAAAATTTCCTGTAAACAGACTCCGTTGCCCTAAGGCTGAGACACGGGGTAATTTGCTCTTCCCAGTGGCTTAGGCGGGGAAGCGACGGGGTAAAAAATCTGGTTGGCCATCCCACATTGCAGAAACTGGGGAAATGTGCAAGTCAAGGACCGGCCCTTCTACGGAGCTGCACCCCGACCTAGCAAGGTTCGACTAATGCGGTCTTGATAATCCTGGTAAACACATCTTGCAACTTGAACATGCGAACCGTGCGGGCCGTGCATTCGATCTGGATTGGCCGCCAATTTGGTAATAATTGGAAAGAAATATGACAGTGACACGGGAGGGAGTTTGCCACGGAACTCTGTTGGTCAAGTGACCCGACATTACCCCGTCCACTTCATTAATTGCGGGGTCCCCAGAAACTCGGCTGACCCCGTGGTTTCCCGGCTCCGGAGTCAGAGGCCCAACCCCCGAAGCGACATGGAAGACAGACTCAATGTATAACAAAGCAAGGTACGAATGATCCGAGTTCGACGAACTGCATATTTTTCTAAGTTTCTCCACAGCCAACTTTGAACGGACCTTACTGTACAGGAAGAAGTCAAGAGCAAAAAATATATTAATACCATGACGACGCCTTGACAGTGCACACCGACTTGGCATGGAATCGGAATCAAACAGGATTTGTTGGCCCACCCGCTGCCGTCACCGACGAGATCGGAAACAGAGCACTCATACTCGCTTCGATCACTGGGATGAATACTGCTCTCGAAGAAATAGTTCCATAGCTGCTGTCAACTGCTGCGGGTTCAACAAAGGCCGCTCGAAAAACACATGTTCCACGCAGCTACCAGTTTTGAGCAGTCGGTGAAACTCGCAGAGCCATGGTCTCATCATTTTGTGGCCTTCGCTGACTCCACGACCCTGTAAAGGTGCTGGACATTATATTTGCGTAACGGGCGGGCAGATATCACATGAACGCTGTTCAAGCTCGCTAAAGTCTTCCACGCGCATGGTTGATGAGTGGGGTTGCTTGGCGCTCGTTCGGCTCGCGTAAGTTCGAACGGGTGGCACTCGGATTACCTTCTAGGTACGGAGTCCTCCGTAGTGAGCTGGTCACCTGCGAGAGTGGAACTTTTCGCTTCTATGATGATCTGTATGTGCATCTTCAATAGGCAGCTATCCCGTGACTATAGGTTCAATATTCGGAGCGGGTAAAGACCTGGGGAAATTCCGAGGGCGGATAATCGGAGTTTACTGGGGAAAAAGGCATTGTAGGGCTCTCGGGCTAATCATCTCGGAACGGGCTATCATCGGTGTTACTGCGGAGTAGATCTTACAATTGGGAGATTGCCCATCAGAAGGCCCTTATAAATCCGCTCGCTCACTTGCAGATTGAACATTTCAAGAGAATTTTCTATTGATCTTTTCCTCTCGTTTTGTTTGCAATCTCAAAATGGGCTCAATCGATAATTCTATAGACGCGAACGCCGTCGCTGGACGACGGACCGCTAAGGCTTGGTGGAAAGAGTCCTCGGTGTACCAAATTTACCCAGCTTCTTTCAAGGATAGTAATGGCGACGGCGTGGGTGATATTCCCGGAATCACCTCCAAGTTGGACTACATCCACAAACTCGGCGTGGATATTGTCTGGCTTAGTCCCGTATTTAAATCACCCCAGGTCGACATGGGTTACGATATTTCGGACTACTACAGTATTCACGCGCCATACGGCACTGTCGAGGATGTCGACGATTTGATCCTAAAGCTTCATGAGCGGAAAATGAAACTTGTGATGGACCTCGTCGTCAACCACACATCCGACCAGGTTTGTCCCACTTCCTCCCTACCATGTGAATACACGGATAAGGAAACTAACATACACATTTTTAGCACGAATGGTTCCGCGAGGCCCGTTCCTCGGTAGACAGTCCTTACCGCGATTGGTATATCTGGAAGAAACCAGTGTTTGGCGCCGATGGCAAGCGTCAGCCGCCAAACAACTGGGTGTCCTACTTTGGAGGTAAATTCTCACACAATGCCTCAGTGTCTTATCAAGTAACTGACATCGATATAGGCAGCGCCTGGGAGTTCGATGAAGCGTCTGGAGAGTACTATCTCCACCTTTTTGCCACAGAACAACCCGACCTGAATTGGGAGAATCCCAAAGTCCGAGACGCTGTACACAAGATTATTCGGTTCTGGTTGGACAAAGGTGTAGACGGATTCCGAATGGATGTCATCAACTTCATCAGCAAGGACCCGTTGTTGCCAAATGCGCCGATCAGCAACCCAGATTCTGAGTGGCAAAGTGGTGCACAGTACTATGCCTGCGGTCCAAAGCTGCATGAATATCTGCGGGACATTGGAAGCATTCTGAAAGAATATGACGCATTTTCCGTCGGCGAAATGCCTGAAGTCAACGACGTGAAGGAAATCCTGAACGCCGTAGGATACGACCGTGGTGAACTGAACATGATATTCCACTTCGAAATGTGAGTGATCTGGCTTATTTGGCTCAAACACATTGGCTAACCAGCTCGAAGCGTTTCACTGGACCACGGACCAGGAGGTAAGTTTACCAGCGGTAATTGGGAAATGCAAGATCTCAAAGCCATCGTGTCAAAGTGGCAAACATTCATGCACCAAAACAATGGATGGAACGCATTGTATCTCGAGAATCACGACCAGCCGCGGACAGTTTCCCGGTTCGCGTCTGACAAACTTGAAGACCGGACTCTGTCCGCGAAGATGCTGGCCACTTTCTTGGGCTTCCAGAGCGGTACTGTTTTCATTTACCAGGGCCAGGAGCTCGGCATGCCTAATGTGCCAAATGGATGGGCGATTGAGAAGTACCAGGATATCGAAACACTGAACCATTGGCAAGAGTAAGCATGTCCGTCTATTCCAAACACGGTGCGACCACTAACGGATCTTTACAGAATTGTATCCACGAAGCCGGAAGATAATGATCTGCACTCCACTAGTCTTGCCGAATATCGGAAGAAATCGAGAGATAATGGCCGGACTCCCATGCAATGGGACGCCTCTACTTACGCCGGCTTCTCCGATGCCAAGCCTTGGATCTCCGTGCACGATGATTATCCAGTCTGGAATGCGTCGATCCAGGTGGATGATCAGCAGAGTGTATATCACTACTGGTCGAATGTTCTGCGCTTGAGAAAGGAATTCCCCGATGTTCTAGTATACGGATCGTTCGAGCTCATTTCCCCTGAGAACCCTGACGTGTTTGCCTACACTCGCACCTCCGAGACCGGCAGCCTTGCGCTTGCAGTGATCAACTTCCGGGCTAGCGAGATATCGTGGACCATTCCGGAACAGGTCAAGAAACTATGGTCCTCCGGGTCGATTGCTCTGTCCAACTATCCCCAGAACAAACGATCTGTGGTGGATAGTGACATTGCCCTTGCACCTTTCGAGGCATTTTTGTGGTTGGCTTAATATGTTGTGGCTGGGCAAACCCCGACCATGCCGTGAAATACATAGTTCTTTGGGGCTTTTCGTTTCATGTGATCATCATACGTTTTCCGTAAATTCCCTACCGTGTCATTCGAGCAATTGCGTAAAACTGTGGACCTTTTTGAGCACTCCAATTGGCTAGAAACTCCGTCTAATAGTCAAGAAGCGGCCCAAAACCAGCCCCGAAGAAGGCCCGTACCTATCAAGTGCATCTCCACCTGACCAGACCTGACCTGACTGACCATCGCACCAGACCCGCGTGGATTTGCGGGGTTATGGCTACATCCAACGGTGGTCGGTAAAAATTGCCCAGTCCTTTTCGGTTTAGAGAGACACCCCGCAAATAAATATGAAAGCCGATGAACATAACTCCGTAATAAGCGTACATTTGCGCACTGATCGGGCTGATTTCGGCAACAATGAGTGCCTCTATTCGACCCACGCAACAGCGCACCCCGGCCTGCGACAATTGTCGCCGACGCAAGGTCCGATGTAATCGCGAGCAACCTTGTGGAAAATGTCAGGAGGTGTTTCTCAATTGCCAGTACACCTCCGTCCCCCGACGGAAAGGACCCAAAGGCCCCACGGCTCCTGTGTTAAGCTCGCTGTCTTCATCAAGCAACCATTCATCTCCACACACATCAAGTGTCTCGTTCGCGGCAAGTGACGCAGGACACGCAGATGCTGTCGGTCCTCCCTCTGAGTCAAATCTTGAGGACCAATGGACGTTTTTACCAACGACAGAATGCCCAGACACACGCTTCGTGGGCCTCCTCAAGAGTCCGACATTTCCTACTGCAGCATGCCAGAGGATATCCCCCGTCTTGTTGCAGGCTCATGTCGACATCTTTCTCAAACATCTCTACCCGATCATGCCAGTATTCGATGCCGACACAGTGACAGTTGAATGCATGAGCCCTGAAGCCCTGTCACCGAGACGATATGCTTTCATCGTTGCGCTGTGTGCGGCGACTCATCTGCAGCTGAAGCTTGACATATCGGAGGGTGGCACTATCGAAGAACTTTCATTGTCTGGCCAAAGCCTAATCGAGCAAGCCATACAAGCGCTACAAGAATTCGACCCCCTTGACGAACCGCACACCGATACGCTGCTTGCCTTCTTTTTTTTGTTCTCGGCGTACGGCAACCTGGACAAACATAACCATGCCTGGCATTACTTGAGCCAAAGTATCTCATTTGCCCACCTCTTGAACCTGCACCAAGAACCAAGCTACCTAGCCCAAGATCCTGAAACGGCCGAGTTGAGGAGAAGGATTTACTGGCTACTCTTCATTACCGAGAGGTATGCTTTGCCCCTATACTATATCCTATCGCGCATACGTACTTGCTAACTTTGTACGACAGAGCGTATGCCTTACAGCGTAACATGCCAATCACACTACGAGGACGCATCCAGAAGCCGACCGTCTTCACGTCCAATTCCCCTGCACTGGCTTATGGATTCGTGAATTTGATTTCAGTCTTCGAAAAGATCCCATCTAGCTTTTACGACTGGAATGCGAGTGCCGCGGGCTCTCTCGGTGACTCTGCGATGATAAATCCTATATATCAATCGGTTGCCCTTTCCACCCCTTTGCTGGCTGAATACAACGAAACCCAGAAAGTCGATCTAATCGTCACGCGGCAGTGGCTGCAAACACGTTTATGGAAGGTAGTAAGCGATCAAGTCGACTCAACCTGCCATCAGGGAGCTGTCGTGCCGTTAGATCTCCCAATAACGGCAGGGAAGTCCGTAATGGCTCTGATGTCGACTGTTGCACAAAAGTCAGCTGATGCGCATGGGATAGGCATCGTAAGTAATTGTCTCAGCGGAAATCGGCCCTCTGCTTATCAGTATTGTAGGAACAAAAGCTCTACGACATTGGAGAGACTGTGTCATTGCTCGCACATGTGTTACTTCCCAGGAAAAACGACGGCGTTGGAGAGCTATTCGCGCACGCCCAAACCGTTTTATGCGGCATCATCGACCTCCTGTCGAATATTCGCGGAGGACAGTCGTATCTATTTTCTTCGCTTCTTCAGCAGTCCCACGCCATACTTGGCCTCGAGGCCCTGCCGCCGCACTTAGCGTTCCCTTCCTACTGGAATCCCACTCTAGCTGATAATGATGGTTCCTTGCCCGGACCAGATGATTGTATGTCACTACAACGTTACAAAACTTTTAAAGACAATTGCTTCGACCCGAAATTGTCGACATGAAATAGGAGTCGACAAGCGGAATCGGTGAGCCATTGACTCTTGCAATGCAAAGTTGCATATGGATATTCCCCTTTGCCCATCCACGCTACAACCAGGAAGCTACAACCAGGAATCTGGAGAATGCTTTCCCACGAAGGTTGGCTCGGATTTCCAATTGTTAGGCCACAATTTGCCAATCGGAATCTCGAGTCTAGTCCGTGGCATTAGTTGGCTGAGCGTGATCCCCAATACCTAGGTATTCAAGAGGGACTAGGACAGACCACAGAGCAGACGCTGAAGTGGCGAAGTGACCAGTCCGAGGATGAGGGGGGTTTGAGACGGATGTTGTAATATATGAATTGTACGATATGATGAATATATGTAGCAACCGAAAGAGGAGTCCTTTCGTGTATATATATCTCTCTTGTCAAGACAGATTTCCGTCTTTAAGTACAGAATGCAATCAACCTACCACATGAGACCGAAACATTGAATGTTTGTTCTAGGACTTAATAGCCAGCGCTAGAAACTAAGAACGATCATCGACCATTTAATGCAAAACGGCCTAGGCTATCCGAACGAATTGTCTATGACGCTTAATTACATTATTTGGCTAGTGAAGCACCGGCTCAGCTCCATATAAGCTGTACATCAAGAAGCGCATAATATCAAAACAATGCCTCTGATCATTCCTACAACCTTGTGCCTTCCTGCATGCTGATGATCACGTGGTGTGACTGGTTTCATTGCAAAGGTGCCCCTTGCTACCCATGTTCCCCGACCAAGAATGTCAGATTAGAGATGTCTTCATTACCACGTCCGATAAGTTGGCCCCCTGTTGGAGATGTTAGAACGGTACTCCACACTCCCTTGCCCTATTGCCATAATGTTGCCTGACGTTTCAACAATAACAATAGGAAGACAACCAACCCAACCCACTGAGCTCAGTCGATGGGTACTCAGACAATATCGCACCCAACGTGGGCTATTCCAGCGTGAGGGACGTTCAAGGCCAACTGATCTCAGGGGGGATTACTGGAATTGTGGAGCTCCTTGACGATGGGACTGCACTCAAGGCACCATATCCAGGTTCTGAGATCGAAAACAATATCATAGATATCGCCAAAGAAGCCAGTATCTATCGTCGCATTGGACCGCATAAGAGGCTTGTTCGGATGCTAGGTCATTCCAGGGAAGGTCTTGTGCTTGAATATATGAAAAACGGTGATCTCAAGACATATGGCTCACGACTCGGTATCGACGAGCCTCAAATTGAAATGGGCGTACCAAGTCGCAGAGGCTGTCGATCTCTTGCATAGAAACGGAACTATCCATTGCAATATCAAACCACGAAATCTTCTGTTAGATACAGCCTTCGACATCAAGATTATTGACTTCTCTGGTTCTTCACTAGATGGTTCGAAGCCAGCCTCTGGTGAAGGAACCCGATTTTTTCTTCCACGACATTGGAGAGAGCAACCGACGGTGGCGACAGATCTTTTCGCACTAGGGTCGACTCTCTATGAGATTACTCAAGGCACCAGCCCGTATGAGGAGCTTCCTAGTAATGAGGTTGAAAGATTTTTTACTCAAAAAGAGTTCCCCGATATATCTGGTATAGTATGTGGACAAATCATCAAACAATGTTGGCTATCTCAGATTGATTCAGCAGCGGATGTGAAAACTGCCGTCTGGGATATTATCTCTCGCACATCCAAGGTTGACTGTATCCCTCACCTCGATGGTTTGGACACTGCTCAGGATATGTTGATTGGCTTGGTTTATCCTTAGAGTTGGGGTAGTCCCACCGTTCTGTCTTGTCTTGGTATACCCGCAAGTTGTCAGGCCTAGCCATCCTCGACCATGTACCCACCTCCTTGCACCGCTACTTACATCGCTCCTTCCAGCAGGTTAATTTTTACGATATTGTATTTCAACATAGCGAGAAAGTATGAGAACAGTATGGGGTAGTTCCTTACGATTTTTGTGCCGAAAGAGTGGGTAAAGAAATTGAGCGAAGGGAGCCACGAAGCTCTCTGAATAGCCCCTTGAATGGAAAAGGACTCAGCAACAGAGGCCCGAGGTCGCACTTGGGGCAAAGAGAGGTCTGTCGACCTGCATGAGGTGTACCAAACTGCATGAAGATAGTCAAAGTTCCGAAGCATGCCTGCATGCCACAGACGCAATAATAAAAACCTTGTTCAATCTCAATGCCATGCGAATCCGAGAGCTGGCCGAGTTGACAGAGCTGGAATTAGCCGTCGGAGTATAATTTCAGCACTGGTTCTTGTAAATGACAGAAAATCTGCACGTGGAAAATTGTCGGCGAACGGAAGCCGTGACGAATGAGAAGATGATGCAGAAGCATTGAGGAGCTGTCGTACGTCATGGGGTCTTGGTATACCGAGATTTTCTCAACAGTCATTCGCAGTTGGCAAAACTTTGTTTCTTATTGTGAAGAGACTCCGAATCCCGGAGTCTGACAAGCGGGCTCCGGGGCTGTTCCTGATTTGTTTCGGGCCTTCTCCGGGCAGTTTGGTTTGCGGGGAACGGACCAGGGTGGTTTGCGGGGACCCCACGCGGCTGATTTTGTGACGAACGAAAACCACGCTTGCCTGGATTGGTACGTAGGCGGCTTCCATTGGTCATTCTCGAAGGATTGGTTTCCACTGCGTAACGAACTATACATAGATAGCGGATTTTTATGGAATTACTCGGAATCAAGTACAACGTACGATGGACAATTCGGTGTGGTACTCTATGCCGAGAAAACCCCGTCGAGGACCTGACGACGAGTGAAATCGACGAGATAACCCACTTTGACATCCCAAATGGTCGAAAAAGCGGAGCTTGGGTGTACTTTTGATTTGAACCGAGCCCCCTGGAGGACCCATATCTCATTTGCAACATAGGAGAATGAATGGGTTGGATTACTGGTAGGAGCTATACTAATCATATTACTCCCTTGCTGGAAGGGGCTCTTCGTCTCTGTGTTAGTAAGAGTCCCATTGTTATGCCAGATAAGACGCGGCATACTACACTAGTACTATGGGGTAATTAATTTAACGAACTTGGCATTCGCGTAATGGAATGGCTCTCAAACCCTCAACCGTCAATCCCTACACTAAGTATGCGGTAGGCCCCCTCCATGGCATCATCAACAAGACTGAATAATACCGGTCAACCGTCATATGCCGCACGAACACCTCTCGGAGCTTCCGGCATAAGCTGATCCCCCCCCCTTAATCTAAACTTTCATCTAATCCAAACCCGATTTAATTGTTGGTTAGATCAGGCAGCCCTATTTTAAAAAATAATAATAAATTCCGTCTTAATATGTAAAAATACCAAAATAAATAACACACCAACTATGCACGAGAATTCACGAGTGGAGGCGGGTGAATCCTTCAGGTATATAAAAACCGTTGTATAAAGACTGCTTTGCCCCCTTGCTTGGATAGAATAACAATCAATTCAGCCAGCATCCATTCCTTCACTATGATTACTCTCAAATCTTTTCTACTCCCTGCTATCGGGCTGCAAACCCTAGCTGGGGCGTTTGTTCTACCCCGAGAAACGGATTCTACCCCCAATACACACTGTGGCTCGGATTTCTGTACCTGGTGGCACGACACGGCCGAGATAAACACAGCCACTGCTGTCGAAGCAGGCAATGTCCGGCAATCTCACCAATATCTCGTTCAGGTTGCCGCTGCTGGGTCGAACACCTCATACGATTCCTTCGTCTACGAAAGCATTCCTCGCAATGGCAACGGAAAAATCCAGACCCCCGGAGATACCAGCGACACATTCAGCGGCGACGATGGAATTTCAATTGAGATTGATGCTGGCATCAATATGGCGTGGTCCCAGTTTGAATATAGTGAGGATGTCGATGTCACCATTTCCCGCAGAGACGGTCAGGATGTTGGCATGGACCTTATCATTCGGCCGAGTACCATTGCGTATGAACTCAGTTACGCGGACAATGCAGTGATCATCCGTGTCCCTGCTGATGAAAACGGACGCAAGTTTTCCGTGGAGTTCGGCAACGACCTTTACACCTTCCGGTCTGATGGAGAAGCTTATACCACCGACGGATCAGGGGAAGTCGTTGGGATTGAACCCATCAACGCTCTGCTCATCTTCGCCAGCCCATTCCTCTCAAGTGATCTTATCCCAGCCAGCGATGGTGCCGACACCGTGGTGATGACACCTGGTGCATTCACCGCAAATGACATTGGCTCGGCATCTATTGTCTACTTCCCGCCCGGCGTGTACTATATCGACTCGGACCCTCTGGGTGAAGCTCACATCAAGCTCGATCCTAACACCTACTGGGTGTACCTTGCCCCTGGAGCGTATGTGAAAGGAGGAATCGAATACACCACTACAGCCCAGGACTTTTACGCCACAGGCCACGGTGTTTTGTCTGGGGAAATCTACGTCTACCAAGCAAACGTGGACCAAGGCTACACAGCAGTCAAAGATGACGTGACTAGTCTTCGAATGTGGTGGCACCGGAGCGTCACAAGCGGCCAAATCTGGCACTGTGTCGGACCGACTCTGACTTCGCCCCCGTTCAACACCATGGATTTGATGGATGGAAGTTCCGACCGAGACGACATCTCGGTTGATATCTACGATTACAAGCAGGTCGGGGCCTTCTTCATGCAGACTGATGGCCCTCAGATGTACACCAATGGCAGTGTGCACGATGTCTTCTACCATGTGAACGATGACGCTATCAAGACGTATTATTCTGGAGTCACTGCATCCCGGCTCACAGTGTGGAAGGCCTTCAACGATCCGATCATCCAGATGGGCTGGACACCTCGCGAAGTTTCCGGCGTTACCATCGATACACTCAATATCATCCACTCACGCTATCGCAAGAGCGAGAACGGTGTTCCTTCGGCCATTATTGGTGCTTCGCCAAACTACGACGGCAGCGACAATGTTGATAGCTCCAAGTCAATCAGCATGAGCATTTCCAACGTCTACTGCGAGGGTCCTTGCCCTGGCCTTTTCCGTCTCACTCCTCTGCAGAACTATAAGAACTTCAGTGTAAAGGGAGTATCCTTCCCAGATGGACTGATCGGTGGCAGTGTCCCCGTCGGAGACACCATCATTGCTTCTACAAGTGATACCACTTACGATGGATCGACTAGTCTCTCCATGGAGCTGGACATTTCGGGATGGACCGTCCAAGGGCAAGCAGTGACTGGAGACAATGCAGACTCTTTGGGTCAATTCAACATCAATAGTGCCTACTCTGGACAGTGGTCAATTTCTTCTTGATTGGTATAAGCTATGCTTGACCCCCTTAAGAGTTTGATACGCTCATACTCTTCTCAACCCTCGGTCACTCATTTGTATATATCTTTTTCTTTTTCTTCCTCAGTTTGTTGATATTTTCACTTATTATAAATCCAAATTATTATTCCTTGTCAGCCTCAATTCAAGATACTCACTCTTTACTCCATCCTTCTGCTCGAACCAGATCATTTCCTTGAGCATTTCCTCCAACTGCAGACCCAACCTTGTGACTTGAGCATCTTCTATTACAAACTCCGCTTTTACGATGCCATCACTGCCATCGAGCCAATCAGTAAGATGAGCATCGAATTTTCGGTCATCGGACACATGCTCGAATTTCAAGGTAAACCCCATTGAGCGATCTGTAGCATCGATGAAGAGCGCATCATCTCTGATTTGGACCAATAAGTTATGATACCCAGGATTCCAGTAGTTGCCAGCGTAAGCACTGAGAGGCATTGTCGGTGGCTGCGGAGTATGCCTTTTTGGTCTTTGTTCATTCACTTGGCCCTTCTGGATATCTTGACTTTTTTTCACTTGGGTTTTCTTTTCCTGCTTTTTCTTCTCCTTCTTTCCCTGGTTCTTACTCATTGGATTTGCATCTTTCACCTCGGCCTGGGGTTTTGGACCGCGAATTTTAACAGGTCTTGTGGCTTTGCTTTTGCTGTCATGAGGTCTTTCGTCCATGACTCCAAGGAGATTGTCAATTAGCTTTCGGACAAGGGTCGCCGCAACGCCATTTGCCCCATCTGAGTTTCCCATGATCACAGCACCGAATGAGAAATCAGGGAGAAAGAAGAAGCGACTTCCGAATCCAGAGAATACCCCATTATGGCCGACGACCATATGTCCCCTGTAAAAGTAGATATCCAGACCAGCAGCATATGCTACCGGTGAGGTGTGCCGCTTCCGTCTTCCTGGGTTTGGATTCACAAAAGTTCGCAGGCGAGTGAGTCCTTCATAAACATTTTTATTGATAGGGTCTTCGCGATTCATAAAAGCCTTGACAAATTTGATGAAGTCGTTCACGCTCGAAATGACAGACCCTGCGCCTTGGCCTTCTGGGCAGTCCGGATTTTCTAACCCACGATATGTTGAGTCGGCTCTTTTCCATGTGTAGCCAGTTGCCATGCGGGATTCGAATCCTTTTGATCGTGCGCTGCTGGGTTGAAGAGTAGTTGATGCCATGTCCAGAGGCTTGAAAAATCGCTCTTCGAGGAATGTACCAAAATTCTGTCCGCTCTTGACTTCCACAAGATGGGTTGCCACTGTATACATCATGTTGCAGTAAATATACTTTGATCGAATGGGAGCAGCGACAGGGAGATTCCTGAGGTTTCTCGTAATGGATCGAGCATTGTCTGGCTTCGCCGCTCGCACACTCATATAAGAATCGTTATGGCTGGCGCAATATCATTAGTCTTGAACTCAACCATGAAATTTGAAAAAACTAGCTCACCTAGGCATTCCACTTCTATGACTTAAGATGTCTTCCACGCTGACTCCTTCTGTGTATCCTTTTCCAGACATAACAAAGTCCTCGGGGAGAAGAGTCGACATTACAGCATCGTACTGAATATCCGGGAACATGTCATTATCGGCGACTAGCAATCCCACCGCCGCAGCAGTGAGTGATTTAGCAGACGATGCAATGTCAAACAGCGTATCTGCTGTGCAAGGTATTTCTGGATCCAGGCTCGCATGTCCATATCCCGCAGAGGCAATTTGATCATTGTGTATGATTGCAATCGCCAGCCCCGGGACATGCTGCTGATCTATCAACTCTGTCACATGTGACGCAAACCCTGCCGAGTGCAAAAGATCCATATTGCTGATTTGACGAATTACCGGTGTGCGTTACTGAATGCCACTATAGAGGCCTGTTCATGTAGGTTCCAGCCAGTTTCTTTGCGGGAAAATACCTCAGTTCAAACCTTGAAATGACAGATGCCACCTGGCATGAGAATGGGGGCCGGATTATAACACGCTTGGTCAGCTGCAACGCTTAGTGTGCATGCCAGTGCCAGATAGCTCTCAACGTTGGGCCCTTCGTATCGCCTAACCGGGGCGGTGGGGCTTCAATCCGACTGCTGCCTGTTTGACCATTTAATAGAAATATCACAGGCACTTCTAAGTTGTAGGACTTCATACAATTTCTGTATCCCATGCCTAACAAGAAGACTATATTCTAACGAAAGATAGATACTCATCTACTATTACCATAATTTTAGCCCTTACTGGAGCAAGAGATGCCAAATTACCTCTCGTCTGTCTGCATGCTGTCATATAGCGCCTTGAACAGTGATCCTGGCCGTTCAAGCAGCTCACGCGGTGGGCCTCAACGATACGCCCTTTGTTTGGCACCACGAAGCGATCAAGGTCCAGCGTTGTGTGTAGCTTGTGAACAACAACAATGACAGTGCACGCCTCAAATTCTTTCTGCAGAACCTCGTGTATCAAAGTTTCCGTATCCGCCTCAACACTGCCACCAACCTCATCTATAATGAGGACGCTGCTTGGATTGATTACTGCTCGAACAAGGCAGAACAGCTGCCTCTGTCCATGCGACAAGGTCCCTTCGTTCATATCCTCATCCAGCCCGCCGCGAGACTCGCAAAAGTCCCATAGGCGCACAGACTGAAGTGCCTGAACTAAGCGCTCGTCAGTAGAGACCCTGAGAGGATCAAGGTTCTCGCGGACGGTGCCTTGTAGGAAGAACGGATCTTGGGGAAGGGAGTTGAAGCGAGCACGAACGGCCTGGCGAGTGATGGTGCTGATGTCGATGTCGTCAACGCAAATCGATCCTAATTGAAGCTCCAGCATGCGCAGGAGAGTTGATACCAGGGAAGATTTGCCGCTACCTGTGCGACCGCAGATGGCTACATTTTCACCAGGTGTTATGGAAAGGTTGATGTTCTTGAGTACTGGGTCCGTGGAAGTGTCATAGGATACAGTGAAACCGTTGAATACAATGGCACCCTTTTGCGGGCCATTTGTCGCTGACATGTCCTGTCTCATTGGGCAGGTTCTCGTCTTTTGTGTCGAGAATATAGGTACGGACACGACTGATAGCCCCAAGAGCCATTTCAATCTGCGTCCACTCAGTAACGAGCGTCTGTAGCGAGGTACTGAATGTCACGATTTGATACAGGGCTACGCCGAGATAGCCAGTTGAGCCACTGAGGCTGATATTTGTCACCAAGGCAACGAGAATAATGGCGATTCCAGCGATAAATAGATCCAGTACCATTGTCAGCCATCGCTGGACACACCACAGCAGATATTATGGCTTTTATGACACGTTGGGGGAGTCGTGGACGGATTCAACGTAGTGGCTTGTCCAGCCAAAGGCCCGTCCAGAGGATATACCACCCAAATTTCCAAGAACCGGGAGAAGAGAGGCGCCTTGGCTTCAATATCGAGTATTCGCAGCTGTCTGGATGTGCGCAGATATAGCAGCTGGATGGCCACGATGACTACAATGCACAGTGTAATTGCGATGGCGACGTAGCCAGAGGCGATGAATAAGAATAAGATGACCGCCGACATGATGACTATCATCGAAATACGATCTTTGAAAAATCGAAAGACTTTCCAACTAGAATAAGTCAATAGGTACAAAGCTATCTGCACTGGATCATAATAACTAACGAAAACAACTTATTCACACAAAGGTAGGTTGTAGCAAGCTACAACGTTCTTCTCAAGGTATAAAGTGGGGCGGAAATTAAGCGGAACTCTAAAGTCAAGATCAACCACCTTCGAATGTCATCGAGCACCAATGCCTTGATTGCAACGCTTTGCTTAAATTATCAGAACCCTAGAGAAGGCCCAAGAGTACCTGCAATCAATGATGAACAAGGATCTTTTGTGCCAAACTGGGCTACGCCCCACTATGATCTCAGTGACTCCAGCATGACATCACAACCAGCATACCAAGTATAAGACCGAGCTCTTCCAATGGTAAAAAAAAAAATCCATCAAACTCCTCTTCTATTCAAACGAACTACTTCTTTACGATACTTCTCAACCTCTCAATCCCTAAATCCACTTTATATCTACACAAAATGTCGAACTCAGGTCAATCCAACGTCGGAAACCGCAGCATCTACGAGGCAGGCGACCAGCGCAACGTCCCTGTATCCGAGCTCCAAGAGCGGGCCCGCTATGCCGAGGGTATGCCCAATAGCCACAAGCACCTCGATTCTAAGGACGGCCGCTCCATTGCCAACAAGCTTGCCTCTCAGGAGAACAAGCCTGACTCCACACACCACCACAATAGCGAGTACGACGCTGAGGCCGAGTTGAGCAAGCAAAATCCTACCAAGCCTGTAAGTTACATACAACTTTTGCTCACATGAAACCCTTGATCAAGATGCATTTGCTAACGCTTAGCTTCGGTACAGGCTACCCTCCACGGCAATGCTCCGTCCAAGGGTGCTAAGATTGATGCTGAGCTCCAGGCTGATGATGAGCAGCGTCTGCGGGAGAAGGGCATTAAGCACTAAATTCGATAATGCTGTTTTTTTATGTTACAAATACCCCCTCATGTCTTCTGATTGGAATTTGAATATTCATCAGCGGGGGATGGGAGGGTTCATGGTGGAACATGATGTACAATAATAATGATATCTGGTCTAACGTTATCTCAAATGAGTAACGGGCCATTGAATGTATACCTACATTGATGACAAGACAGACGGGCGTTGAAGATTTGTAGCTTGTATACAGTATCTTGTAGATTTTGAAGCAATTGAAGCACGTGTCTATGTGGTTGTCTGGGTGTTCGCAACTCTGACCCGTCGCTGGTTGGATGACCAAGCATAATTTAACGCTATCGATCGGAATGCACCCGAGGTCTGCGGGTCAAATTCTTCATGCCACTTCCACCTGCCAAAGACATAGGAAGTAGCGTCATATATCATTTACACTTTCGTACGTGGAAGGGAGAACCGGTGTAATATTTTACATGAAGAGGGAAAATGTGGTCCAAATCCAAATATACCATTGTAAACGTATGAATAAATAGAACATATGTCGTGAGATCGCTTTCGAAACACAATTATACGATATGTACGAGACAGATGTCAAGGCGAAGCTATTGTACATCATGAAATATGACAGCATATACAAAGCCAAACAGGCACCAAATACCTGCAACCCCTCCAATAGGGTGACTGACTTATTATTTAGCCAAAATAGAATGGCTTGGATGATCGAAGAGCCCCACTGCCAACCAAGACAGGGCTTATCCACACAGATACCGAGGCCATAGCAGGCGTATATCCGGAGTGCAGTTGGATATAAGCCAAACATCGGAATCCTGTTCGGCGAGTGGAGTGGAGGGGAGGAGAGGGGAGGGGAAGCTGACTGGTCGAGAAGCGAGCCAAGGCACAAAATATGCCAGTGAGACCTGAGATCAGCCATCCAGAGTAAACTTGGGGTCATCGTCATGCGGCTCGGCAAAGACATGACCCCAGTATTCCTCGACTCTCTTGCATAGGTCCACTTTGTTCTCCCACGTTTTGAACGCAGTTTCAAGATTGCAGCTCACCCATTTGATCTCCTCCCAGTAAGCCTTTTCGACATCGTATCCAAATCGCTTGATGGTCTCTGGGGGTGCCAACCAAGCGCGTCCATCTGAGCCGTCCTTCTTTAAGGTAGGAGTTGTTTCCCATCCCATGCCGAAGATCCGGTCACCGGGGTTGAACTTGGGATAGTTTGCGTGGATGAAGAAGACGTGCGGTGCGGGGGCAACCGACTCGTCTTTTACACGCCACTTGTCCTGCTGGATCAAGGCAAAATCCTCGCGCGGATCTGACTGTGCCATAGCCGACCCGGACAGCCCGTCCGCGTTCGCGTGTCCGACAGCCTGCACACGTTCACTGACAGTATAGAACGGTGCGCCTACGGCTGAGGCAGCTTGGATAAAGGTTTCCTTATCTCCCTCGCCAGGTGCCCCTTGACTCAACAAGCGGAAATAATGCGAGGGGCCGTAAAAGTTATAATACGCTGCCAGCAAGAGCGCTAGAGAGTGAGTTTTCTTAGATACTAAGAAAACCCCGGTTTCTGACGACTGTCTGGCAGCCATGGACGGTGCCTGTTGGCGTGAAATTTTGTAGTACAAGGGAGATGCGGAGGAAGCCCAGAAGTCGGGCCATGTGACAAGACCATTGGTTTTGAATGGCTCCGAGTCAAGCAAATCCTCGGGTTTACCAAGAGGGAAGCAGTCGGCATCCATCCAGACTATTTCTTCAAAGGACGAGAAAAGAACCGCGAAGATCTTGAGTTGATAGTGTTCAATGATGTTTTTACCCACCACGTCCGCCAGCACCAAGCACCGCGCATCGAGTTTAGGAAGCACCTCGTTGCAGATTTCTTTCTCGTGTTCAGTGGCGTCCTTCATGTAGAGTTCAACTGGCAACGTTGACCCCGCGCGACGGAGCATGCGCAATGATGAGACAAACACCGGGAGGTATGTAGAGCCAGCTGTCGATACCAGTCCTCGCTTGCCTGGGGTATGAATCGGTTTCAACTCCTTGTCTGACTGCTTGATATCCTCGATGAAGGCCGCATGGGCTTCCTCCATCTTGCGTACATCTTCATCGCTCAGGCCCGTCAGATCGGGTCGCGGCACGTCTTTTGTGGGGTCAAAGTGCTGGGCTTCGACATCGCCTCGCTTTTCCGGGGAAGGGCAACTCGGCTTGTGGCGTTCAATTATGGGTCGAAGAACTTTCCAGAAGTCCTTCTGGCGTTCCGTGAGTGGAACCTCGAATGCTGTGTTTGGGACTAGGGGGACGTTGGAGGACGCGGTGATTGGGGATCGGTAAAAGTAGACGGTGCACACTAGAATCAGAGCGAGCATCGCTAGTACGAGCGCCTTCGCTCTCCCAGGTCGCAAAGCACCCATTATTGCTAGATAGTTCGGATAACTGCGCTTGGATTCAGGGGTTGAAGGAGCGGCGCACGGGCACGCCGATCGACTTTTACTTATCAAGTGAAGGAATAAAAAGGATTCATATATGTATTGCCCGATTCACAGAATGTGACGACCGGAGGAGTTGGTTGCAGAGTTGTGGCGCATCCAGGGAGTCCGGGCGGAAAAGAAGATTAGGCTTGGCAACCTTAGAAGGCCTCAACGGCCTACGTACCTTACGACGTACATGCACGAGTTGCTGGACCAGTATGTCTACATATATTGTCCTATATAATCAATATTGGATCCTTTGAAGGAATCAATATCGGACATGAGACACGAGACCGCTCGAAATCCCCCGATTGTACCCCTGAAAGCCGAGGCCTGCCCAGGTGCTAACTAGCATTGAGGCCACATGAAAGATCGAATCAGAACAAATATCAGACACTGATATTTAACCACTCCCATATTCCAATGGTATGAATGCTTTCATGATCATCGTGGGACCATTTGCCTTTAAAAGGCGTCCCCAATCCACGTGGGCAGGTCGACTAAAGCGCGGATCAGCCTCCACCGGGGAAGATCGCATATCCACCCCCCAACCTTTCCTCCGTCATATTATTATTCCTTCTTTTTGAGTCGAAACTCAGAGAGTCTACAGTTTCTACTTAAATACGTCTTCCCCCCACCAAACCCCCAAACCCCTATTGGATTCGCCGATCTTTCGGGATTCCATATTTCCGCCCCAATTACGAATCTACGGAATCTACCCGCACAAAGTAACTTACGCCCCGTGAACGCCCATTATTTCAATCGCATAGGTCTTTCAGGAGATCTTGACGGATGGACTCCATCCGGGCATTGCCCACGCCAGCTCAAGATGGCCTCCGATAATGTTGATAGTCCCATGCGAGACGCCGCGCCCAAGGGAAAATCCCGCAAGACCGACCCGAACGCTCCGATCCGAAAACGCCGCAAGAGAACCGTGGTCAGCGGAGCGTCCGACGACTGCTTTGCCTGCTCCAAGCGAGGAGCACGATGTGACCGGCGCCGACCCTATTGCTCCCAGTGCCTCGACCTTGGCCGCGAATGTTCCGGATACAAGACGACGTTGACATGGGGTGTTGGAGTCGCGAGTCGGGGGAAACTCCGCGGCCAGCATCTTCCGGTGATGCAATCGGAAGCACAGTCGTCGGGGAATGCAGCGAGATCACAATCGAAGGCCTCAAGGAGCGGTGACCCGTCTTCTTCACGGATGCCTGATAATGCTTCGGCGCCTCCGTCCACCGGCCCTGCAATGGCATCGTTTGAAGCAAGGACGCCGAGTGTGAAACTAGAAGGTAGTCCATCCATGATGCCAGCTGCCTTCGACATGTCTTCAAACCTAGCTTGGACAATGGACATGCCAGATCCACAATCGTGGTCGAACACGCTTGCTGGTCCGCCTGCGATCTCGGGGCTTCCGTCACCCAGTCGGCCGATGATTCCAAGCAATACGAGCCAAAATATGACCTCGGAGCCGCCATTGCTGTATGCTCCCATTCAGAGCCCGACGGCTAATTATGGCTCTCTGGTTTGGCCGACAGCAGTTCGATTTTCATCTCACGCTGCTACTCCCCCAGCGTCACAAGCCGATGAGGAGGATGTCAAATACGATCCTAATTATCATGTGTTTTGGAACGCTGCCCATTCTCCGTCACTTTCACAGCTCCTTTTGGCACGATCCGTAGGGCGGACCCCACGTATTCGTTATCTCATCAGTTACTACGCTGAAGTTATTGCCCCTATGATTGTTGCTTTTGATACCCCAACAAACCCGTTCCGAACTCACGTTATACGCTTGGCAATGGAGAGCGAGGCTTTGCAGGAGGCGATTGCAACGTTGGCTACGAGCAACTTGCGCCAGAGGCGAGAGCACAATCATCTCTCCACGGAACGAACTCTGCCGGCACGTATGTCATCAATGGCTCACCGCGCCCTCACCGACGAAGATTTCCAAGATCGATATGGCATCTCCATGGTCGAAGGGTACATCAGAGAAGAAAATCATCATCGAGGGATGGCCGTCAAGGCTTTAAATGCTGATTTAGCCGACCCTCGTCGCAGGTTATCAGACTCCGTACTGGCAACTCTGTTGGTGCTCTGTCTTTTCCATGGCTGCGATACTGGCGTTGCCGGATTCCGTGCACAATTTGCTGGAGTAACAAGACTACTTGCGATCCGAATGCGCCATTCCCGTGTCGTAACGGATGAACTAAAATGGTTCATCCGCATGTTCTCGTGGTTTGATACATTGACGGCAACTACAAATGACCGTGATGTGCAACTCCGCGGAACATGTTTGGAAATCAGCTCCATAACCGATGGAGAATGGGGTCTGGAGAACCTGGCCGGCTGCGATGGTCGTCTGTTCAAGCTGATTTCTCAGCTGGGACGATTGAATCTTCTCAGCCAGGACCAGGAGCCCAACCTATCGCGCCCAAACGATGCTGGTGTCCCCACTGCATCCCTTCCTCCTAATATGCTGTTCCCGGGATGGGACACAGTTGTGCCCAATACAGGAACGGGCTCCGTACCGGAATACGGATTTTCTCTTCCCACACCGCCGCAAAGCAGTGACTCATCCCATCGTCCTACCTCTCCAGAATTCTGGACAGAGTGGTATTCGCTCAGGCAGCGACTCGAATCCTGGCGATTCGACCCACCTGCTCATGCCTCTTTCCCCTCTCCGCCCTTATCTGCATCTGCAATGGCCTGGAATGCCACGACTTATCTGACGCCACGGACTTCCTCCTCAGCATACCAAGTGGCACCCGAGAATCTCCAGGACGTCTACCAGATCTCGGAGTGTTTTCGTCATGCTGCCCTGCTCTACTGCGAACGTCTAGCCGAGCCGACCCTTCCATCGTCTCATGGCCGTATTCAGCACCTTGTCCAGCTCGCCATGCATTGTATTATTACCGTGCAATCGGACGTATATCTTCTCTGGCCACTGTTCATTGTCGGCTCGGAGTGTGTCCAGGATAATCACCGTTCGATCATCCGCAATCGCTGCAAGGATATTTCCAAGGACTCTGGCTTCATCAACAACCTTTCCTGTCTAGAGCTTCTGGAACGGATATGGGCTGAGCATTCTGATGAATCTTCATTCCCAGTCTACCCTAGCGGGTTGGGTCCCCCGCCTCCGCTGGCTGGCGGCAGGGCACCATCACAAGCCTTCCGTTGGTCGCGAGTTATGCAGGCCAAGCGGGGTGATGGTGAGTACATGGTTGCGTAGGCGGTTTGCCTTCTATCTCTTTTAATTTTTTTGCCCGAGCTATAAGCTTCCGGTTTCCAGCTTTACAGCATTCTGGTGGGACGGGCCCATTGGATTTTTCTTTGTTCGAGGATCAGCGACTCGTGTCTTCAAATGATACCATTCATTCTATATTCAGCAATATTCCCCAACCAGTACTATCTACATTGTACATATTGGCTCTTTTTTTTTCTGGGTTTGCTTCGGGAACCAGCCTTCCATACATATACCTACAAAATCAGGATAACCATTCAAAATATAGACCACGTCATAATTTTATCAATGAAATGAACCTATAAGACAAGCAATTTGGACAAAGGTCCTTCGTAATACGTTGTATGGAATAACTAATCTACGTTCTACACCACCAAGGCTCAAGGGCCAAATAGGGCCTGGCCCAAGCCACTCGGAGATAACCAACCCCGAGTCATCCCCAGTTGATATGCGCAAAAGTAAAACTGCGCAAAAGGACGACCACATAACAACCCAACGCAGGCCATCTTTCCCTATCACACATCTCACGGCGCTACGACAAAAGTACCAACCCACACCCCAACCTAGACCTATAAGCGCTTAGAGACTACATTATAGGGCACAGGGCAAGGGCAGCCACCCAAACCCTATAAGATCAGCACGCACAATGAAAACCTCGAAAGTTTAACACAAAAGCCGGATAGTATCAATAATACACGTACTAATGACCGTCGAAGATCTTCCCGACCGCTAGTATTCCAACCGGGCCTAGAATACTCATTACAAACACTAAAATGGGTTCAAGGATTCGTTTTGATTCTCCCGCGACAAAGCCGATGTCCGCTCGTGCAAGGGGTGGCAGATTAATATGATTCTGTTGCGAACCGTACCGTTCATGTGATATTATTGATGGATCTTATCCAGAGCGTGCATGTTTAATTAGATGCCTAGGGGGTAAGGAGGTAGGTAGGCATAGGTGCTTGTAAATGTAGGTGAAGGGTTGTTATCATTACCGCTCCCTGTACTTCCGGACTTGGCGGACTTGATATCAAAAGCAAATTTACCAATCATCGCACATTGAAATCGAGGAATTCAGCAGTCTGTAATCCCCCGTACGAAGTACAGGGTACCCACACGGCATCTAGGCGTCCACCCCCTATATGTATCTAAAACCTGATCGTCTACGGAGTAGCAAGGATGTTGAGCCGTTAAGCCGCCACGGCTTAATACACTATGTAACCGTAAGCCGTACTAAGCTTAGATACTCCATACTGTGCGCATCGCACGAGAAGCACGGGATATAAATTAAAAAGAGCCAATTATCTCGCTCAGGGGGGGGGGGAACCGGTGTACAAAGATGTGTGTGCGTGTCCCCGTGCGCCAGTTCAAGGTTATGTTCCTACAGCCGAGAAAATATGCGTCCCGGCTTCCAGCCCGTTGGCCCCCTGCAGCCTTGTTAGCGGGCTTGTTGGTGGATTTTGGGCTTTAAACCTTGTTCCAGAAATTCTATCACTCCTAGGCGAGTTGGCATTACGCACTAAATAAATTAAATGGTACATGGATTTGTTTTCTTTCTTTTTGTCCGTCCTCGGCTGAGATCAGCTTGGGTGGCCAAGGAGGTGAAAATAGGGGGGGGCGATATCGAGTCAGATCTGTTAGACGTCGGATTATCTATACAACATAGACAGATACGTCTACTCCGTACTCCGTATATATTTTGTTTTTAATATGCCTGCATGTGAGATCTATCCTGCAGATACGATCAAAAATATGTTAGGTAGGCGATATTTCCTTTTTGGAAAATAAGTAAAAATAAGCCATGTGCAACCCTAGATGATCGGCAGTGCAGGACGGGGTTTGGCCTTCTGTTTGGCTGGTTGATTAAGACAAGGGGGGAATCTCGAAGGGTTGACTCATTCAGAAAAACAAAGCCCTCGAATCAGGGATGGACCTGGGATTCTTCTGTGTGGGCAGCAAGGACGCGCTGGAAATTCCGTCTTTCATTCCTTTACTCGGTGCGTGAGCGTAAAACCTATGTTGTATTTATGGTATTTGTGGCTGAGCCAAGTTGCAGTGGCTCTGTTCTCTACGTTGAACATACAGAGGCATGTGTCCTGTGTCCTAAAATAGAGAATAGTTGTAGATATCGTTGCAGTATTAGTGTGTAGTTTATAGTTCTAGGCTATAACTAGCACTGCCAGTCATGACGCACAATGTACATCTGATAGCGTTGGTTGGGTCAGATTAGTCCCAAAAAGTCAGACTAGGGCTTAGAGTTGATTGTGATCACAACGATAGCGAGTCGCCTATTGTTCATCGCCCCACGCTGAAACAATGAACTGTCGGCGGCCAATGTCAAAAATTGATACATAGCAGGGTAGTGATTTAGAAGTGACTTCATTTTGCTTATGTTGGAGGACACTACTTCATTATGCGGCTTCAATTCCTAACGTGTTGTACACAGCCGCTGCGCATCCCACGATTTCTTACGAGTGCTTGGTAATAACTATCCTATTTTTATTACTCTGTACGAAAATCTTCATCCCACTCGAGCTATTGACGGCCAGCAAGTTGCGGTCTGCAAATTCTCTATTTTTTTCTAGCCCGAAATGGCGGTTGCTGCCCAGCGACGCAGCGGTAAAGCCTGTGCATGACCCGTGATGTCGCCCAAGATGGCAGTGCGAAGTGGATGTGTGTGTAAAAGATATACAGATGGGGCTCATTGGCCTTTTTTGCCATGGCAACGTGTTCGTATATGTTACATAGTACATAGTATAGAGTACGGAGTACAGAGTAATAATATCTAAACTGTTTGGAGCCTTGGAGGTTAGTGGAGTCTGAACCACTGGACGAGACGGGATGGGCCGCCGTGACACCTGGGATGCCGTCGGTCCAACCATGGAACCGACAATTCATACATCCATGCCTACACCTGGTACAACATAAGTACTTACATCGGTCCCGGGGTGATTACCACTATTAGAGGATATTGCTTCATATGCTCGAGATAAGGTATCATTCTCCCGTATACAGTATTCTCCATTTTGCTGCAACTAATGATGGCGTTCATGCAGATGAACTGACGGGGCATGGAAAATGTAAGCCCAGTTCTGGAAGTCGAGCACATGGTTTGCGCTCATCCAACCCAACCATGACACGCCAGCTGATGGAGGGGTGATCTAATCAGTTTCAGCGCCAGACATATACAAGGCAGCCAGTAAGATCTATCATGGAATGACGCTATGTCTTAGTGGCAACAGTCACGCCAGTTTTTTTCTTTACCTCAGAGTGACTCAGTCCAACAAGAGCGAGAAAAAAAAAAACCTCGCTATGCAGCTGCCTTGAGACTGGCAAAGTTAAAGACACCGAGGAAAATGCAGTTGTCCGCTGCCCGATCTAACTGAGGGGCTATCAGCCAAGCGGTTAGCATAGCGTCCAATGGAAGCATCTTCATCTGGACTAGCTTGAGGGGTAGAGACATCGAGACTTCTTCATGGTACTTTAGGTTATGGTGGATTCACGAGTGTCGTAGAATGTACCAGTTCCTCCTAGAGTAGTGATCGTATTTCCAAGGTTGCCACATAAAGTTGAGTCATAATATGTGATGGCTGAGCTCGAGCGCAAGGTATAAAAGAGACGGATTATCACCCAGAAGAAGGAATAGTAGACCTAAATTAGAGGAAATGAATAGAATACCTTGAAACTCGTGAATTTCAATACCCGTAAGAAAGAAACCTAACGCCACAGCCACGACGCCAGCTCACACGCGCCGGCTACTCGCTGATTGGCCAGCGCAAATATCGCCGGCGCTGACATTGGGATCCATCTGTCTTTTCCCTTTCATCGGGTCGAATTTTTTCCCTCTCCACTCTCCCCACTGAATTCAAAGCCATTACACCTTCTGGAGCGGATCTCTGCTCTTTGTTTTCCTCAATCCCCTTTTATCAATAGGAGATCTTGGGTCCTAGGATCCCCTAAACGCACTCTCTCTCTTTTCCTCGGATTGACCGAAGAACGTTCAAATGCTCTCTCAGCACATTCAGTTCCAATCCTCCTCTTTTCGATCCAAAACCGTACCACGGTGACGGTCCTATCAAAAAAATCCTATCTGGCCTGCAGTCTTAAAGTCGGCGTCGATTATTGTTTGGGTGCACGATATCCTGTATAATATACTCGGTGTTCTTTTTTTTTCTTGCTGATTTCATTTAATTGCCTTTGGATTGTTTGCATTTTCGGCTTGTCGCCTCCCATTTACATTTATCTGATCGACTGGTGCTCCATATGCTCGTGCGATAATGTATCATTACTCCAGTCCACCACCCGGGTGGTCAACCTACGACTACACCCAAACTCAATCACCTCCCACCTCACCTCAATACGCCTACTACGCCTCTCAGTTCGCCAACGCCTACACTTCACCCCGCGGGACCTCGCGACGACACAACCGCAAAGCCAGCTACTCAACCACCAAAGAAACACCATGGTATTCGTCGGGCCACCCACAAGGCTACTATGAAGCAACTCCAGACTATGGCATTCCATCGCGAAAGCACGATCATGTAAGTGCTTCTTTTGCGGGAAAGCCCAAACACCACCGATACTCCTCGACCGGTCACCCTACGGGGGATGGCCTCGGCAACGGATACCACCCGTCGCAATCGCAGGCTCGTCCCATCTTCGTAGATGTGGTCGACGAAGCATTCGATGTCCCGCGCACCCACGTTCGCGAACCCCGTACCGGTCGCCGTCCCCCGGCCTCGAACCCCACTCGAGATGGCCCTGGCCAGCACCGTCGCACTACCTCGACCTCTTACCGCAAATCAAATCCAGCTGATTCTCACTTTTACTTCACTCAGGCTCCTAACGGCGAGGATATCGATGCGGCCAGACGTTCCCATACCAGGCGCCAATCTACATCAACTCGCACTCCCAACAAACCCAAACCACCGCCTGCTTCTGCCAAACCGCCACCCACCGCCACCGAAGATGACGCCGAGGCCGCAGGGATCCCTCCAGGATATTCGATCAAAAACTGGGACCCCACCGAGGCGCCGATCATCTTGCTCGGTAGTGTGTTTGATGCGAACTCCCTCGGCAAATGGATCTACGACTGGACTGTCTTTTATCATGGCGCATCGACGCCCATGGCCGACGTCGCGGGCGACTTGTGGCTATTGTTGATCAAGCTGGCGGGCAAAGTAAAGAGGGCTGATGAATGTCTCCCTCGCATCCATCGCGTGGAGGCGCAGGAAGTCGTCGAAGACTTCCTTGAAAGTGGCGAGCGCCTCTGGTCCCGATTCAAGAAGCTCCTCAAGGGCTGCGAACTTTACATGTGGAAGGCCGCCAAACGAGAAGGTGGCAAAGGGCCCGTATCAATGGGCCGCAATGCAGGTTGCGAATTTGTCGAATCGATTTTCGGTCGCGACCGTGAGCTTGAAAGTACCGAGAAGCTCATGAATAGTATTCGACTCTGGAATATGCGGTTCGACGCCAACTGCGAAGACATTCTCCGCCGACCGTCGGCTGCATAGAATGTTTTCTTCATACGTTTTATTTTTTTTTTTCACTAGCGACTGCCAAGGGAGCGATACCCCCAAAGAGACAGATTTTCCTAATACTGCTTTTCTTATCTACATTTGGAGCATTTGACACTTGTTGAATCGCATTTGGAGCGTGTTGCTTTGGCTTCGGCTGGCTTTGCTCGTCGCATTTACTGTTTGTTTTTTCGACCCATGGGCAGATGTTGCCCAGGGTACAACACAAAAGATCATTGTTATTGTTTTGCTTTGCTTTTCTGGTGCCGGCGCCTTGATTTGACCTCGTTTCTTTCATAGGACGGCGCCCGTTTTATCCATTCTACTTCATTCCTGGCGTCCTTGTTTAATCTTTCAATTCCGGCCGTCAAGTTCGTTCTGTCTTGCCGTTGAAGTCCGTGTCACTCTGCTTTGATGATACCATCTTGCGATTTCTTATATACGTGCTTTTCTACTCTTGTCTCTTATTTCCTTTGTCCTTCGCATTACAGCTGTTATCCAGCTATTTTTCTGTCCTTAATGCTTGATTTGATGTTGGGTCGGAGGAACCGGGTTGTACATAGAACCAACACGACCCAAACGTCCGATAGACCAACCCTAACGCTCGTTATACTTTTCTATTCTATACTTTCCGAGATACTCCGTAACATGTAAAATGAATACTATTTCCACGTAGCCCAAATCCACCACCAAATAGCCTGTGATGTGATGTGATGTGATAGCCCTAGAGCTACCCCTCACCCCGGCGCTTCCTGTGCAATGCAAGTACGTACATCGCACATTGTGGATCACTACCCCGCCCTGTAAGACCATCGAAAGCGTCTAGAATCACCCCGGGGGCCGCCGTTGGTTGCTCGGCTTGGATACTAAATAGCTATTTGATCATTCACTGGCTGTACGCCCTCCAAATCAGGTACTATATCTCCAATGACGGCAGCTGATGTCACGTTTCATATAAGTGTAGGTCCCAGCGTTGGATCAGCTTGCATTTTTCTCATGCAGGTGATCGCAGCTGCTATTGGCTTAGATTTCGAAATCCAACCGCTGCATGCACGGTGGTTGGCGGTACCCGAGGGTGTGGCGGCCCTATCACAGGTGAGGCACGGGAGTGTGGGGGTTGCGTGCATGACTTGTGGCTTTGGTCTTGGGTTGCATGGTGATCCTGGATTTGAGGTGTTATTTAGAATGAACGGTGGCTGTTACTATTTATAGTTATGGTGGTTGATATTGAGGTATCTGGTTTAGTATGAATGTAGGCTTTGGGGGATTTGATACTCTTGCTGGGTATATGTGAGCAGCAGTTCTTGGCTTCTATACTGAATTAGTCTTGGCTTGGACTTGGCTTAGACTTGGCTGACTTGGTTAATAAATCTCCCCCTTGGTTTGGAGTCATACTGTGCTTGTGACACGTGGCTCCGAAGGTTGAACTGTAGAAAGCAGCCGAGCAGCTATACCATATGGAAACTCCTGGGAGTTGACATGACATGGAAAGCTCATGACAGTCTGCCATGGTATAAAAGCATAAACTTAGCAATACTTCATAGCCAAGACCATGGAGGTGGATTCCAAGTCCATGTGGCCATGCAACCTTATTTGCCATATCAGACCTATTTTCTCTCAGACTTGTTCAAAATAACTTCTAGAATCAAATTTCTGCCCAGGTGTGTTGTTAACTGAGGTCTGGAATAATGATGACGCACGTGGGACGGTCACGGGACTGCCAGCTGACTGATCGTTGAAATCATCCATTCCAAGGTTTTCTTTGTGAAGTGATGTTGTAGTGCTCGAACCATCGAATTAAGATGATTAGGTGATATATTATTATTTCGAGTTGATATTTTTCGGAGAATTGCTTGGGGGTCAACAACTACCAAGACTCATACTCGTCTTCTCCGCTGTCCTGATGCAATCTCCCAAGGACAGATGAGGATGTGACTCTTCAAGATTCCCTTAACTCAAATATCTAGCTCCTGGCAATTTACCTGATTCCAAGTATCCGAAGGATTTGGCCTCAGACCTATAAGGGTCATTCGACTTCCCGATCTGGGCACATGGCTATGCTAGATGAATATCTACGACAGTTGCGATGCCTACAGACGAAAAGTCTGATAGGCTATCACCATGGGAATGGATCCGGAGTCAGATTCACATGAGGCCACCTGAAGATGACGAACCGCAGTGGTGGTGGATTGCGTCCACGACCATCCCGCTAATTGCTGCTACAACGGGACCACTCGCCAACGTTATGTCAATCGTTGCGCTCGTTATGCCATGGCGAAGCAAAATCCTCTCGGAAAATCAAAGTGCTGCTGGAAACTTCATTCAAGAAGGATATCCAGATCCTCATTGGTGAGTACGGGCGAGAGGGCGTTACTTTGGATCGGATTGTCTAACATCACGAATAGGGCCACTGTTCTAAATGCCGTTTCGCTTTTCTGCGGAATCGTGGGCAATGCATTTTTACTGTTCAATTTCACACAGATTGTACGCTATATTATAGCCTTGCCCGTGACGATCATTTCGTGGTTCCTAGCTGCGGGAATCGTGAGTAACTTCTCTAGTTTTGTATGTCCCAGACCTAACGCTCTTTTGTAGCTCTGTGGAATTACCATAGCCATGCATATATATGCTCCTCCAGTAGGCGCTGATAGGGTCTACTCGCAGGCGTATTGGAGTGCCGTCATTGCGGCAGTCCTCTATTTTCTCTTGGGCGTCCTCTTGATGATCAACATGCTAGGCTATTTCCTGGGTAAATACCCGCAACATTTCTCGCTGACCAATGAGCAACGAACCTTGATCCTACAAATGACTGCATTGATGGTTTGGCTATTAATTGGCGCGGCTATCTTTCAACGGGTGATCGGGATCTCTTTCGCCGATGCATTGTTCTTCTCCGATGTCACTGTTCTCACCTTGGGGTATGGCAACATAATTTCCACCAATGCCGTTGGTCGAGGTCTTATTTGGCCATACGCAGTCATTGGAATTATCATTCTGGGGCTGGTTGTGGAAAGTACCTTTAAATATGGTCGTGAGGTTCACTACGATAATGTGATTTGGAAACACATCGAAAAGAAACGGCAATCCACTTTCGAACAATCACTCATCAACGAGCTCGAGTCTGCTAAAGATAAACTCTCGCCTAGCGGAGTTATCACCCCTCCAGGTCTCACCCGCCAAAACTCCAAGACTCGACGCCATCGGCATCACCGGCCAATCCGCAACACCATCAACGCTATAGCCACGGCTCGCCGACCCAAGATTCTCATTATGCGTGAAGAAAAGGATCGGTTTGATGCTATGCGCCGTATTCAGTTCGATACTATGCGTTTCCGTCGCTGGAACAATTTGATCATGAGCGTCGTTGCATTCGGAATTGTGTGGTCCTGCGGAGCAGTGGTGTTCTGGAAATTAGAGGACATTACCTACTTTGAATCACTCTACTTCTGCTTCACCTCTCTGTTGACGATCGGCTACGGTGATATCACACCGCAGTCAAATCCAGGAAGACCTTTCTTTGTGGTATGGTCTCTAATCGCCATCCCAATCATGACCATGCTTATTTCCGAGATGAGCGACACAGTCGTCGCTAGCTTCAAACGCGCCACTGAAGTAGTCGCTGATTACGTCGTGCTTCCCCAATCCCATGTCTATAAGTCATCCTTGGGTCGGATTCCTATCGTTTCCCAGTTCTTGCTGGCTCGCCAAGCGAAAAAGCAACGAAGACGCGGTTTCCCCCTTGAGGGGGATGATGGATCCGACACTGGGGAAAGAGCGAACCCCGAGGATTCTAGTCAACCTAATATTGAAAGCGGTAACTTGGCCGAGTCTCATCCGCACCGATCCCTTGAAGAACTTGTCCGGGATCCGACCCCACTCGAGCTTGCCCAGCAACTTGCCTTCGCTATTCGCCGCGCGTCGAAACAAGCACTGGAACGCAAGAGAAAGCGATATTCCTACGAAGAATGGGTCGAATTCACTCGGCTCATTCAGTTCACAGACCCGCGAGCTCGGCGACCATCGTCACAGAGAAACCAGCCAGCAAGTGAGGAAGGCCCTTCTAATAGTGAAGACGAATATGGAATTCTCAATTGGGACTGGATTGGTGAAAACAGTCCCATGCTGGCAAAACAGACAGAGCCCGAGTGGGTTCTAGATCGGTTGTGTGAAAGCCTGATTCGGTACGTGTCGACTCAAGAGAGTCGGGCTGTGGGAGGTGGTGCAGATTTGTCGGAGGAGCCAACTCTGAGGAAGGAGAGGGATATTGGGTTGGAGGAGTGATTTTCTGTTTTATTGTTGTTCACGGGTACATATTGCTTGTATTAATTCAATGTTAGCACAGGCCCCAGGGAACATATTCTTCCAAAAGAGGAAGTGGGTCAAGGTCACATGTTGGTGCCTGGATATTTGTGTCTGCCTGGAGATCATGGCCACACCACGCAGATAGTTAAGAGAAGGTGTCTACATACACGTACCGACTGCACAGCTATATGCTAGATGCACCCTCCATCCACTCATTGACATGTCTTCCTTCATCAGGCCAAGCCACAGTCATCATCAGGCTTAGTAGAGTCCCCACATACGTGGCGTGGGGCTGTGTACCTCCGTCCATTCAACTACACTCTGTCTTACATCTGCCAGCTTATATCAACAAACAATATTTCTCCCTTCGCTAATAAAACCCCCATCAAATATGACAGCCAACATCCCTGAAATCCTCCTACTATGCATGGACATCGACTTCATAACAGCCTTCAACGATGCGCTTAAAACAACCTGGCCAGATCACAACCCAGAAAAACTAAAGATCACCCCAATAAACGAGCGCCTCAACTCCCTCCCAGAAGCAACAACCTTTGACCTAATCGTCTCGCCAGCAAACTCCTACGGCCGCCTCGACGGAGCCTTCGACCACGCCATCTCAATGACCTTCAGCCCGCGAAAGGACTACCACGCTCTGACACGCGCAGCGCAAAAAGTGCTATATGAGAAATGGCGCGGCTTTGCGCCACCCGGGTCGTGCACACTTGCCGAGTTCCCGGATGACCTAAAGCAGAATAAATACGGCTGTGGATGGGTGGCTATTTGTCCGACAATGCGTGAGCCTGGAGATGCCCGCTGGGACCGGGAGGTTGTCTATGAGTGTGTGTGGAGCTTGTTGTGTCAGGTCGAGGGGCATAATCGCTCTGCGGAGGAGAAGGAGAAGATTGGGCGGATTCTTATGACGCCGTTGGCTGCTGGGATTGGGAAGGTTAGTAAGGAGCGCTGGGCGGTACAGACAGTGCTCGCGCTGAGACAATTTGTTGACGCTATTGAGAGGCCTGCGAGGTGGGGTAATTTGGGGTGGGAGCATATTGACGAGGATTGTCTGGAAGTTGAGAGGACTTGGACGTTGTGAGTTGTGGTTTTGACTGGCCAAGATTCCAATGGGATGGTGTTGGGAAATGCGTGTCAATAAGATAACTAGCTTTGAAGATATCCAAGAGGTATATCTCTCCCACTGTGCTTCTGTAAGCGAGCCATTCCTTCGGTTCGGTCCATTTTAGCTTTCAATTTGTCTCTAACATTGCAGTGGAGCGGATGGGGTTCGAGGGCGAAGAATGCGGCTGCGTTTCGCTTTCGGTAGTGGTAGCATGGAGAGATACACAAAAGGTTACAGTTCTGTTGTGTTGTCAAGAGGTGGGATTGAGTTTACTACATTCCTATGTCTCAGTGGCCATTTCGTACTATTGTCTACATAGGTATGCATGTCTTTTTGATACTTCCACTTTCCCTGGCCACTATTTAACACCAAAGTATCACAATATTTACCCGCCAAAAAGGAGGCTCTAGCCATTCCAACACTTTGCCACAGCTCTACGGAGTACATAATAGCCCATTCTTTATCAATCATTGATCGACCCAGGCAAAACTGCCACGGAGCGGGGCGAACCCACGCTTGGAATGTGGCAACCAGGCAAGAGAATCTTGGTACGCCATGTTTTGCCCGTTTGGTGAAGAAGCTGTGTTGTTTTCGTGGTATGCAGTATGCAATCCAGTGCTGGAAGGATCTGATACATTTCAGAGCGCGGGTACTTGCAGGATGGGGTATTGGCAGCATTTCCCATGCGAGGATCCCTTCCTGTCAGGATACGATGGCTGATTTTTTTCGATCAGATAGAATGTCGAGTCAGCGGAGTTTAAAGTAAACACTAGTGTCTTCTACCTAACTTGGTGTGTGCAGATCAGAGGTTTCACAGCATACTTGGGAATTTTTGCCTTAAGCGCATAAAGCGCCCGTTTTTTTTTACTTCTGTAGGAATTACATTCTGTGTGGACCTCACTCACAGCTCATATTTAGTGCAGGAAGCCCGCTAAGATGGAGAAATACATACACCCACTGGCCAAGAATCAAATACTTGACCTCACCCCCAAGTTGTACCTAGACCAACAACACACATAAGATGACAATCCAATTCCCAATCATGCCATTCGACTATTTCCAACCCAGCCCAGCCAAGAAATTTGTCTCTCTCACCAAGCACTCCCGGGTGACTGGGGCAAAAGTCAACACGGTGTTTCACGAGCTCAAGCCACTTCAGCCAGACGACTTGATCGGCGAATGGGACGGATATATCCTTGCCACGGGTCACCCATTCGAGCACGAGCTGGACACGCTAAATTGGTTCGGCAATACATTTTATTCCACCGACGACGTGGCACCACTGATGGTTGCGCGGAACGGGGAACGGGTGCCCTTTGAAGATTGGGGGCGTGCATCCGTAAGTCATTTTTCTTTAATTTGTGACACATTTCCAATGCTGCATGGCTATATGCACGTGTGGTTGTGGTTCTCGAAGGAAGCTTGTATGTATTTTGACTCGGGAGATCAGGTCTGACATTCTTTTCTTGACAGCTACGTGAAATCAAATATCATGGAGTTGTCTCTGCAGCTTTGATTTACGACGAGCGACCCATGATGGTCTATTATCGAGCTGTGAAGCATAACATGGTGGCTGGATGTATTGAGAGTAAAAAGTGGCAGGGGAAAGTCTACTTCTATTTGACGAGATAAGTAGATTGTTATATTTAGTATGTAGTCCACAAGTGTTGGCTTGAGTAGGGATATTGCGTCTATTGCTTGAGCGTGATTGTATAACTATATCAGATTTATGAAGTGGTTCCTCGCCACGGCAGTCTGCTGTTGAAGATTCAACCTTTGCCAAGCAGCTTGGCTACTTTTATTTGGCCATATCAGACTGCATAATGTAATGCAGACCACCCAGATGTATCAGTCTGGTTCGGATCGTACACCTTCTCTAGGAGAGCTTTTATATTTTCGCAATCACCATTAGCGACAGCTTTTCTGAACTCTGCCGATAATTGATTCATCCCATCCGGTATAGTCAGGTGTCTTCAATTCACTCCGACGTTTCCTATATTGCGGATTTGGTAACCCATTTCTCATGTCCTTGATCATGCTCTGGGCACTCTGCATGTAGTAACCAAGCCGTTAATGGGAGGGGAAGGACAAGTCAGGATTTATGGGCGTGCAGAATATTCAGGGAGCATTCAAGTGAATAATGGGCCGAAGGCCCTGAAGAGTAAGCGGCAAGAGGGACTTCGAACGAATGATAAATAAAATCATACAATAGTGAGGATTCGCTGGTGGTCACCGTTCTTACACCGTCATTTAAACCACCTATCACCTAACTAGTTAAGGAGCGCAAGTTTACATCATCGTGAGTCCAAGATTGGAATTCGCGATTTTTCCTTTGCATGTTTTACCCAACAACTCGCGAAGAAATCAGAGTTCTATATCATGGCGATCCATTTTGTCTACAATGGACTAGAAAACTTTTTAAATGTCTCAAGGGGCCAAAAGCTTTGCGCCGAGCAGGCCGGATTCGATTGATTGGCATTTTCAGAAGTCGAGCATAACTTCTCCGGGAGGGGATCGCTAAGAAAATGGACCAATTACTGATAGTCATGGTGGTAGTTACCTAGGTAATTGGATCTAAGGCGGCCATTGCGACCACATCTAGATCCATGGATGTATCCATGGGGTTCAACCTATCCCCACATCATAATTCACTCTACGCAAAACTCATCGCTGTCCAACCACTATCTTCGAATTGTTACAATGAAGGCTCAGACAGGGCTAGAAGTAACCCTTCTTTCCTCGTCTAATAGTCTTTCCAATGTTCGGCCAAGTGACCTTGAGTCGTTGATCGATGAAGCGATTCAGACCTGATGGGACGCGCTTGATCATCAGAGTCAAAGGACAAGCAAACTTTCTCATCTAGATCCTCCCAACCGTCGACTTATCTCCATTTGACTCAGACGATGCCATCAGGCAGTGTCGCGACTTTCTCGTCGATGACAAGCGATCAACACTGTCCATTGTCTTTAAGGGTTCGGGACTCACTGCTTCACGGAACGACGAGGACATTACTGGAAAAGGCCCATACCTTCTTGTGGCTACAAGGTTCATGGGGCTTACTGCTCAATCTACCCGGCTCCCATTCAGTAGAGAAGTCTTGATGAACGTGCAGCCCGTATAATTATGCAATATATATGACACGCCAGTATAAAAGGTACCTCGATATGAGATTATTTGGGGCATCTACCTTTTATATGAGCATACCTAATTCTTACAATTTCTGTTTAGTGGGACCGGACCTCGGGACCCAAAGTCACCTGGACAGTCAAAAACTAAGGGGCAGATCAGTCACAAGGCACATTCCGACACTAGCAAGAAATACTGTTTGACCGGATGGAAAAGAGAATCACCTCTACAATATACACACCGAGGAATACATCAATCGCTCAATGGGCACTCATTTTGGCTTACGGTGAGCGATATCATCTTGGTACACCGCTAGATATGCCTGGGATTGACCTTGTACTATAATCGCAGAGCCGGGATTGCGCTATTATCATCAGTCCCGGTCTGGAGCAGACGGGTAATATAAAGAGGATGTGGTTGGCTGTCCTTAATTCAGCCCTATCCGATACTACGCCAGTGCTCTCCACTATTGCGTGCTGACTATTTATTTGTTACGACTTTGAGCTCCCAGGCAGCAGAATACAAGGGGGTCATTAGTTGCAAGATTTGCAATATCATATCAAGTTCGCCCTGAAGCAGTCGGCTATTCTACCTGTCTACTTGTTTACGTGCAGATCGAAAAAAGACAGTCGGATCACAAACGCCGAGGAATTAACTTTTCCCCCTCGGAAAGTCGCCTCGTGCCGACCACAGGAACGCGAAAATTCTGTCAGGCTTTCACCTGCGAACATCTATCTTTTACCCTATACGCACGACGGAGTACACTTTCATACTCGTGGCCATTCAGACCCTGTCAAAATGGAGAAGACAGACGCCGCGGCTACACCCGATCTCGAAGCCCCAGACGTCCCTGCCAGAGAATCCAGCCTCGCCCAACGATGGAAGCAGAACCTGACGCCCACTCACGCAGACTTTGTCTGTCTGCTCCTCACTTTCCTCACCGGTCTATGCGATAGCAGCGCCTACAATGCGTGGTCCTGCTTCCTCGGAATGCAAACCGGTACGAGTCATACCCGCCGCTCCCCCGCAAAGGGGGCGCAAACCCCAAACCAACAAAAAAAAACAAAAAACAAAAAACATCCGGAAACACAATAGAAACTAACAATCGCTCCTCAAAACAGGAAACACCATCTTCCTCGGCCTCGGCGCCTCCAATCAACCAACTAACAAGCCATGGGGCTGGCTCAAGTCCCTCGTCTCGATCGCGTCCTTCTTCTTCGGCTCGATGATCTTCTCGCTCGCGATGCGCACCGTCGGCGCCCTCCGCCGTGGAACCCTCTTCATCTCATTCCTCGTGCAGACCCTGCTCATCATCATCGCCGTCGCCCTAATCGAAGCCGATATCATCCCCCACACCTCCCATGACGCCACCCTATCCGGTGGCCCGCTGTTCCTCGAGTTGATCCCGATCGCCCTGCTGGCTTTCCAATCCGCTGGTGGAATGACGTGCAGTCGTGCGCTGGGCTACAATGAGATCCCGACCGTGGTCTTGACGAGTGTCTACTTTGATATTGCGTCCGATCCAAAGATCACCGATAAGCCGACGACGAACGTTAAGCGCAACCGTCGTGTTGCCGGCGTTGTGTGTCTCCTGGTCGGTGCTATTGTCGGCGGCTGGCTGAGTCGTAGCAGTGGTGGTATGCAATCTGCGCTATGGATGGCTGCTGGTTTGAAATTCGTTGCTGCGATTGCGTGGTTGTTCTGGAAGGCTGCGCCGGCGAAATAGATTCGCACGGCTGTTCAGTGAGTTACCTTGTTCTGGTGTTGTAGAGGTCGAGTAGATTACAATTTATAGTTAGTTGTGCATATATCAATGTTAATAGTTTCTGATCCTGGTGTTCTCGTGTCTTTGGTATTATTCACTCTCTCTCAACGTCCAATGTACTTGATGTATTATGTTCAACAATGTCTAGACTTCTTCCTGGATATGCGGGTGGCTGTATTGGCTGTTATCCTAGTGGCTACAGTGGTGGATCAATTCGATCCCGGAGATGTTGATGTCGCCCTGGTAATGGCGATGACCTTCAATGGTGTTTTGATGCAGCTTATCAAAGATTGGATGAATATGGAGGCATCAATCAGGGCTGTGTGCCGAGTGAAGGTATATTCTGACTCGATGGAATCTTTAGAATGAACACTAACAATCCATTTTTGCAGTGTTGAAACGAGGCCGAGAATATCATGCAATGCAAGAAGTCATCAACAGATTCAACGCTGAGTTTCTGACTCATACTGTCTTAACAGTTGTGCATCGGTTGAGGTTGATCAACCATCCTGTGCATAGTAGATCCGTTTTAAATTCCACAACTGCCATTCAGCATTGTTCTCAGTATTTTGAATCCTGTTCCATATCGTTGCCCAATGCGCTTCTGGTTTGATAATGGCAATTTTTTACATATCGTGAGATTCAAACTAGTCATGAGTTATAAAGGAGACAAGGTACATATGAGCCCCGCTACAGGCCAAACAGTCCACCGAGTATGATACATAGCGACAGAAAATCGACTCGTAGCATTAGAGAGATCAAGTAAGAGATTAGCAGACCTTCAGGCCATGAATGACCATACTAAAAATAATAAAGGGATTCCCTTTCTTAACTCAAGTGGGCTTGTGAATAGTTAATGTTGGTGAGAGAAGGTTATGTGACGCATGATCAGGTACAAAATGCAAACCCTTCCTTGACGACGGAAGATGCGTATGCAATCCAATACCCGAATAAGGAATTCCGTGTCTTGAAGGTTTTGGAAACCAGTCATGCGATTACTAAGTGTTCTGGGGATTTTGCCGTGGTTGCCCGCCAGACTCACGGCTAAATGTTTTGCCGGAGATATCCCCAGCTTCACCAACACCCGGAGCCCCGCAAATACATGTACATGTACGGAGCAGTATGTACATACATATCGGATTTGAGGCCGAGGTCGATGAATTTCCCTTTGCGTTTAGTGCTCATCCCCGCTTTTTGACAACTGTGAATTTCCCGCGAGCGACGTCATCACCTGAGCAGCCTCGTCCTACTCCCGAGGTCATTGAGCAGCACTTCCTAGGCTGATTACTCCATTGGCTTGGGAACTTTCTCACTGCACCTCTTTTTTCTATAAACATAGAGCGATACTTACAGCGGTCTCGTACGCTCTGGTTTCAATGTTAGCCTTCTCTGGATATGGCGGGGAAGGTGGGGGTGGGGACGGGTTTAGATGGGGATTGTCGCCATCTTCAGGAACAGCCGTTGGACAGTGGGCACAGTATAGCCGAGGGTAACTTCTACATCGATGTTTTTCGGAAGTGGGCGACTTTGGATGGGGACTTTCTAGGTGCAAGAGCGATGGAAAAAGCATGGCTGAAGTGCTCTACCCCAGCTCATTCCGAAGACTGTTGGGCGAGAAGTTCTACCACGAATTGGATCTCAGCATCTCTGTTCCTCTGAAGCTACGTTTGACATCATAGATCATATGAGAAGTTGAAAACTAATGTGACAACATAATATCCAATCGGTTGTAGATGGCTATAGCAGGTGGCGAGGCATTTATAACGGCAATAGACGGATTTCGATATCCACTTCAAACTTACTTGGTCTTCAACTATTTCTTCAAGAATCGTATCGCATATATAAAAGATAGCGTTGATCTTTCGAGATAAGTCACAAAAGTATATTCTCAAATACTCTTATTCAAGTTCAAAATGACTGTCACCACAAACGGAACCACCTTTTCCCACATCTCTATCAAGCCTTTGCACCGGACTTTCGGTGCCGAGGTCAGTGGTGTGGACTTTTCGGCTCCCTTGACGGATGAAGTCTTCAAGGAGATACATCAAGCTATAACAAAGGTATGCCCCACATTGCTAGCTTCCATTATGCGGTCTTCGAATTGACAGTGTGGTTACAACGCAGTATGGTGTCCTCGTCTTCCGCAACACCGGTCTCACAGATGAGGGGCATATCGATTTTTCTAAGAAATTCGGAGAGTTGGACGACGTGAAGCCATATATCAGCGCTGGTCGGAAACACCGTCTCAAATACGCAGAGCTCTTCGATGTCAGCAATGTTGAGGCCGATGGGACCATCCTTGACCCCACAAGCCCACGTTCCCAAGCAAACAAGGTAAATATCTAGATAATGATCGAAAGAAATATCTCTGCATAACAGTTCTGACCATCACGGGTACACAGGGTAATGACCTCTTCCATGTGGACTCAAGCTTTAACCCTCGCCGGGCCGGATACTCCCTTCTCCTAGCACACGAGCTGCCACCTAGTGGCATGGGTGGCCACACTGCCTTTGCAGACACGAGGACGGCATTCGACGATCTCTCGCCGGAGCTTAAGGAGCAGCTATTGGCCAAGAACTACATTGCTTGCCACTCTATGCACCACTCTCGCAAAAAGGCCGCCCCCGAGGCCTTTGCCGGGATCAACCCGCTCGATTACCCTATGGGACGGCACCAATTGGTGCAGCGCCACGAGGCATCCGGTCGTATGAATTTGTACCTTGCGGCCCACATTCACCATATTGAAGACCTTACTCCCGAGGAATCACAGGCGTTGTTTGACCAGCTGTTCAAGTACGCAACTCGCAATGAGAATACCTTGGAGATTGAGTGGGAGCAACCGGGCGATCTGGTTCTTTGGGATAATACTTGCACTATGCACCGGGCTGTTGGAGGGCCTTTCGTTCGGAAATACAAGCGCGACATGAGACGGACGACCGTTCACGATTCAAGCTCGACGGCTTGGGGATTGAATGAGCACACTGATGTGAGGCAAGGACTTCCTTGAACTGTTGAAAATGTAGCGCTGGGATATCCATGGCTTGTATGAATCATTGTGATGTTTTATATGTTGATGAAGTCACTCTTTTTTTGTGTTTTACTCTGTATTTTCTGAACATTAAGTCATTTTGAATCATAAATTGAATACCAATTGTTTCGCTTCGTCCTATTCTGCCTTGTCATAATTATAGTTTTTAATTGATGCTTCCATTCTTGCACAATTTGCAAGGTTCAACAGTTGCAGCATACAGAATCTACGTGTATGGAGACGAATCAACCTACCGCACGAGACTGGAATATGATGTTCTTTATTCTAGCAATTATAGAATGCAGCTAATACTCAGCGCGATCCTAGAAACTTAGAACGATGCATAAACCATTCAATGCAAAACCGCCTATCCTATCATAAGAATTGGCCATGACGATTAATTGAATTTGACTACAAAGCACCGACTCAGCGCCATATAAGACAGCTATACATTGCGAAGCGAAGCGCATAACATTTAGGAGGGGCCCTTGCTGAGCCACTATACCTAGAAAAAGTTGCTAACTACGCCCCCGTGTATACTGATTATTTCCTGACAGTTGAAACAAGGGTCTGAAACCCTCTTCCATGTCTCTCCACGGAGAGAATCCTCGTATTGTGCAGGCCGCAGGTCTTTACACTGCAAGTAAATTCCGTGAACGTTGCGGTTTCCTATGCTCCAGCTTCCGAGAAAATGAACCCAAGGGTAAGTTTCCGCGCAGTTCCCGATCTTTTGTGTTAATATCCTTGTTGTGCTCACGCGCCGGGGTTTTCTGGTATGACCATCCCCGCAGCGTGAGTTGTTCGCCTGCAACAAGTCTGTATAAAGGAGGCGATCTTTGGCTTTCTGAGTCTTGGTGGGACTGTGATAAACACGACGGAGTTAGTCGAGAATTGTGTTGAAATCATACACGCTGGAATCGTGTGCGATAGCGAGCTTGGGAAGGACCATGGCCTGAACTTGGCTTGCGAGTTGAGGTAGACGCAATAGGTCTGGGCGGTAGAATCTCCGATGGCTGGTTCATCGATTGTAAGCTTTGCACGATAGCGGCATTTCATGTATCGTATTGCTTGAGGCAAGGGAGAGAGATGAAGAAGGATGGATTCTCTACTACAATTGAGATCGAGCTTGTTTAATAGCCATGTGAAGCCTGACAAACCAGACATCAGCATGTGATCGGCACGTAACCTCCACAGTATCTCACTGACTGACCGGTGAATTTCTCTGGATCTAGAAGTGAAGACTTTGGACATCTTGCTTGAGGGGTAGGCAAATGTTGAACCTGACCCTGGAGAGCCGTTGAAGGTTTTGGATCTCGCCTCGAAGGTTGTCAATGGTAGTAACATGCCAGGTCTTGCAAGGAAGAGTGCATCGAATTCAAAATAACTAAGATAGTAAGAAAGAAGAAGCGAGCTGTATAACGGGAAGCAACCAGTCAATATAGCTGACCACTTTGCAAACGTTTCGGCAATGTGAGATAAGATTAAAGCTAAGTTCTAAACTATAAAATCCGACAGTGTCAATTCGCCTCATTCAGAGAAGCTCAAACCTCTACCACGAAGCTAATTGCGAGGACTAAGTAGAAATATTTGGAAGTTATGGACCAACCTAGGTCTTAAGACTATAAGTTACAGTTTTCATAACGCTGATGCAAGTCATCTAAGATAAAGAGTTGCGCCATTTACTCCAATACCAAGTACTGATGACTTATGAGAAAGGAAGCCATGTTGTATTGTGTGTGTGTGTGTGTGTGTGTTTCCTAAGAGAGAGAAAAGAAGGAAGATTGAACAAGGTGGGGGAGCAGTTCCTATCAACCTAAGAAACGGTCTTAACAAGTACACGACTTTAAATCTAACACGACACGACCTTGCAACTTGCCGCCCTTCATCTCCGCAAAGGCATCATTGATGTTCTGCACCGTCTCAACACGGAAAGGAGTTGAGACTACCCGTTTTGCCATAGCCAGGGTTTCCATTGCCTCTCGACGGTTGCCAACAGTGCTTCCAACAATGGCCAGTTGCTTACCGACCATCGCGTGAGGATAAGCGCCGGCAATCGGCTGTGGATCACCCGGAACACCTACGCACACCAGTGTTCCATTGAACCTGAGATATGATAGGGCTTCCGCATATGCAGCGTTGCTTGCGCTGCAAATGACGGCCGCTGAAGCGCCAAGCCCACCAGTAATGGCCATTATTTCGTCAGCAATGCTCTTGCTTCCATCATCGAGGAACTTGGTGACATCGATGAAAGCTTCGGCACCACACTCCTTTACAAAAGATTCCTTGGCTCCTATATCCAAACCGATGATTCTGAATCCCATGCCTCGGCTTCCGAGCTGCACTCCCAGGTGACCTAGACCACCGCCGGCTCCAGTAATTACCACCCAATCCCCGGCCTGGGCTCTGCTCTTCTTGAGGGCTGAGTAAACCGTAACACCGCCGCAAAGAAGCGGTGCAGCCACCTCACTTGCCAACCCCTCCGGGATCGGCGTCACATAGTGGGCAGGAGCCAGAGCGTATTCCTGGAATGTACCGGGGCATGTATAGCCCGAGATTTCGGAGTTCGCGCAGATGCCGTCGGCGCCAGCCAAGCAAGGCATGCAGTTGCCACAGGCGGAGGCAACCCATTTGATGCCAACACGGTCACCAATCTTCACTCCGGAAACCTCACATGACGGTCCTAGCTGGGCGATGATGCCGACGCCTTCGTGGCCGCCAACCTGTCCGCTTTTTACAGGCTCTGGAAGCCAGCTCCACTAATGAACGAGATTCAGTCAGGCAAAGCATCCCACGAAATTTCTGTGAAGAAAGATTGGTCTTACTGTTTTTGTCATGAGGCTGAGATCCGAATGGCATACTCCGGAGTGAGTACTGGCTTGATGTCAGTGATATTCAATAACGCCAATGAGTCCAACTTACATCTTGACGAGGACTTGCCCAGGGCCTGGGGTTGGAGTATCCAACTCCACCAGGCGAGTGGAGATCTCGCCCGGGTTGTCATAGATCAAGCCTTTGTGGGTTTTGGGGACTTCCATGGTGAGAAATGTAGACTTCGGAGAGGATAATAGTAGCTAACGAAGGACCTTGGTGGTGTGAATTGGGAAGAATTGGGAATTGGTTGTTCTTTGTTTTATAGATGAGTTCCGTTCGGGACCCACCCCCGCAATCCTGGGGAATCCGAGCTTCGTGGCCATCTGTTTCCATCTCCAGCCGTCCTCGAATGTCCGCGTTCACATGGCCATCCGTACCTACGTGTCGGCTATAGATGGCGCGCATACTAACGGGCGCAATTCGAAATTCCGCTATGAGCGAGGATTGCGGGGCGATCTATTGGGATCTTTGGAATAGATAAATACGGCACCATCACAGCAAAAGCGCACATTTATCACCCCAAGCCATATCGCACAACCCCTTACGACCAAGTCAAAAAGAACCCAGTCATACACGATGGCCGACTCAACCCTAAACTTCGAAACCTTCTTCAACATAGTCAATGGCGAGAGCCGAGTCTCCGATACCACGACATTCAGCGTTGATCCTTCCACGGAATCCAAGCTATGGAGTGTGCCCGTGGCCTCCAAGAATGACGTGGAAGATGCTGTTCGCTCTGCCAATGAAGCATTCAAGTCCTGGTCTACGACACCCTTTGAGGAGCGAGTGGGCAAGCTCGTTCAGTGGAGACAGCTTTACGAGCCATACATTGAGGATTTCACCAAGCTACTAATGGCAGAGTGTGGCAAACCCCGTGGCGTAGCAGCCGGCGAGGCGAACGAAGTTCTTGCTCTGTTTGATCACAACGTGCAGCTTCGCATTCCGGAAGAGAGGCTCGAAGACGAGAGCCGCATCGCAATCACTCGTCATGTCCCTGTTGGAGTCGTCGCTGCTATCTGCCCATGGAATTTCCCTCTCGTCTTGTCTATTGGAAAGATCCTGCCAGCTTTGCTGACCGGATGTACGATCATTGTCAAGCCGTCGCCCTTCACGCCGTACTCGGCACTCAAATTTGTTGAACTGGCGCAGCAAATCTTGCCTCCCGGCGTCGTCCAAGCCATTGGTGGCGAGGACTCTATTGGCCCAGCGCTGGTTCAGCACCCCAATGTCAACAAGATTTCATTCACGGGATCCAGTGCAACTGGAAAGAGAATCATGGCTTCCGCAGCCGCGACACTGAAACGTGTGACTCTTGAACTGTGCGTATAATTCCCTCGCACGGCACTCGAAGAATATCCTGCTCACACACAAGATTTTCTAGGGGAGGAAATGATCCAGCAATTGTCTACCCTGATGTGGACATCGAAAAAACTGCCCCTGAAGTGGCCATGGGGTGCTTCGTCTTCTGCGGTCAAGTTTGCGTCGCCACCAAGAGAGTATACGTCCACGAAAGCATTTACGAGCCATTCCTGAAGGCTATGGTGGATGCGGTCTCTCAAATGGAGGTGGGCAAGGCTGACAGCCCTAGCACTGTACTGGGTCCGATGCAGAACAAAATGCAGTATGACAAAGTCCAGGACCTGGTTGCCGATACCAAAGCCCAGGGCTACAAATTCGCTCTCGCTCCGCGTGCGATAGAAGGAAAAGGCTACTACATCTCTCCAAGCATTGTGGACAATCCTCCTCCGACCGCACGAATCGTTGTGGAAGAGCAATTTGGTTCGTTGATCAGTCCCATGGGAAAAAATGAACATACTAATTCTGCTGTGTTTAGGTCCAATTGTGCCAGTCCTCAAATGGTCCGATGAAAATGATGTTATCGCTCGCGCCAACGGAACGACTTCGGGCCTTGGCGCATCCGTGTGGAGTGGAGATGCTTCCCGAGCCGAGAAAGTAGCCAAGCAAATGCAGGCTGGAAGTGTCTTTGTGAATTCCTGGGCGAAAACCACGCCTCGGGCGATGTTGTCTGGGCACAAAGAGAGTGGAATCGGCGGTGAATGGGGCTCTACAGGGTTCCTTGAGTACTGTAACACGCAAGTTGTGCACTTATTCAAGTGAGTTCAGGGGTTTTAACTAGTGTTTCGATGAGTAATTAGCTCGGCATAGCCACAATCCATAGTATAGGAATAGCCTCTGTCATTGAAAAGGGTATGATCTAGTTGGCTCAATAGTAGTCTTTTTAGTAGTCTTTTTAGGGTTCTCTTTGTGTACATATATCTTCTCCCCATCCCAAGTTTTGTAGGTACTAGACAGAAAAGGATGGAAAAGGGTTTAATTTGTGAAAACCACTTTTTTGTGGAATACCGAACTAGGAATATCGCCCCCTTAGACCCTAGGCAGGAACCGAGGTCTTTGTTACGGTCTGGTAGGAATATATATTCCACATATAAGCTTGGACATACGCATGTGACGTATAGAGTCCCGTCTATTACCGAACCCCACAGATTTTGCGGATGCGGGGTTAATCCGGGGAATAAATCCCTTTTTCAACCCTTTCTGCTTCCTACTCCTTGCTATCTGTAAATCTCATGCACAATGACTCGTAGCCAAAATCTCCGTGTCTATCGCGCGTGTCAGCGGTGTCGTCAGCGGAAACTCAAATGTGATCCGTGAGTTGTACACCTCAGTCAACCTCCGCTCTCACTAACATTTTTCAGGTCCAACTTGTCCGAAGGGACAAAACCTTCTTGCGTACAGTGCCTCCGTTCTAGCAATGAGTGCATGCCCGCCGGGTCACGGCGCGGAGGCGACTTCTCACGGTTTCGACGTCCATACGGGGACCGAAGCTCTACGCCAACGCGGGCTAATATAGGCCACGGACTGCATGACGAACAAAATAGAGACGACGAAAAAGTAATGGATGATCCCATCTACGCTGAGTTAACAAATCCGGGTGATGCGCTCCAGATCCTTGCCCAACTCGCCGCGAACGACTCCCAGGTTCCCAATCACCCTAATGACTCTACGACCTTCGATCCTTTCCCGGTGACTCCATCCACGAAGCGAGGGGGGACGGATACCGCTTTCAATATTAATGGTCCGATCGAGTCGATTCAGCCTCCTGTGTTACAGTCGACATTGTCTGAGACAGAGACATTGGTGATCGGTGTGTTAGGCACAGATACTGTTTGCCGTCTAATACATCAGTATGAGGCCCTTTATATTCCGTGTGCGATTTCCCTTCTGACACTTTCTAGCTACGCAGCAAATTACCACACTTTTTGTCCCCTCGCCCCGAAACGGCTTCTGGCAACAACGGATCCGCGCAAGGCGGCAGTAGATGAGCCGTTCCTGCTGACAGTGCTTCTGACCATCGCATCCAAAGACGAGCCCGCATATAAGGATATCCACCAACATTGCTGGAAATATCTCAAGCGGCACTTGTTAGATATACTCCTCGCCACGCCATCTACCTTAAGGGTCGGGTCTGTCGAAGGTCTCCTGCTTCTCTCGGAGTGGGTGCCTTATATGCAACTCGATACCTGTTCCTATCCTAATATGTTCCCGAGGAACCTGAGTGCCGTCGAGGATAATATGGCCTGGTCACTCATCGGCCAGGCGGTGAGACATTCTTATCTCCTGCGTCTAGACAAGGCATCCTTTCGGGAGACGGCTCTTGGGGAGTCGCAAGAACTCGAGAATCGAAACCTTCTAGCGTGGATATGTGCGTTCTATAGATTCCTGCTGGTTCCTTATCGATACTGACTAGCTTAGTTGTATATATCGCCGACCGACAGATCTCCGTCCGTATGGGACAATCATTCTGGTCTCGTGGGCCATCGCTCTCGACGAACTTTACGGCCAATGACTTTCCAACTCTACGTCTCAGGGCAGATGCAGAGCACAAATATGCACATGTGCTACAGGCTACTATTGAGCTCACGCAGCTTCTTCACAACGTGCATGACACTTTATACGCGTCCAAGGAGCGAAGAACTCAAATGGTTCGAAGAGGAGACTACAATCGCTACCTAGATGATTTTCGGCACTCCATGTCGGCGTGGAAAGACCGTTGGGATGGTCTCGAGACATCTCCCAAGCTGCACTGTACAATGCATATCTTCAAGGAGTACGTTCGATTGTACGCAAACTCATTTTCTTTCCAGTCACTTCTTTCCAGGGCAGCTCATCACAGTCGCCCTGCGGGAGAAAACCGGGCAACAACTTCAGGGCCAAAGAGAGCCCCCTCTCTGTTTCCACGGGGCATCATGTCGACCGCAGAGGGTGCATATGTGCTCGAAGCAGTGGATGCAGCCCGGGCGATCCTGACAATAGTTGTCCAGACAATTTCTCAGGCGCAGATTCGCTATATGCCGTTCCGATTCTACATGTACGTATCACTATCAACAATACGGATTGTCTCTGGGAATGGCTAATTGATCAATAGGTATACTGTGTACTCCGCGGTGTTTTTATACAAAGCGGACGTCTTTGGAGCCGTCGTGAGCACAGAACATACCGAAGTCGTCAACTTGGTGCAACATTTTATACAAGTACTTGAAGAAGCTGCCATTAGCGATTCCCATATTGCTAGTCGGTTTGCAAGTTTGTTAAAGCGCATGTGGCTCCCGGACAGGCAGTGCCATTCTCCCAAGCGCAACACATCTTCCACCGCTTCGAACTATGTAAATACGTCGTCACAGCAGTGCGAACTCCCCCGAAATACTGATTTACTCGACGACGGGGCTCGCCACGATCTTGCTTCTAGCATGCAGGTTCCTGAGCCTGCACAAATTCCCACGCCATATTTCAATCTTTTTTACCCTGAATTCTCGACTTTAGAGTCAGAGCTGGTCGAATTCGGGGTAGGCTCAACTAACTTCCCGTTTTGAAGCCGAATATATGGGTGGATGTTCATAATTTCACAGGCATGGAAAGCCAAATCTGTCACCGGATGACAGAAATAAGTAACTAACATTGTATGGGAGCTACCTAAGTAGGGTGGTAATATCAAATTCTAAGAAATCATGAAATTGTCAACTTTGTAGTCTTAGAGTACGCTCTTAGCCTTTGAAACCATCAACCAGGGTAGTTACTAGCTAGCACAATCAAGGCAGTTCGATTGCCACCAGACCGATGGTGGAAGAGGGTACTATCCATAGGGGGGATCAGACCTTTGTGGCAAAACATTATGATGGCATATCCATACATCTAGAATTACCTCAGAACAACCATGGCCCACAAGTATGAATTGACTGGCTCACACTGAGTCGACCTCGGGATATATCGAATCAGTGGCACAATTAGATACATCTGAATGGCAAGTGCGGAGAAGGACCCAAGGTGATGGTAAATATCATCGTCATGATCAAATCATTGCCACCACCTTCGATACACATAAATACGAACGGTTCTCCCTAAATTCTAGAGGATATACCAAACAAACCGAAATAAATCGACATAATAATTATCAATTTCTTGGTATGCTTCCACTTTGACCCTTTTCCTTGAGATGAGCATCGGGAGTTGATAGTGGAGGAGGATGCGATGCTCTATAAGAATTCTTACTAACATTATCAAGACATCATGCCTAAGGATAAAGGTCAGAACAAGGGCGAGTTAGCTTCCGACTCCAGAGCTAAGACCCACGCTACGGAAAAGGCTTCCCACAGCGAGATGGGGCCTAACGAACTTTTGAGTGAACACATGGACTCTGCTGGTAACCCAGTACCTGATCCAAGCTGGGGCACAACCAGGCCACCTGAGGAGGATGAGGATTTGTTTGAGGCTGCGAATGCAGACACTTCGGAATTTAAGGATTAATTTGGGATGGAAAGGGGGTTTTTGATGGGCGAAAGTTAAATAATTATACAAATTATTCTTGAATTTGCAAGCTATCTACTGCAGGTTTCAATAACTACATGTGTGTCTCCATGTATGTTTCAATAGGTTCCAGTACAACATAAGAGACTAAGTACATATAGTGGAGTTCGCGGGCTCATTGCTATGGCAACACAAGTTATAGACGGTGACACTTCGTAGCGTAGAACCTTGGAAATATCATCTTGTTGCTCTTATTTGTCTGTTGTCGAATTCAATTGCAATTGCAATTTCAATTCCAATTTCAGCTTCCGTTCTTTCTTTTTATATTACATTCTTTCCACCGAATATGACTCTGAGCTCAAGTGTGTTTACTATGAACTGAATCTCCCAAGGAAACAACGGCAGTACCGACCCCCTCCCTTTCACTCATTCCTGTCCACATATTCCCTCTCCAATCTCTTATTTTCCCCTCTCAAATCCTCATGTAATCAATCTTGCATGTACCACTCTCTTCTTGATCGACGACGCGACGCCGTCACCGCTTGTGTGCAGCTATTAAGCGACAACAATAGGAACATGGCGCTTGACCCGCGCTTCTATCAACACATCGGCCATTCGGGCCCAGGCTCGATATCTTCAGCCGCTTCATCCGTCATATCGGCCGCCACAGGGATCACCTCACCTAGCATTATCTCGACCTCCGCTTCCGCCGCCACCCTCCGATCTACAGCTTCAAGTCCTTCCTTCCGCGCGCGAGACGGGTTCCCGATATCCAATACCAGAGATGGGATGGCCAGCCCGGCACCAGGGGGAAATGTGCGTGTCGTCGTGCGAGTGCGGAAGTTCTTACCTCGAGGTAGGTCTTGTTTGGGAGAGCTGCGGGGTGGCGCGGTACCCCGAAAATAGAGGGTGTGTTCTGACCTCATCTTGCAGAAATCGATCGCAAGGCAGAATGTTTGATTTCGATGGACCCGCGTACGCAGATGACCTGCCTGCAAGCACCGAAACCGAAACCCGGCGACCAAGGGAAACTCAAGTCCCACGCCCGTGGCAAGATCTTGGAGGATAAATCTTTTACATTCGACAACTCTTTTTGGTCCCATGACGAGGAAGATGAGCATTACGCACACCAGGAAGATGTGTATAATGCTCTCGGTGAAGAGTTCCTGGATCACAACTTTGAAGGATACCACACGTGTATCTTCGCATACGGACAGACAGGTTCAGGAAAGAGTTACACCATGATGGGAACACCAGATAGGCCCGGCTTGATTCCTCGAACGTGTGAGGATCTGTTCCAGCGCATTGAGAACTCCCCTTCTCCTGATATCAGCTACAACGTCCGAGTATCTTATTTCGAAGTGTACAACGAGCATGTTCGTGATCTTTTGGTTCCACGAACAGATCCACCGCATTATCTCCGCATTCGCGAATCCCCATCGGAGGGTCCATATGTCAAGGATTTAACCGAGGTCACTGCACGGAATTATACTGAATTGATGAAGTTTATGCGAAAGGGCGATGTCTCACGAACCACGGCTAGCACAAAGATGAACGACACATCGTCTCGATCTCACGCAGTCTTTACCATCACTCTCAAACAGATCCACCATGATTTGTCAACAGATGAGACGACTGAGCGCACTGCTCGGATTCGGTTGGTCGATTTAGCAGGTTCCGAGCGTGCCAAATCTACCGAAGCAACTGGCGCTAGACTTCGTGAAGGTGCAAATATCAACAAGTCTTTGACTACGTTAGGGCGTGTCATTGCAGCGCTTGCCGATCCCAAGAAACTCCGTGGCCCACGAAAGGGCAAAGAACTCGTACCATACCGTGATTCCATCCTGACATGGCTACTGAAGGACAGTCTAGGCGGCAACTCCAAGACTGCGATGATTGCCTGTATCGCACCTGCCGACTATGAAGAGACACTTTCGACTCTTCGTTATGCGGACCAGGCCAAGAATATTCGGACACGGGCACGGGTCAACCAAGATCAAATGTCGGCAGCTGAGCGTGATCAACAGATTGCGGAGATGACAGAGACAATTCGCGCCCTACAACTCAGCGTGAGCCAAGCAGCAGTCAACCAGCGCGCAAGCGAGGCCTCCGATGAAAGGCTCGAAGAGTACCAGCAGAAAGTCGAGAAAATGCAACGCCTCATGGAGGAGAATAAGATGGTCAGTGAATGCAAGATTCGACAACTGCAAACAGAAAACGACGCTTTGCGCATGCATTTGAAGCTAGCGGTTGAGAGTCTCAAAAACCCAATCCCGGCCATTACCCTCGAGCAGCGAAAACCTAGCATTGGGTCCCTGCAAGATGAGAATCAACCGCCCAGTCATGACCCAGAAGACCGTGAAGGCTCTCCTTTAGTATCAGATGCCGAATCTGAAATAGACGTTTGGGAAGATGATGATACGGTCACCGATGATATCACCGACGAAGAGGCCCAACAGATGCAAGATTACATGCATGAGCTTCTTGGTGACCTGAGTGTCTTCAAGAGAAAGCTGGCCACGGACCATGCCCGCTTCCGTCCAATCGAGGAGCATACGACTCAGAAACGCCGCGCCTTAGGAACCCTTGTCAGCAATCGTTAACATGTGAATACAAGTTTATTTTTATCTTTTGGGTGTACAGGGATTGCATGGTGTTGGTGGCGAGCTCTTTGTTTGCACTTCCTTGTTTGAATTAGGCCCAGACTACTTTTGGCCCGTGTACTTAGTTCTTTGATAGCGAACCCTGCGATGAATAATGAGACATTTGACGTTATGTATGTTTCAATGCTAGCTACCTCATTGATTGGGTATCACCATTCTTTCAGGCCGCATTCTTATATGAGGCTATGTCCTTCAATCAGCAGTTGTAAATTATTTCTGTTCAGTATCTAACCGAAGCCAAACGAGAAACTGAGAAAATTCAACGAATATAGTTACGCTGTTTATTGTATGCAATGAACCGCAAGTTAGGGCTGCGCCGCTCAGTGAGCCGCTTATGGCATCATTTCATTTTGCGTGAGTCAACCCTCCCTCCTCCCCACCATCTTCGCAGAACCACACTCACACGTGAATTAATTCACAGACAAGATGACGGAACCCTCCAATTCAGTGCCGACCGCGCAAGTCTTAACTCCTGCCTCGTCAGCACTAGAGCAATCTCAACCCGTGACCGAAAACTCTCCGCAGACTCTCCCGATCCGCGACTCAAAACCCACTAAACCCACCGGAGATGCGCCCGCGTCCACAGACGGCACCACAGATAAGCCGCTTAGCCCAGCCGAGTTGAAGAAGAAAGCCAAGGCTGATAAGGCTGCCCGACGTATCCGAGAGAAACTCGATAAGGAAGGAGGCACCATCGGTAGTGCCATTCCCACTCCTGGTGTCGGCGCCCAGGCGCGTTCACCAACTACGCCGAAGAAGGATGCCGCTGGTGCTGGCTCTGCACAGAAGGGACCCCGACCTCTTACCCCGCGCCGTGGCTCAGGTCCCCTCGCGCAAACTGGGTCCGTTCTCGTGGAGCAAAAGAAGAAGAAGGATGATAAGAAGGTTGCTGTCTTCGGCCATTTGTATGGACAACAGCGCCGTGTCACTGTCGCCGGTGCCACAAAGGAAGTGCACCATGCCATCTTGGCCTTGGGTATGCAGTTGATGGACTACACTATCTGCGGCAGCAGTGCGCGCTGTGTGGCAACGTTGATTGCTTTTAAACGAGTATGTTGTTGTTCTTCTGTTTCATGCTGGTAAGACATGACCCTATACTGACAAGTCACTTTCTCAAGGTCATTGAATCTTACACAACCCCCATGGGCACCTCTCTGGCTCGCCACCTCACCACGCACCTCTCGTATCAAATTACCTACCTCTCGACATGCCGACCCCTCTCTATCAGCCAGGGAAATGCTATCCGTGCCCTGAAGCTCTTCATTGCAGGCATTGATCCCTCTACCCCCGAGACGAGTGCGAAGATCTCACTCTGCGAATACATCGACAGCTTTATCCGGGAGAAGATTACCGTCGCCGACCAGGTGATTGCAGACAGCGCAGCACAGAAGGTTCAAGACGGCGACGTGATCGTAACATTTGCCGGCAGCAGCATTGTCAAGCAGACACTTTTGTTAGCGCACAACCAAGGCAAGCGGTTCCGTGTCTCGATCATTGACTCAAGGCCTCTCTTTGAAGGCAAAAGCCTCGCCCGCGATCTCGCCAAGAGCGGGCTCGACGTCCAATATTCCCTCGTCCACGCCATCACCCACGCCGTCAAGGATGCCACAAAGGTCTTCCTCGGCGCTCACGGCATGACCAGTAACGGCGGCTTGTACTCCCGCGTCGGCACCGCTCTTGTTGCCATGTCCGCCAAAGAGCGCGCCAGTGGCGTCGAAATCCCCGTCATTGTCTGCTGTGAGACGATCAAATTCACCGACCGCGTCGCCCTCGACAGCATCGTCGTCAATGAAATCGCCGACGCCAACGAGCTGCTACCCTTGAACACTCCTGTCTCCCTCGTCGTTCGCGACCCGGCAGATGCGTATGTCCCCCCTCCGCCTGAGAATAAGAAGGGTGGAAACCGCACCCCGGTTCCCGAACCTCCTGTTACCCCGCACAAGACCTCTTCGTCGCCTCTCGCGAACTGGCGCAACACTCCCAACCTGCAGCTGCTGAACATCATGTATGATGTTACGCCTGCGGAATACGTCGACATGGTTATTACTGAGATGGGCAGTCTTCCTCCCAGTGCTGTCCCGATTGTCCACCGGATGGTGACAAACCTGTGATGTATTGATTCTTCGCTTTTTTTTGCAACATGGTCATGAATCTGGAGCGTATCGAACCTGTAATCTAAATTAAAAGCAATGAAAGTGGTTCCGACTGCTTAGGCGTCATGATTTCTAGGTCTGTTTTGTCTTTCTCTCTTTTATCCTTGTTTTCCGTTTGGAATCCTCGTGGGTCAGCATTTGGGCTGGTTGGTCTGATTGTATGTGTATGTTTTTCCCATTTCTTACATTTATTTACTCGTTGGAATTTTATTTTAGAACAGGATGAACAGACAATAAATCTCTTTATGTACATTCGGCTTTGGAATACGGAATACTTGGTTCCCAATGTCTATAGGATTGCAGGGCTATTTGTACACGCCATCAGGACATGCCGTGGGAAGTGTTTAGATGATTACCCCGGAAATGGACGCTTCTCTATACAAACTCAAAAAAGCGCCACAACCATAGATTTGCGAAAAATAAACCGCAGCTTGCAACAATTTACATACACATACGAATTAAAAAGACAAAAAAGAAATCGACAGCTCAGAGATTCGAACTCTGGTCCCCGAAGGGACTCGCTTAGCAGGCGAGCGCCTTAACCACTCGGCCAAACTGCCAATAGATGATAGTTTGCCACTCAATAAAATCAATATTTCATAGGGTCAACATTTGCTCTACAAAGACTATAAGTTAGATGGTTTACAGGTTAGTGGATGTCTTGGTAGACTATGAAATTGTGCTAATAATTTTAGGGTTCGGAGCTCAGGGGTTTATCACCTATACGGCCGTACAATGAGACTTCAACCGTAACATAGATATGTGAGATAGGAAAAGAACCATTTATAGTAGTCGAGTGCAACTTTTCAACATCAATTAATCTCATCACGATCTCTGAATGGCCACCCCTTTCTCAGTAGATTAATGTCTTCTGTGTCACCCTCCGCAGTAGCTATTAGGGAACTCTCAAGCTCGGCAGACTTCCGAACAGCCTCTTCGAAATGCTCATTGCTGACCCAGCCATCTTCACTTGTTACTTCTATCTGCTCCCGCCAATGATCCACAAGTTTGTTGATATTAAACCATAGTTGCTCCTATTCATAGAAGCCATCCAGCTCCGCATCGGTGAATCGCACAGGACAAGGTATTCCTATATCAGACAGGTGGGGCCAGTAATCAGCCATGAGGACTAATGCCCCTTTCAGTGTCATCAAGTTTCCACTCCATTGCCTGCCGGCCCTATCAACAAGATGCTGGCGAGGAAAAAGGATGGGATCACGAAGAGCTTCGAGGTGCGCCTTGTTCAGGTGACCGTTAAAGATACGATAGTAGTAAGAGATGAGACGGCGTCGCTGGAGTTCATCAGCTTCGAATTTTTTGTCAGCCGGAAGCATTCCGTATTCCGGTGGAAGTGATGGTTCTTCAAGATGAGGGGTTTTTTCTGCATCTGGATTCTCGAATGTACGGGGGTAGCCTGCGACCAGCAAGCGCGGCTCAATTGTCGTATGTTGCCAGTCAATGATACACGAGGTGGCGCCAGAATCGGGGGAAACAAAGATGTTATTTGGGTTCAAATCTAAAGATCGTCAGGTTTTGTCAGTGATGACTGTCAATGAGACGTACCTGGGTGGCGGAGAGTGGGCCGATTAAGTGAACTGTCAGCAACCTTTGGAAGTAGGTATGATGCCAATGCAATGTACTTCTCCAGAAGACGGAGGTAATCCTCGAGGTCTTTTTTCCCAGGGAAGACATCATTGTGCGGGAAAGCAAGTTCTCACGGCTTCCCGTACCGCTGAGTCCATTCAATTTCCTTCTGTGCGACAGATAAAAGATAATCTTGGGATCGTTCCCTGTGATGATCAAAATCTGAACTTCAAAGTAATGAAAGTTACACTCACATGGACCACAGCGGAGATTCAGACCGGCCCTTCCTTCATACCAAAACATATAATCCGCAGTTGGACCAATGCAAAATATCTCCGAGTCTTCACATTTTTCAGTGCTCGCTATATATAGCACAGCTTGAAGTTCAGCGGGAACATCTTTCTTGAAATAAATGCTCCCAATAGACCGGAAGATCCCATTATAATCGACTTGGTTGTCATTCAATAGGAAGTTGGGGGAGTTCAACAACACAATTCAGACATTAGATGACAGAGCGGGCTAGAAGTTTTAATGTAGAATTAAACCACTCATCGTCCAAGAGCTATTGAGCCGAATGTCTATCCCTAGGATCAAACTTCGTGATCTTACGAATGAACTTTTTGTCCTCAGTTGAGACCTCGTTTGTTGAAATATGTCAAAGGGCATCTGCTTCCCATGAAGACGGCTCATAACCTGCATAAGCATATATAACGTGGAAGGGGGTGCGATTTCCTGATAAGAAATAGGAAATGGTCCAAAGAACTGACATTGCCTTGTAGGAATCTTATGATCATATTCATCATGATCAGCTGAGACATCGGGCTTGAACATGAAGTAGTTATCGCCATATATCAATGTGATGAGCTAATAATATACGTTAGCAGGGAGACAATATACGGGTGGTTGTTACACGCATTGCACACATACCATTGTACCAAACGACCATATATCAGTTGAAATACCCCAGCCAATTCGAAGATGAGCCTCAGGACTCCGCCATATGGGTGCCCCTATGAGATTTTCATCGTACGCATACTTGGAAGTCGCAGGGATAGTACTTCCAAAGTCTGCAAGTTGCACATCAGTGAAGCTTACGCCCTCAACTTCTGTGCCGTAGTTCACGAGAATATTGTCCTGTTTGACATCTGCCACGATATAGTCAGATTAGAGTCTGCGCAAAAGTTGCGGTGATCATATATTGACCGGTATGCACAAATCCGCCTTGATGTAGCACATCTAATGCTTGTAGGACTCGTCTAGCAACTTATTTGATTTCCACTTTGTTTTAAGCACATCTCGCTCGTTTTCTAGGCGAAAGTGGCGAACACTAATGACCACTATTTGGCCGATTTGAGACCTTTCACAATTAGCCTTTTTCGTAGACTCGCCGGGCTGATATCCGCGCACCTTGCCAACCAGACACAGTCCTGGGCATGCTTTATAGTATTATACGAGGTCACTTTGCCCTTCAAACTCTGACCAAGATGGAATAATGCAGACATTTTCCTTCGACTGTCGATTAGTTATTCAGGAGAAGAATGGAGCAAGAAAGATCGCAGCAACTCTGGTAAACAATGGGCGTTGAAGTCTCACCGGCTTTCTTATGTCTCATGCTGGCCACCGTCGGGGTCAAGATCATCTAGGGTTAGAGTTAAGTAAGTTAACATTTGTCTTCACAAGACGAGAGTCACGAGACAAGCCGAGGGGTCTTAGGTAGATGTCGACATGATTAAAATGAGGCTTATTGTGACGAGAGGCTCTTTGTCGACGCAACGACGATCCTTTGGTAACAAGCTGCCGGCGCAGAACGTGTACAGGGCCTGGTACAATATAAACAACTCTTCTCCAAGCACTCGGACAAGCCGAACAGTTGGTGAAGCACCATTTGGGGGTAGTATGAGCCCAATGACACAGTGCATCTGTCATTTGCAGAAGCGTAGTCAAGCTACTAGACCTCAAAATCACAATAAGTATGGTGGGTGGTTAAAAGGAATATACTAGTACACGGACAACCCACCTGAGCTGGAGAAATAAAAGTGGACCTGTGGCGGAGACCCACTCTCGGATTATATATAATACTATATGCGAGGTTTATCCAGTGGTGATGAGTCTTGAGCACGTCGCGAACCCAGGGGAACTTGTACAAAGTAAGTCAAGAGATAGGACCACCAGTTTGGAAAATAAGTCATAAACTACTTATTGTAGGTATCAAGGCAGATGATATCATTTTCGTAGAGCGAAAAAAAAAAAAGAAAAACGAAACGACAGCTCAGAGATTCGAACTCTGGTCCCCGAAGGGACTCGCTTAGCAGGCGAGCGCCTTAACCACTCGGCCAAACTGCCGATTGATGATAACTGTTACACTTGCTTATTTTATTAGGGAGATACAAAATCAGGCATTTACGGTCATGTACATGTGTCCAACTAACCAGCCTTGGAATGTCCAATTAATTATGTGTACAGTCAATATCTGATCGTTCTGTTATATCCAATCATAAATGAGGTTTATGGTCAAGGGCAGGTCAAAGGAGTCAGTCCTATGGATGTATGCACTGTTGTCGAGATCAAGAGAGTAAACAAAGGCCGTGTTGTAACTATATGGCACTTGGGAGAAGTTTTGAGAGTGAATTTTGCTGGCTGTAGATCTGAGATATTAGCCTGCCGGTATTGCTGGCTCCAAATTTGCTGTGTGTGATTCAGTTATTCCCTGGCAGATATGTATATATATTTTATTTCGAGACCCACATACTGCACCTCGTGGGAGTAATCGACTCTAGAGAGAAAGATATATGGCACCCTTTCAACCACCTGCTACCAGAGAAGTCGGCGCCGTATGCGGCTTTTCCTCGATGAAACGTTCTAGTAATCTGATCCACCACCAAGATGACCCAAGGGATGTTATGCTTAGATTCTTCGACAACGCCTTTCTGTATGTATTTGTTGGATGTTACCGCGACCCACCTATCAGTATACCAGTTAAAAGAATGAAGACAATTTATCTGCAGGTATAAAAACAAAAGGAATAAAGATTAGGTGGCGTAGGACCAAAGAGATCTCGACAAGGCAAACGAAGTCCAGGTACCTCTATCCCTACCGACACTCCGGTTGGGAGCGTATTATCAAGCCTGTGATGATCAGGTTTGATGAGAGCTGATATTAATTGTTTAGAAAATAGATAACTACAACTTTGCATAGTATTGCGACACCCCCATTCGTCGCATCATCTGGAAACTACCTATACTTTCGTGGAAAGCCCTAAAATGAGTATTTAGATCTATCGACTCGAAAATGCGAGAAATAACCAAACACTTGCTTCCAACTGCTTCCAATGAAGTAGTTACTAACTAATACTTGCTTTATTAACTATCGGTCATAATGATTTATCTCGGATAAATGCAATATCTATCTTGTTGGGTGGCAAAATATCACCAAATAGGCAGTTTGGCCGAGTGGTTAAGGCGCTCGCCTGCTAAGCGAGTCCCTTCGGGGACCAGAGTTCGAATCTCTGAGCTGTCGATTTCTTTTTATTTTTTCCCCCCCCTGTCTTATACCTACACTTGAGGAGTTATTCCCCCTTCTCACTTTTTATACATGGAGCCATTTCCTTCTTGCGATACGTGGATATGTTTTCTAAAGCCATATAACTAGTGATTACCTTGGATGTTGTCATCGAAATTGCACACGTGATATGAGCGGTGTACCCAAGGGCTATTTTGCCGTCAACAACCGTCAACATGCCGATAAGGCATTGTGAGCCTCAACAAGTTCATTGGCAAGATATTCTCACATCTCTTAAGATCCCTGTTAGCGGATCAAGGATCCCTCAAAATGGTAAATACTGAACCCTACTCTCGCCTAGAATCCCCTAGATAGTCCACCAATTCCCAAGCTAACACCAAACCACCAGAGCAAAGACTCCTCCGCCTCATACCTGCACATGCATCAGCCGCGGCTAGCAGACCTCTTCGAAGAATTTACACGCCCACACACCTCAACAGCTACCAACTCAACAACAGACCCACACAACGCCAACAGCGCCTCCGCTGCAAATCGCGAAGCAGCAAGCACAAATGCCATACCCTACGGGTCGACCTCTCCCTCCACAATCCCCTCATTCCTGCCAATAGAAGACATCTACGTGGCACCGCAATACCAGCCCCCGAACCCTGAAGACGAGGATGATGTCGTCCCAGACCAGCATGCGGCGTTCGGCATCACTCGCGCCATGGAACGGAGACGAGAGGCCGTGTGGCGCGATCTTGGTCTCGAGGCGCTTGTTAACGGCGAAGGATATGGACCTGATGCTGGGCCTTTGACTGGTGCTGGAGGTGCTGGGGCTGCAACCTCTGGGCCTGGGGCTACGCTGCGGGGTAGTGGGGGTGGTGCGGCGGCCGCTGGGGCGCCTGTTATCAGGGTCAGGGATTCTGGGCGGAGGATGGGTGGACGTAGGGTTATTGGGTTGCGGTAATAGGCATCAGTGTTTACTGAGCCTTTTGAAGAGTTGTCTTTTATTGGGATTGTTGCTGCGAAAGCCAGGCGGGTAAATGGCTGTCCTGTGTTGCATTTTTTACTGGAGCAGATTCTTTCGGGCTGGATAGCCTTGTTATGATACCCACGTTGGATGTATCCTTCTGTTGTTATGATATATCTTGAAGATCATTGATTCGTTTCCGTTTGCGATTTCGTTCCAAGAACCGCCAATATCAAATGGCTGCAGATCTAACTTAGTCTGAGCCTTAAACGCCGCGCGTAATGCGATATGATTATACATTCCCCTAGATACGAATGATGTCGACCCGAGCCCGCTCGTACAGTTTGTGGCTCAGTTGTTTCTGTTCGCGCTCGTCCTCTGCCAACAGTCGGGGATGGACGGCCATTTGGGCGTATGAGCCCGCGGCGCGACGCTTTGATAGGGTGCCCGGGTTGATGACTAGCACACTGTCGACGACCTGCAGAAATTATCAGGTTAGCACCATTATGGAAGGTGGAAGTAAAAAATTTCGGCTAGGGATAACATACTTTCACGAAAGGCGGCAGCATGCTAGGCACAATTAGAATATCAGGCCGGACATTCCACCACTCGCCTAGTTTCATGTAGGGAATATCCAGCATAGCACCTGTAGCCATGCCACCTTCGAAGCCGGGCTTTGGAAGATTTGACCGTGCAGTCGGAGGGAACAAGGGGAAGAAATGGCGTTGCTCGATGAGATACTTGGGCAGACGGGTGAGCAGGTTACCCTCTGCGGGTCGACCATGCAAGACCTCTTCGCGGCGAAGTTCGGAAAGCACATCGTGTGAGCACATTCCAATAACGCATTCGTTGAATGACAATGTGGCGGGATTCGAGACAATGCGGACCTGCTTAGGGAGACCAAGGTCCTTCCTGGGGAGCTGCTCCTGGGGCCAGGAGACGTGTCGGCTGAGTACATCGCGGACAGACGGAACCAGCACGATCGTGATGCTTGGGACAGCTGCTGCAAGTCGTGCTAGTGACGTTGAGATACAGTGCCGGAACATTAGGGACATTGTAGCTGTGTCCGGATCGAGGCCCTTGATGTCTGGCAGGTCAAAATCGCCCGATGCAAGAAGAGGGTGCTCGATGTCCAGGAACGGTCCCATCAGCACCAGACTGTCGGCGTAGTTTTCGGCTGCCTTCTGACATAGTTCCTGCAGTGGCTCGAAGTCCAGATTGTCGTCCGCTGTGTAGGGACCGGCCGCAACCATGATATTAAGCGGTGGGTTTGCATCTCCGTCAAGTCGCTCGTTGATGCCGTCTAGTACCATAGCTGAAGATACGGCCGGTGGCATCAGGGGAATTGGGAGCACTTCCTTGACAGTGAAATATTCACCAGAAGGGTTGATTCCTCGGAGAGCCACGATTTGGCCTGGGAAAAAGTTCACCGAGGGTACGGAATCCACCTTCAATGGGACTCGTCTGCCGGCTCCGGTCCGACGCGAAGTCTCAAGTACGAGGGATGCCGGGTTCAGTTTTCCCTCGAGACTGTCGGAAGCGATCCGCCCGACAGCAATAATCTCGCTTGTACTCTGGATAGCTGCACTTCCAAATGTAATATCGTCTGAATTGAATTCTGCCTGGAATATAGTCGCGAACACGTCTATACGATCATCCAGAATTTCCGATGCTTCTGACAATTTCATGCCCATGGGCTTGTAGCCAAGCTTTTTGAGGTCCGTATTCGCTGTTGGCTTGATGCGCGCCTCGGAAAATGGCGCCATTGGGGTTGCTGGCTGGGATAAGTGCGCATTGAGGGTTTCTATCGTTTGACCAGGATTCGGTCGATCGGAGAACGAAACTGCTCTGTTCCTGATGTCAGCACCTTCAATTGAACATACACGCCCCGAAAGTACATACTGCATGCCATCGCCAGGTGTTCCAGTTGGTGTTTTTGTGCCGGCTTGTGATCCAAACTTTTCGAACTTGCTGACTTTTGGTGTAGCGGGGGAGGTGAATTCGGCCTTGCGCTTCGCTGATCCAAATCCATTCCCAGTTCGAGCATTCGAGCCAGTTGGTGTCAATTGATCGAACATCCCAAACATATCGCCACCAGCTGCAGCCGCGCCCCGCGGAGTTGCTGTGTTTGCAGTTCGTTTTTCTGTGTGCCGGCCGGCCTTGTCACGACTTTCGCGTTCCAAAGCTTCTTGAACATCTTGCTTGAAGCCTCGCACTGTTTGCATAGTCAAGGTTACCCCTTCGCCCATCTTTATGCTGTATGATTCCCATTTGTAGAACAGCTCCTCCGCGGTGATCGAATGCACCCGCAGTATGGAGAAGAGCTCGGCAAGGATGTCTTTTGGGATTCCATCGGGGAATGAGCCCACAAAAAACTCATTGAGCTCTCCCTCGGCATCCATTATGGCGAGGTGTGTATCGTGGAAGGGCAATGGACATTGAAAGTGCAGACACGCGCAAGACGCGTGAGACCGTGTCGCTGACCTAAGCGGCCCAAAGCAGTAATATTATTCGAGTTTGATCGGAGTGGACCTGTCGATCGCGAGAATTGTGATTAGCTTGCCCCTAAATTTATTATTCATTCTCTAGATTCCCACGTGTCATTGTAAATTCTATATATTTAGATCCATCAAGATCATGTCGAACTCCGAACAAGGCGCTACTGTGCACCCGCCCACCAATGGCGATACTGTGTCCGATACCAACATGCAGGCATCGGCCGAATCAGCCCCCGTGAACGCCCAGGACGAGTCTACTTCAACCTCGCAGCCAATTGACCTCGAGCTACCGACATCCGCTGCCGACGGTCTCATTCAGAAGCCTTTCGGCAAGCCGCTGGACACAGCCAAGCCAGTCGCACCTGCGCCGCTTACCCCGGAACAACAAGCCAAGTACGACACTCTGTTGAAGCTCGTTTCATCATGGACCACAGTCGCAGACAAGGCCGAGAAGAATGCCCCGACATCTCCTATAACCGAGGATGAGCAGATGTTCTTGACCCGCGAATGTCTCCTGCGCTACCTACGCGCGACCAAGTGGAACGTGTCCGAGGCTGAGACACGACTTCAGAGCACTCTCACCTGGCGCCGCGAGTATAACCTGAAGAAATTGACGCCTGATTATATTTCAATCGAGAATGAAACAGGCAAGCAGGTCATTTTGGGCTATGATATCAATGGACGGCCATGTCTGTATCTCTTGCCCTCCAACCAGAACACGGAGAAGAGTGACCGCCAGCTCGAGCATCTTGTCTTCATGCTAGAGCGGGCCATTGATCTCATGGGACCTGGTCAGGAAACTCTTGCTCTGATTGTCAACTTCAAAGAGACGAAGTCTGGCCAGAACGCAAGCATCAGCCAGGCCAAGCAGACGGTCGGCTTCTTGCAGAACCACTACCCTGAGAGACTTGGTCGGGCTCTGGTGATCAATGGTTAGTGATGTCATATCCCAGTCAATCTTATGACAAGTGACTAACCTCCTATATTAGTGCCCTTTGTCATCTGGGGATTCTTCAAATTGATCACACCCTTGATTGACCCGAATACTCGACAAAAGCTCAAGTTCAACGAGGACCTGCGTCAACACGTCCCGCCTAGCCAACTTATGAAGTCCGTGGGTGGTGATGTCGAATTCCGCTACGACCATGCATCCTACTGGCCTACTTTGAACAAGCTGGCTGAACAGCGCCGTGAGGCGTACCGTGAACGCTGGGTTCAGGGTGGCAAGCAGGTCGGCGAGTTTGAGAACTACCTGAAGGGCGAGGACGTTCCCAACCTGTCCCAGACCAAACTTGAGGCCAAGGCCAGCGAACAAGCTTGATGGGAAGAGCATATTATTTTGCGCCTATTTTGGTGCATTTGCATTTTTGGTCACCGTTTATTTCATCTTTTCTATTGGTCAATAGCCGGCATTTGGTCACAGCGTTGGATTGATTACTGTTGGATTGTTTTACATATACCGCTCTGTTTCGACACGCCTGTTCATAGACATGTCAATCTTTGTCAATAATTAAGCGATAACTAGAGTACCCAAATTATAGATACCTAATTTCTTCAGTTTCCTGTTTCCTATCATACATACACATCAATAAAAGAAGACAAAACGATAGATATTGATACTTGATTATATATAGGCCGGAGTTAGTTTGGATGCAAAAGTCAATCTTGTTGTAGCACAACGATCACAGTAAGCAAGAATAGCTGGATGCAGTCGCTATTATTTCTCTAGATTTAGATAGCTTCTAATCTTAACACCGTCTTCATTAAATCATAAGCCTCATGTGCGTATCATAGCCGCTCTCTTCTATCAGATACTATACTCTAGATTAACAAAGCTTCTCCAACGGATTGGCGCTATTATCATTACAGCATGACTGGCCGAAGAAGAAATGTTGCCTGTAGACTGTTGTCCAACGCCTTTCTCGGGGGTCATTGGTTGAAAATGGTACTGTTGGGATTACATCGTCCTTGGTAGATACTTATTCTAGCCCGACGATATGTCGGATAGGTTAACCCGATGGTGACGTAAATGAGCACATAAACTTCTGCTTGACCTCTTGGGCAAAAGCATCCTCGGCTGCTTTCTTTTTATTGCGTAAAACCCATGGGACAAATGTAAAGTGGAGCTACAGGTGAGCCCATGGGCCCACCTGTGTTCTGGATATCGCCTACTGTAAGCAAACCATCCTCAACCAATGAACATCCTTTGGCCTTCGGGCCCCAGTCTGATTCTCTTCCGAACACCACGCGAGGATATCCATGAACAGTAAAAAGTCTAAATGTATCTAATCAATCAGATAAAAATTCAAATTCCTCCGATGATCGAGTTTCCATCCTTCCATGGAAAGTTTGGTGGCGCTAATTGTTGAATTACCAGAATAAAGATATCAGCAGGGTGCTTCGGGCGAAGTATGGCATTTTCTCGCTGGAGACCTTGTAGACCGTTCCGTTTTAATGCCTACTCTCTGTCGCTTTTTGCTCACTGAGTAAAACCTAGCATGCCCTTGAATACCACGTGACTTTACAGTCAGCAGCTCAGCTCAATGTAAAATGCACCACGCTAGCCCCATCCAATGAAGTCTTTGACCAACACACAAGCTTTTGTGATAGGGCGATGTAGTCCCAGAGATAAATAGAGTCTCGGGACAAAATTCTTGGTACAATCTTTGCAGCGCAACATTTAACAACATCGCGCATCATCGCATCATAATGGGGGATCAAGCAAACAAGCGTATCATGGATCAAATCCCAGACACAATCCTCAAACTCCTCCAAGAAGTTGATCCAAGACCAGTTCGAATACTGGGTGGCACCCCCAACAGCTTACTCGACCCTGGAGATTATTTGGGATTTAATACGTCCATTTGTGTCAAAGGCTCAGTGTTCTATTCACAAGTGTCGTCCAGAAGTCCAGACTCGTTTTCTCGCTGTGAACGTATACCCTGGAAACCCTACCTGATTTGACTTTCTAATTATAATCAGGAATGGAAGCTGCAATGCTGGGGGCGGCTCAGCCCAAGTATACAACCTTAAAGACGACCATGAGCGAGCAAGAACTAATATCTACCAAACTATAGCCAATTCCTTAAAGTGACACAGGATCTTAACGACATACCCAGGGTTCATATTCCTTACACTTTTAGATACAGTGCTGTATCAGGACTTCGTAATTAACAGTGGGAGCCCATGACCTACAATAAGCGGTATGGAGTAATGGAGGCGATATGGCAAGCCACAGAATAAATGGCCATAGTCAGAATACACGTGACTAACTAGAGCATGCTCAGTCTGAGCCCGTGCTGACATCTACTTGCTGATCCTGAGCCTGAGCGCCCTCATAAACGGCGGCAGCCTAGATGGGAAAGGCCTCACCGGGCAGACATTATCCTGTCTATACGACGTATAGCTACATATAAACTGGTGGCTAACGTCGGTAAGACTAAAGAGTTCGGAATAAAATAGTCTGATGCTTGCATATTCCTTATACAAAGTGTCGGATTTTACATTACTCCGTACTCCGTAGAGGTTCCAACGTTGACAAAGTTTTTCACTTTCCGAATCGGTTGAGCGGGTACACTATGTCCTCTGTACAGCCACCGTATTATGATAAGATTGCTATCAATCAGTTGGATACTCGGTCAGAATTCTCCGGGTATTCCCCGTTTCCCCGTAGCCCTGTAGGCCCATGCTTTGGACCCCTCATTAATGTAATTATCCCGACTAGGTTGCTCAAGTGAGAATTCCGGTTTTCGGAGCGCGTTTAGCGAGACTTATCTGCTTCTAAGCCTTGCATTAGAGGAATTATCCCGACTACCTGAGCCCATGGGTTGAATGAATTTAGGACCGGGCAGTGCTTAGTTAGGTGGGGAAGTACGGGCTACGTCCACGAGATACCAAGACCTCGGGAGACCCTGCATGAAAGCTTAGCGCCACTTGGTAAAATTACTAGTTCACATGTCAAAATCGATTTCCAATCTACAAAGTACAAAATGAAACCTTGGGAGCTCGCTTCCTCGGCCCAATGATCCTGCTCTCGCCCAGTGGACCACTCGCCGTAAGACCCCATCCGATATTCGAACCGCCCGATCTCTCTCGATTGATTAAATCTGAAGAGCCAAGACACCAGTGCCTGCACGCTTCTCCGAAGCGGGACCTCTTGTCTCAACGGGTGCTACCGGATCTTCATAGGGACGGCGCAGAATGAAGGCTCTCGTCTTGGCCTTGGCCCTTGCGACGCTGTTCATAGCCGGGTCAATGATCGGGATAGCTCCACGCTTCTCACGGTAGAACATCAGCGCATAGCCAATCATGACACAGATCCAGTATAAGTTGTAGGAGATCACGGAGCCGTAATCGGCCGAATTGGTCCAACCAAGAAGCGCGTTGAAGATACCCCAACCGCCGCCACCTCCCAGCTCTGGGTTACAACAGTTCACGTGCCAGACACTCTGTCGGATGTCGTAGGATCCGGCACCAGAGCCAGTCTCCGACGCGTCGCCTCCGATGATGTTGTTCCAGGCGTTGTTCTCCAAGTACCACACACCACGCGAGAAAAGACCGGCGGCAACGAGGTAGAGGAAGCAAGTGGAAATGATCAAGAAGATCTGCATCGAAGTCTGCCGTCCACCTCTATCGGTATGTTAGCGCTGTATATTTATCAAAGACGATCGAATCGACATACCGGTAGATAACAAATCCCACCGCGATACCAGCCAAAAGGCCGCAAAAGACGGCCAAGGGGAAGGAGGTGGCAGGGAGCCCTAATCCAACACCACCAACATAGACAACGGCTTCGAGACCCTCACGGAGAACCGTGATAAATGGCAGGATGAACATGACGTATTTCTCCAACCATCTCTTGACGCGACCCTTCTTTGTCTCGTTAGGATCGTGCTCGTGTTGGAGGGCCTTGGCGAGCTTGACACGCCATTTGTCTTGAAGTTTAGACACGCGCAGAAGGGCAGCGCCCATCACAGTGATGATGATCGATGCGATGATTCCCAGAACACCCTCCCAAATATCCTCGGTGCTGGAGAATGTGTCCGTTCCGAGGCCGTAAAAAGCACCAATCATACCTGCTCCGACTGCGAGACAAATAAATAGACCTAAGGCGCATCCCAGCCAGACCTATTTGTTTTAGCAGATGAAATTGCATAGGAGTGTAAGAGCCGGTCGCTTACTTGTTTCACTAGTCTTTTATACGTCGGGCGATCACTCTCGTAGAGCGATTGTTTCAAGAATGCCAGTAGAACTGACACGACCACCGTCGTCTCGAGACATTCTCGGAAGCAGATAAAAAACACTGATTGAATATTTAGTAAGTAGTTGTGTATTCCAAAAAGCAGATGAACTATACCGGTGACAGCGAAGACCTTGTTATTGCCCATGATGCTTGATATGACTTTGCCAGTTCCCCAAAGTTCAAGGGAGAAGAGACTCAAATAATATAAAGCCACCGGAAAGCAAAGCACCCGATAAGGTCTCTTGTAGCCGTCTGAAAAATATATATCGAAATTCAAAATTCAAAATTACGCGGGAGACAACAAGCGTTTCGATGTCTAACGACCCACCTGTATTGATCCGATTGAGCTTAGCATTCTTGGAGGGTTCCCCGTATCAGAAGCTTTTTTGGGCATCTGGCATTATGATTCGTGGCAGTGGATATGTCTTGAACACGAACGCTCACCTGGCCAGGGTCCAGCCACCTTAGTTGAGTTGAATCGGAAAAATAACCGGCCTGAAGGGATAGAGGTCATGCCATATTCCTTAATTTGGCAGGTGAGCAGAAGTTCATAAAAATGTGATTCGTTCACCATTGAATATTAAGCGAACACCTTGCCTTATGGCTGTGTCCACCGTTGGTATACCTGGAACCAAACCAATAAGAAGGGGGAAACCTCCCATGGATTTATATCTGATTAGGATCAGAAGGATCGGAAAGGATTGAGTTTCCCCTTATCAATCTTGTATTGCGCTCGGACTATTCCAAACTTCCGTTCCCAAGCGTTCCCAGGCTTTCCTAAGCTCATAGTCCTTCTATTCCTCTCTTCACCCGGAAACTGGAAATTCTTTTCCTGCTTCTTCCCCGGCGAAGTATTCAAGCATGACTGTATATACAATGCTGTTCCGCCTTGCGGCAGTACTACTTCTTGTACAGTACTGTCAAGCGAAGACAGTGAATCTGGATTTCAATGTCACCTGGGTCAATGCAAACCCTGACGGTCTCTATGAGCGCAAGGTGGTGGGCATTAATGGCCAGTGGCCGCTACCTGTGATTGAAGTGGACAAGGGAGATCGCCTGATTGTCAATATGTACAACGGGCTTGAGGACAAGGAGACTTCCATCCATTGGCACGGCATGTTCCAAAATGACACCAATAATATGGATGGTCCAGCGATGGTTACCCAATGCCCAGTTGCTCCTGGCGCCTCGATTACCTACGACTTCACCATCAACCAAAATGGCACTTACTGGTATCATTGTCATACCGATGCTTGCTACCCGGACGGCTATCGACAGGCTTTGATCGTGCACGATGATGAGGCATATTTCAACGATATGTATGATCATGAGGTTACCGTTACGATGAGTGATTGGTACCACGAGCTTGTTGAGGACATTCCGTTCATTCGTGTCCAAAACCCGACGGGAGCTGAGCCTGTTCCGGATGCCTTCCTCTTCAACGACACTTTGAACACCAACATTCCCGTCGAGGCTGGAAAGACCTATTTGATGCGATTGATCAATATTGGTGCCTTTGTGGCGCAGTACTTCTACATCGAAGATCACACTTTCCGCATTGTTGAGATTGATGGAGTATACGTTGATGCGCAAGAGGCCGATACTCTTTACATCGCTGTTGCGCAACGTTATTCTATCTTGGTTACTATGAAAAATTCCACGGACAAAAACTATCCGATCGTGACAGTTGCCGACTCAATTCTGCTGGATACAATCTCGCCTTCTCTTCAGCTCAATCAAACCAATTGGCTCGAGTACAATAGCAATGCAGCGCATCCGCAAGCTGTAATGAAGGTGGATATTGCCTCCGACCTTGTCCCATACGATGACGTGAAGCTTGTTCCTCACGACCGGATGGAGCTCCTCCCAGAACCCGATATGATTATTGAGGTTGCCGTCATTATGGATAATCTGAATAACGGTGCGGGCTATGCGTTCTTCAACAATATCTCCTACACGAGGCCTAAGGTTCCAACATTATACTCGGTCCTCACATCTGGAGATTACGCCACGAACCCGCAGGTTTATGGAGAATTCACACATCCGTTCATTCTCCCCCACAATGCGGTCATCGAGGTGGTCCTCAATAACCAGGACGGCGGTTCGCATCCCTTCCACTTGCACGGGCACAACTTCCAGCTCGTCAGTCGCACTCCCTCATATGGCCCTTCTTTCAATGACTACGCCGACGGTGACCCACTTCCTTACAATGCAACCGATACCCCCTCTAGCACCTTCCCCAAATACCCTGCTCGCCGAGATACCTTCGTCGCACCACCCCAGGGCAATTTTGTCATCCGTTTCGTCGCTGATAACCCTGGTGTTTGGTTGTTCCACTGCCACATCGACTGGCATATGTCGCAGGGCTTGGCGATGTCATTCATCGAAGCCCCGAAGCAGATTCAAGAGCGAATGTCGCTGACAGAGAGCGAAATTAACCTCTGCAAGGCTGCCAACCTCTCCTACGAGGGCAATGCTGCCGCTAACACGGAAGATCTGCTCGACCTGACCGGTCAAAACAAGCAGCTTCCGTGGCTGCCTGCTGGATTTACGGCGAGGGGAATTGTCGCAATGGTTTTCTCCTGTGTGTCCGCTTTCCTGGGCATGGCGTTCATTTCCTTCTACGGTATCTCAGGCATTCAAAAGGAGACTGCTGTGGTTACCGAACATGAGGAATCGTGAGGTATTTTATTGGATTTCTGCTGTACTTTAATATATATATTTGTCTTTCTTAAGTGGATAAAAATTTTCATTCACCTTGAATTGTTCGGTTATCAAATATTCCTTGCATGTGGAATATAGCAATACACGTCTGAATGGTACTTTCCAAGTGAAATTTAAAGGACAACTTGGGCTTCCCCGCAATATCAACCCTCGGTCATCGGCTTTACTTTCCATTCCTGGGAAGCGACGCTGAGAAGTACGGCATCGCATTCTCAGGTATGTTGACATTTGGCAGAAATGACAAAAGCCTATGTAATTGGGCTTCAGCAGTGAAACCTTAACAGTATACCGATGCCCAAGTCCCTTCCCAGTTTTGGGCTGGTAATATGCCTCCTCGTGATCTTACCCTCAGTGGTGATCACACTAGCATACTGCCCCCGCTGCGGAGCATCAGTAAGGCCTATGCGCCTGTGTATCCATTTTGGTAGGAAATCAATGAACGATAGTGGACCGACAAATTAGGTTCTCCTAGCGATGTCGCTGTCGTCATCCACGCTGGTATCTGCACCATTTCTGATCCATCTGAATATGAAAATGATGGTTACTGCGGGTTTGGAATTATCGAGGCTCGCGAGATTGATGCGATCAATATGCTCGATACTACTGGTTAGCTCAATGTGGTGATTATGTGCTCTCCAACTCATACGCTTCGACCAGGAACGGATGGCATCACCAAAGACATCCGTGATCGCGTCGGAACTGACAATCTGATCTGTCTTTCGATTGACATCGACACCCGAATCTGCTTGTAAGTGTCTTTTCTGGAGAAGGCACCATTATTTATTGAGGAGTTCCATGAACTTCAACGGGGCGGAGGTAAGGCAAATTTGCTCGTATTTACGCCCATAGCCGTGTCAAAGAATTGAAGAATGGAGGAGGGTTTGAAACCCCCATGTCAGGTTGTAAACAATGATATTCGGTGCTTATGGACAGGCGTTAGGGTTCGGGTTCGGGTTCTAGCATATGCAGCGCAAGGATTTTATTTAGCCTAGAAATCGAAAAAAAGCTAGTTATCGCGGATCCTTCAACGGTTTGATGATAGTGGACCTTTTTTCCAAGCCAATCCAGGAACGAAAGTCAAAAAAGACACATGTTTCAGCGCAGTTTCCACGCTAATGGGTATAAGAGGAAGACTAGATATCTTGGGCTCGAGATGGATAGCCAATTACAGTACTCCAGCTGGAAAGTTCAAGCCTTAAGACATACCACGGAGTACTCTCCAGGAGTACTAATTATGTTGTAAAGACCGTTTGACATAGCAGTGGACATCAAGCGATTCCCCAACTCTGAGCCTGGCTCCGCATCGCGGTGAATTAGGGTGGACCCCGGGTCTAAGAGAACTACCGGATTGGTTTGGCTGGCCCGTCTTGGACACCATTGGGCTCCATCTGGAAGTGAACACGCAGCGATCGGCATCCAGAAGGGCCATTGGGTGAGTGGGAGGGTCGAAAAGAAAAATGAGCTCGGATAGTTCCTTTCAGCCCCTCAAGTGCACCCTGATAGAGCTAAAAAGCAAACCTGAAACGAACAGGCACAACGTGGAGACTTGAAACATCCGGCAGTTTTAATTTATGGAGATAAGCGTCGGCCATAATAGTTCACATTGGAAGATATGTCAGGCAAGGCGTGACATGACACTATTGAACCATGTGCTCGGAGTATTACTCAATGGGACATTGCTACATAGTTATTTAGATAGTAGTTAGGACCCCCTACTTAGTAGAAGATACTAATTAATACAAAGAAAAGACTCCGAACCTTCGTAGAGAGTACATGGAGTTCCAACGATCCAGACCTCGGGAGGTTGATTGCCCCTGAATCCCCAAAAATAAAACTAAAAAGAGCTTTAGAGCATAAAATCACCCTTCATCTTAATTAAACGCTAGACTGTTCCCAGCAGTGCACGGTGTCCAATTTCTCCAGCATCTCTCTGGACCTTTCATATTTCCGCCTCCCTACTTTCTGCAGAACTCACAGAGGGGACTGACAGGTACGCGTCTGGTTGTTGATGTGTTCTTATCGATACGGAAAAAAAGATACTTAGGGGGGGCTAACACTTGACTTTTCTCCACATTCTAGTCATCTCCTATTTTACGCTTCATGACTCCACGCGCTATCGATTAGCACTTCGAATACATTCTATTTTCGTTTTACCTGGTGCGGTTCTCTTGGGGAGAGAGAGATGGCCGTCTCACCGCCAGCATCACCCACTGCACCCCCGCGCCCTATCAGCGCTGTCATGCGCACTCCGCGTAGTACCAGTCGTTTAAGTATGAGCAGCAGGCAAGGTGGAAGTCGTGCATCGGATGAGGATGGCAAGACTGCAGTCAAAGTCGGTATGTGCATTCTTCCCCCTGATCGGCCCATTCCATGCAATCAAGGATACACAGCATCGGCTGGCAACCAAATTCAGGACTGACCTTGCGCAGCTGTCCGTGTACGACCACCACTGAAAAACACCGATCCTGGTTATGAATTGATTCCCCAGAGATTCCAGAAACCCATAGTCCATGTCACCGCGCCCACTAGTCTGGCCGTCGATGTGGGCGCTGCGCGCAAACTATTTGTGTTTGATCGCGTGTTCCCTGAAACCACGGAACAGGAGGGGATCTGGGAATATGTTAGTGATAGTGTCGACTCCTTTGTTCTGGGTTACAATGTCTCCATTATGGCGTATGGCCAGTCCGGCGCGGGAAAGTCCTTCACAATGGGTACCTCCGGTCCCACGGAGCAGAATAACATGCAGAATATGGGTGAGTTTGAAATGCGTTGGTTTCCCAATCAACTCAGGGACTGATCGTGTGTGTGCATTGTGATTTAGGTATCATCCCCCGTGCTGCACAGGTCTTGTTCGATAAACTAGAAGGGCCCTCGAAACATAACCGGAATAGCTCGCATCCGACTACTGGCCTCCGAACACCTCAACGATATTCAATGACTTCTGCCGGGAGCTACGGGAAGTTGAATCACGAGAAAGAAAAGAGTTGGCAGCTGAAGGCCACATATGTAGAGGTGCGCGTTTATTTTAGGGCTTGTTTGCTGGCAGCGCATTGTTCTGACCATTGTCCTACAGATCTATAACGAGCACCTGAGAGATCTACTCCTTCCTGAAACGACAACCACAACCGATCGCAGCAACGTAACGATTCGTGAAGATACGAAGGGCCGTATTATTCTGACTGGGCTGCACCAAGTCAATATTAACTCATTCGACGATCTGATCGGTGCCCTGAACTTTGGCTCGGCGATCCGTCAAACAGATTCTACAGCAATCAACGCCAAATCGTCTCGGTCACATGCCGTTTTCAGCTTGAACCTTGTGCAGCGCAAGTCCTCACCAACCCATGCGACGCCGAGTCCCATAAAGGAGAAGCGTATGTCGATGCCGGTCGACACGTTCAACGCCGGAGAAACAGTCACTGTTGATAGCAAACTGCACTTTGTGGATTTGGCAGGTAGCGAGCGACTGAAAAATACCGGCGCCTCCGGAGAACGCGCTAAGGAGGGTATCTCAATTAACGCTGGTTTGGCTGCGCTCGGCAAGGTCATCTCGCAGCTCTCCTCACGCCAACAGGGCTCTCACGTCTCGTATCGCGACTCGAAGCTTACCCGACTGCTCCAAGATTCGCTCGGTGGGAACGCCTTCACGTATATGATTGCTTGCGTGACTCCCGCCGAGTTCCACCTAAGCGAGACCTTGAACACAATCTCATATGCTCAGCGGGCTAGAGCCATTCAAAGCAAACCCCACATTCAGCAGATTGCAGACGAGGGCGACAAGCAGGCTTTGATTGAACGACTCAAGTCCGAGATATCTTTCTTGCGCCTACAGATCCGCAACTCTGAAGGATCCGAGCGCCGTGAAGGAGGACCCACTGAACGAAGTGAACGTAAGAACGAACGTGAAAAGCACTTGCAGAATCAGTTGTTAGACGTCCAAGAAAGCTACAATTCCCTCAGCCAGCGCCACGCCAAGTTGATTTCGAATATGGCCAACGATTCGCACTCGCCTGCTGCCCACGGCGAAATGGACGACGCTACCTCCGAAATTGGGAAGAACTCGGTTGAGAGAATGCAGCGATCAAGGTCCTTTGCCGAGTCTGTGGAGCAGATGGTTCTAGAGTACGAAAAGACCATTCAAAGCTTAGAATCTTCACTCTCTGAAACACGCGCCTCCCTCTCTATCACGGAGAGTGATTTGCTCGAACGCGAGACCAAGTGCGCCTATATCGAGACGGTAAAAGAACAGCTCCAGACCCGGGTCCAGAAGTTGACGGACCGAGAACTCAACACTGAGAACTACCTCCACGAATTGGAGTCCAAGCTTGATGGCCACTCTACAGGCGAGGAGAAACACGCTGCCATTGTTGCGGAATTGCGCAAGGAGTTAAGCCGGGCCCGCGATAACGAGGCCAGCTGCGAGGAATACATCTCGACACTTGAAGAGCGACTTGCGGAGGGTGATCAGGACATGGAACTTATGCAACGCGAGGTGATGCGCTTGGAACATGTCATTGAGCGCCAGCGAGGCCTCGGGCAGCTAGACCGCCTACTCGGCGAGCTGGACCCAGAAAATGGTGGGGATAGATACGACGTTGCCAATGGCACTGACTACCAACACTATCACCAGCCAAGCCGTTTGCAGGCCTCTCATAGGCACACGCCCTCTCTGGACGTTCTCAGCGAAGCAGCGGAGACAGCCATCCCGGAGTCAGACGAGGATCTTGTCGAGCCGACCATAGAGGCCGAGCTCGAATCTATCGGAGAATCCGAGCAGGGGACGGGTGAGGACTTGAAGGTTCTGGAAACTGCGACTAGCAAGCTGGAGGCACGTCGCACGGAGGCTCTTCGTGAAGACCCGATCGCAAGTCCCGCTCAGTCCAAATTCGTTGCCGACAAGCTTGAGACTGTCACCCAGGAGCTGCTCGACCTGCGTCTGCAGCATGAGAACACCGTTGGTGACTTCGAGAACCTAGAACACAAATACCAGCAGGCTCTCAAGGCCCTTGAAGAGCTTCGCCAAGACAAAATTGACGAAGCCTGCCACCCGGCACCTAGTGTTCAAAACCAACTTTCACCGCGCCCGGTGACTTTTTTAGAGAATGGAGGCACTCCGACCTCGAAGCCTGGAGAACCACACTCATTCTCGCAATCACTCTCATCGGAATTATCCTCGGTCGGGGAGCAATCCACTTTGCGCGCATTCTCTGAGGACGAATCGAAGGCAATTCCATCCATGCCCTCAACCCCTCAAGTGCAGGTGGACTCCGAAGAGTCCGAGAGCATGCGTAATATGCTTGCTGAGCATCAGGAGAGTGCTGAGCTCATGACCCAGAAATATATGGAGTTGCAAAACGAGCATGAGCAGATTCTCGGACTGGTCGAAAAGCTGAAGGCCGAGGCTCGCGCCAAGTCAAACTCACCCCCTACAACCCCTGGCATCAAAGTGATCCGCCGCATGACTAGCCAGAACATTCTGTCAGGAGTTGACCGTGCAACCAGAGCCATTACTGGGCTTCGGCTCCTTGCGTCCGAGGAGTTTGCTGACAAGCCGGACGCTATGCTCAACTTCGACTACCATCTGGATCAAACCATGCACGAATTGCAAAGCCGCATGGAGCGCCTCCAATCTCTAGAAGCCGAGAACCAGGGCGTTAAAAAAGAAATGGAAATGAAAGCAACTATTATCTCTGGCCTGACCAGAGAACGCTCGAGTCTGCAGGGTGCTTCGCCTGTGGACATGGCTTTAGTGTCGCAACTGCGCGATCAAGTCGTCTCCCAGGAAAGGCAGATCAACCACCTTCGAGACGCTCATGAAGCCCGCCAAAAGGAGCTGTTGACTGAGATTGATACTTTGAAGGGACTTTTGAAGTCTCAAGAGAACGCTAGCCGGGCACTCGACGCCGGTGCCGAGGAGCAGGACCGGAAGATCGGTGCTCTGCAGGGAGAGCTCACGGAGTGGCAAGGCAAGCACAAGAGTGCTCTAGAGTCCCTGCAGTCCTCGGAGTCGCAGCTCACTACTACTCTTGCTGAGCTGGAGGGTGCTTTGGCTTCGGTCGCTGCTATGCGCTCTGAGCGTGCTGTTACCGATTCCGACTCTACCGAGAAAGAAGTCACTGCGCAAGAGCTTGAGGGTGGCCGCGCCGAACAGCAGGAGCTTGTGGATAGCCTGATGAACAACATCGAGGATCACAAGTCTACTATTGCTACCCAGCTTGCTACGATTGCCGGGCTGGAAGAATCCCTCTCCGGTGCCCGGGAAAAACTGGCTTCACAGACCACTATCGAGGAAGAGACCAATACCGGTGCTGTTGACCTGGGTCTTTCTTCTCGGATGGCCGAGCTTGAGCAGCAAATTTCCGCCCACAAATCGTTTGTCGATTCTCACAATAATGAGCTAGCTACACTCCAGGAGTCTCACAAGCATGAACTGGCCGAGTTGGAGGAGCGGACTAAGGCCGCTGCCCAGGCCGAGTACGATGCTCGTCTGGCTGAGAAGGATGCTGAGCATGAGCAATCCATGGCGACTTTGCAGAATGATATTGCAGAGTCTCGTAATGAGTTAGTCAATCTGCTTAAGGCTGTGTCGACTCTTCTCAACTCTGAAGTCTCCGCCGAGAACTTGACGGATCAGATCCATGATGTTTTGGTCCAGAAGCAGCACTTCTCAGACAAGTATGCCGAGCTTATGGACACCAATGAACACCTTCGCAAGCAGCTTGAGGCTAACGCCGATGCTGAGAGTCGTCTGGACGAAATAACCAAGAAGAACAACGTCCAGGACGCCAAGGTCAATGAGCTGGCTCTCTTGGTAGCTACTTTAGAGGATACTCTTCGCCAGAAGGACGAACAGGTCAAGAAGAAGGAAGCCCTGGTCGAGGAGATCACAATCGAGAAGCAGAAGAGTGTGCGTCTCGTGGAGGAGCTGGAGGAACAAATTACAAACAGCTTCGATCAGCACCACAACCGTCTGTCCGTCATTCAGCAGGAGCGTGATCAGGCCCTGGAAGATGCCAAAGCCAAGATTGTGATCTACGAAGGCGACATCGAGACGTACCAAGTGCGGATCGAGCAACTTGAGCTTCAAATCAAGAACACCGAAGGCTCCCATGACCGCAGCAGCTCCCTCACCTCCAACCTTCGCAAGAGCTCTTCCGCCGCCTCTCTTCCCTCGCCTCCACCGGCGATCCCTCTCCCTCCCCTCCCCACTATCGCCTCGCATCCCAACGGCGCTTCGAGCGTGTCGCCGCCCAGCTCTCGACACGCCAGCAAAGAGCTGTCCCATGTCCAAATGGTCGAGGAGCAGGAGGCTCGAATCCGAACAATTGAGAAGCACTTGTACGCCGAGAAGCAGCTGACCGCCACCTTGGAAGAGGCCCTCGGCGACCTTGAACTCCAGAGTACCAAGGTCAAGACCGACTGCGAGGCCTGGAAGAAGAAGGCCTGGGAATTCGAGGATGAACTCTCCAACCTCCGCAAGGAACGCAGCTCTGCCCGTCTGTCCCTCCAGGCCGTCGAAGAGGAGCGCACTGCCCGTCGTGAGGCCGAGGCTGCGCGCGCTCAACTCGAAGCGCGCATGATCGCCCTCAACAAGAAAAAGAAGAAGAGCACCCTCAACTGCTTCTAGGCGTTTTTGACTCTGACATTGCTCGCGTTTGAGCTGTTCCAGCGTCAAAAGCAATCGCATTCTCATTCGTCTTTATCGTTCTGTCTGGTTGTACACTTTTTACCTTCTCTGTTACTCTTGTCTTCTTTTTTTTTTTTTTTCTTATTCGTCCCTTGTTTCATACCCCTTTTTTATTTGATTCCAAGCAGTTAGTCACCGATTTCCGTATTATGAGCTTTCACGTTTTTGTCACTTTCCCCTGTCGATTCCGTCAATACCTTGTCCTCCTTTTCTCACTCCATTCTTCACATATTGTTTCTTTTTCTACTTGCACTCATGAACCTATCATGACTTGTAGATCTTTTTATCGCTCTTCTATCGTCCCTACGCTGAATAACCTCGATGTTGTACATTCCGTCGGCTGTTTCTAGATTCCGTTGAATCTTCATGTCGCAATCGGGGGGAATCTTGTCAGCTCTCAGTTGCTTTTCTGCACCTGAATTTCATATGAATGTTCCCTCGTTCATCTTGAAATTCTTGATTCGTCCATTCTTATCAATGAAGTTACCAATGCCAGCTTATTTATTCTTTCTCGCTGAGCCTGTAGAGTACAAATCTGATAGGTTTCGAAATCCACTCCGTGAATCTGACTGAGTAAAGAGCAAGTAGATAATTCGAGCTTTATACTGCTTTGTTGAACCATTTAGTAAGATATCACTCTACGTTGTCTTCAACTGCTTTGCACCGATGACTATATTGGATACTCGGCATGATAGTACGACAAACACTAAGCCCACCACGGCCTTAAGAGCACCGCAATCCAAGGGTCTAGATCCTAGGTATTGGACGTTACAATGAGCTAAAACATCATCGAGACTAAATATCAGACAAATGGATCAATTAAATTTGTGTAATAACACTCTGGCATATTCGCATCACATGACGCGTATACCCCACGTGTCTTTAAGCTGGTTGCAACGGCAGCTCCAATCTCCAAGCTCCAAAAACAACTCACCATGGGCCTCCAACGGTCCGATGTGACAATAATCCACCCAGATCTGGGTATCGGAGGTGCCGAGCGGCTAATAATCGACGTCGCCCTAGCCCTTCAGAGCCGAGGCCACCGCGTAACTATCTACACCTCCCACCGCGATAAGGCGCACTGCTTCGACGAGGCGCGCGATGGCACGTTGGACGTCCGCGTGCGCGGAAACACCATATTCCCCGCCCATATCTGCGGCCGACTCCACATCCTCATGGCTGCTCTGCGCCAGCTACATCTTACCGTGTCACTACTAGGTGAGCTTGGGACAAGGGAGACCCCGGAGGCAGCTACTACAACCACCGATGACGAGGATGACCGCGACGATATCTTCATTGTGGACCAGTTGCCGGCCTGTGTGCCGTTTTTGAAATCGTTCGGCCGCCCGCGCCCGTCCCGACGCCAGCGCATCCTCTTCTATTGTCACTTCCCGGATCAATTGCTCGCGCGCCGAGATGAGGGCGGCTCGCTTCTTCGCTTGGCGAAGGTACTGTACCGGTTTCCCTTTGATTGGTTTGAAGGCTGGGCGATGAGCGCGTCGGATCGGGTTGTCGCGAACTCTAGATTCTCCCGCGGGGTCGTGCGTGACGTCTTTGGCTCGGACCGGTTGGGTGATGTGGAGGTGGTCTATCCATGTGTCGACATGGATCCCGGGGTACCGGTACCTGAGAAAGCGGAGGAAGACCCTCTCTGGGGTGGGAAGAAGATCCTGCTCAGCATCAATCGCTTCGAGCGTAAGAAGGATATGGGTTTGGCGATTCGCGCTTATAATGGACTGGGAGCGGAGAAGAGGGAAGGAACGCGATTGGTGATTGCGGGTAAGAAACTGTGCACAGATTTGCGATCTGTATGAATTCTAACATCGTAATTTTTAGGCGGTTACGACAATCGTGTCCACGAGAATGTTCACTACCACCAAGAGCTGAATGAGCTCGCGACCAGTCTCGGGTTGAAGACCGCAACCTCCAGGACAGTGCTATCTGCACTTTCAATCCCGGAGAACATTGATGTCCTCTTCCTTCTTTCTGTTCCGACTGCATTTAAAGATACGCTGTTGGCACAAGCAAAGCTCCTTCTCTACACCCCCATCAATGAACACTTTGGCATCGTACCTGTCGAAGCAATGCGCGTTGGTCTTCCAGTGCTAGCATCTAATACTGGCGGCCCACTGGAGACAATTGTCGAGGGTGAAACGGGCTGGCTCCGGGATGCCCACGCAGATGAAGAATGGACTGCTGTGATGGACAAGGCACTTTACGGACTGAGCCAGGAGGATCTTCAGCGCATGGCTCTTGCTGGCAAGAACAGGGCGCAACAAGAATTCTCACTCACTGCTATGGGCGATAGGCTAGAAGAAGAAATTTCCACCATGCTGAAAGCTGAAAGAAGGCCATTTAATGGGTGGCAGCAGGTCTTTGTCATTCTTGCACTGGTTGGGGCTCTTCTTGCGGTGATGGCTGCAGTTTTACTTCGAGTGCTATAATGCATAGTTTGCGTCACGCATTAAAATTTTGTACTTTATATTAGTCTATAGATTAATCTTTCTCGAGTTGCACCAGTTTCCCATCTCCTGTACTAAATAAATGTTTTGTCCACCCAACTTTACCAAAACACTCTCACATCCAAGTCACATGACCTCGTGTGTTTTGCTCGCGGTGACGTCGCGTCCCCCTCTATCTTTATCCTTAATCGGCCGCCCTAGTGGCATTGGGATCTCTCAACATGCCCGAAGTAATAGACCTTCTATCCTCCGATCCTCCTATCCCGCCAAAACCCCAACCGCAACAGCAAGCCGAACTCCCGTCGCGACTTGCATCCCACCAGCTCAATCCGATTTCGTCAGACCCGTTCGATACATCCCTGTTCGACTATGAAGACATCTTCGACAAGCCGGCCAAGAAACGGCGAGTGAGCGATCAAGACACTTCTTCAGTGCGAAAAAGCACCACGCCAAACGAGCCTCGAGGTCCGGCTTCTACGGCAGAGCCATGGTTCTCGATCTCCGATGATGATTTTGACCTGCCGCCAGTAAACAACGCGGCGAAAAAAACCAATTCCCAGTCGCGTGTTGAAGAGTCGGATCCAATTGTTTTTACCTCTTCGGCCCCAGCTCCCTTGAAGCCTTTGTCGCGGAAATCGAATCTTTCAACCCGGGATATTGTTGCGCTTGATGACGATGACTTACTGACGGATCCCATGAAACCTCCGCCCTCGAGTTACCGAGGACGTAGCGATATTGATGAATTCAGTGATCCGTTTTCTCTGCCGGAGTTTTCTGACCTACTGAAGAAACCTACTGTCTCGAATACCATCTTCTCCGAGTCGACTGCTCGCCTATTATCTCGCCTTGGCGAAGATACTTCAGGCCCTAAAACAAAGTCCGGTACTCGAAAACAGAAAGGCACCAGCTTGGAATCTAAGGCTGCAGAGGTCCTCTCCGATGATGAGATTCATGAACCAGTAGTACCCAAGGCAGCGAAGAAGACAAGCAAGATTACTTCCGCTGAAAAGGAAGCAAAGGCCAAAGCACGCGAAGAGGCAAAGCTGCAGCGACAACGAGAACGCGAGCTGGAGAAAGAGCGCAAGCTCAAGCTCAAAGAGGAAAAAGCGAAAGAGAAACAACGGGCTGCCGATATCGCGAGCGTCAACAAGCTGAAAGTAAACAAAAAGGATTCTACACCAGAGATGATCGTCGACATGGCTACATCTTTCGAGGACAGCAGCGTCGGCACTCAAACCGTCGAGTTCATGAAACGACTCGGCGTCCAACACACATTCTTCACAAGCGCAATTCCCCACGTAGTAAAATGGCGTCGCAAAATGAACGCCACATACAACAGAACCCTACGCCACTGGGAGCCCTGTCCATTCTTTATTCAAAAGGAAGACCACGTGCTGTGTCTATTATCCGCGCAAGAGTTCATCAAAATGATAACCCCCCCACCAGACGACGAAGAAAGAGAAACCCTAGAAATCCACGTCCTCCGAATTAAAAGCGCCTACCCAGAGTGCAAACCCATCTACCTAATCGAAGGCCTGACCGCTCTGATGCGCAAAAACACAAACGCACGCAACAGAGCCTTCCAAGCCGAAGTCCTGCGCCAACTCGCTGAAACAACGGTACCAGAGGAACAGACCACATCCAACAGAGCCCGAAAACCAAAGAAAAAGCCGGATGCGACGCCCCTCGTCGACGATGAGACTGTCGAAGATGCTCTGCTCGAACTACAAGTCACGCACTCCTGTCTCATCCATCACACGACCGCGCCAGCCGACTCCGCGGAGTGGATTAAGAATTTCACCGAGCACATCTCGACAGTCCCGTACCGTCGTGAACGACAGGAAGCACACAATGCTGCTTTCTGTATGGACACCGGGCAGGTGAAGACCGGCGCCGATAAGAAAGATACTTTCATCAAGATGATCCAAGAGGTTAGCCGCGTGACGGCTCCTATGGCTTATGGGATTGTGGGCCAGTATCCCTGTGTTGCGGATTTGACTCGCGCAATGCGGATGCATGGCCCTCTGATGCTGGAGGATATTAAGGTAGGTTTCTTTTTCTTTCAATCGCTATACTGGTTTTTTTCTAGATCTATACTGGCTTTGCTCTTTTTTTCCGCCGGATTCTCTACTGACTGCTGTAGAAATCCGCGAATAAGAACGGCTCCCTGACGAATGCGCGCATTGGACCCGCTGCCAGTAAGCGGCTGTACAAAGTGTTCACTGGACTCGATCCGAGTTCAACGGACATTTAGGTTTGTTTTTGGCCTCATTTGGTTTTTTGGTTATCATTTCCATTTTTGGCTTGAACTACTGCAGAGCGTAGCTTTGCATTCTGGACGCATCCAATTGGGGTGTCGGATCATCTTTTGGTTAATCACTCCAGTACGGAGTAGTTGGACTTCTAATACTCTGCCTCGCCTCGCCTCTCTTTTGGATGGGAAATTGGATATTCCCCTGCAAATGAGATAGATCTCCTTGGCTATGAGGCTGCGGATGCCAGTTGGTGCAGGATGCAATGATCACTTTTTTCTTCTTGATGGAAATGTTGTATTTAGACATCCTCGTAATATGATAGAAAGTATCGAAACAATAAAGACTGCCTAGCTATATGCAAATGCCAAACCCACATCTATGCATAGAACCCATTATCAACGCCAATATAAACGCATATGTCAAAACATCAAGGACATACACAAGATCAAATCAAATGCTTCCATACTAAACACTAAACAACAACCCCCCTCCTCTTCCACCCCCTCCAAGCAGCCACCCAAGCCAGAACAGCAACCCACACACTAACCGTGCAGCCAGCAGCCCAGAACCCATAGCATCGCCATCCATGGCACTGACCATCAGCACCATCACCGTCGCCGCGATCCATGGCATTTTGATATGCCGCGGAGTAGATAATGCCCCAGAGCGCGGCACCAGCCGCAGGCATCATGGCAACGATACCCCAATTTGTGGCGAAGTTCTCGACGCCCCAGACGACAGAGATGATGATAGGCGCGAGGGAAAAGGCGCTGCCGTATCCGAAGCCGATCAGCGCGGTTGTCAGGTTGAAGATGCCTGGGTGCGCTAATGGGAGAGGGGAGGCGAGGAGGAGGTAGCCTAGGGAGAGGAGGAAGGCTGAGGGGACGAGGAAGGTCATGCGGGATAGAGTGAGGCGCGAGGATGCAGGGGATGTGAGGGGCGCGTATCGGGCTCCTTCGGAAATCGAAGGAAAGAGGTGTGTTGCCGGGGGTGCGAAGAAGTCGGAAAGTGAGCCTGTTAGAAGGCGCGCGATGGTCGAGGTTAGGGCTATGGTTGTGACGTGGGTTGAGGGGGATCCGGCTGGGGGTGATGCGCCTGTGGGATAGGATTGAGGTGTGAGGGTTGGGATGATTGTGCCCAGCTATTTTGGTTAATAGGTTAGTTATGGGTTGGAGTGAGATTGGAGACGAACTCACGTTGTTAATGTACGATTCGCCGGGGCCGGTGACCAAGAAAAAGCCTGCGGCCAGCCACCACATGGTCTTGTCTTGTAGGAATACACGGGTTTCATAGTTGAGCAGCCAGTTCCTCTTCCGGCGCTCCTCTTCCTCGCGCTCCTTCTCTAGCCTTTGCTGCTCACGTTCTTCATCGGAGAGGATTGATTGCTCCTCATCAGATGAATCAGAGAACGTGCCGTACTCAATCGCTTGTGGTCGGAAGAAATCACTCTCCTCTAACAGTCCACTGCGCTCTAGTTCTTCAACCGTCTCATCAATATACTTATCATCATCATCCACGATGCGCAAGGCAAAGGTACCGATGATCCCAATCACCAGCAAAAGCACCGCCAGAAAGACAAAGTATTTATAAACGTCGAGATCGCCGTGACTCCCATCCTCGAGGGGTTCATAAAACAGGTACGTCCCGAGCTGGCTCTGCCACATACCACTGAGACCGAACGCGGCAATCGGAACAGCAAGCATAATCCCCTTGTGCTTTCCCCTGCCAAAGTTCTTGGCGCACGTCGCAATAGCTGCTAGGTACATGCAGCTAGTCCCCATACCAATGGCGATAAACGCCACGATCATCACCCAGAATGGCTGACCGGAACCACCCGCATCAGCAGGTGGGCCACTTTTATATGTGAATGCAGCGAGGAGATACCCGACGCCAAACACCAGTCCCGAGAACATGGCCAGTGGCGATGGGCTGTAGCGGTCACACAAGTAGCCGAACAAGGGGACGGGAAGGTACATTGCGATCTCGGCAGCGATGGAAACGGCATTGACCTGGAGCTGCGAGTAATGGAGTCGAGTAAGGAGAAGATGGCCATACAGAGAGAAAGCAGTGATGCTGCCGGCTCCCAAGCTGCAAAACACGAATATAAGAGTCAGCTTCCAGGATCCCAATGGAGATAGATCGTCTCGTAAGCATGGCTGCAAGGAAGAAGAGTTTCCCATACCAAGTAACAACACCCCAGCCAAAGCTGAGCACTCGGATAACCTCCTTCTGCATCCTCCGTCTGTCCCGCTCGACAATCTCTTCGACGACATCGCTCAACAGCCCGTCATCACTCAGTCCGTCATTACCGGAGCTCCGTGAACCTCGCCGTGAATATCGCCATGACGGCTCTGCGTTTCGGTCTGTTGTATCTTGTTCTGCATCAATATTTTGGAGGAGTGGGCGATTCGCGTCGAAATCGCGCTTATCGATCGTCATAGTGCCTTCTCCGCACCGGTTACGCTAGGCTGTGCAACCGACTCTTTGTCTGAGGGGAAGTGTAAGATGGGTGGTATAGATGGGTATGGAAGGTGGGAGGCGTTTGAGATAGAACTATATGGTGTTCACGATTTGGCCTGATATGTACGCTGAGTACGATTGTCCGTGTGATAGAGCTTCAAGGGTGGAGCGGTGTCTGCTGGGTGGATCCTGAGGTTGTGTTGTTCAATGCTACGTCATTGGAGTTCAGCTTTCGATCCCGGGGAGTTATGTTCAATGTAGAATTGTAGATAGGTAATATATGTGATGCTCAAAAGGCGTAGTCGTCAAGGCAAGCTGAGGAGGACTTCAGCGGAGAGAGCGGAGAGAGTTGGAGTCATTACACGTGACTCATTCTACAATACCCGATCACGTCATTGTACGGAGTAAAGGAATACCTATACTGTGATATAGTGGAAACGAAGGGAAATACACCATCTAGAGATAAAAAGGATATTCATGTACAAGTAAGACCATAGGATAACAACAGACAGACCGAAAAAAAGGATTTGGAGACATTGGGGGGTATTATCAATATCAATAAAACAGAAAGAAAAGAAACTGATACACGCCCGAGAAAAGACAAGACAAAAGGGCTTCCGAGAAACAAAAAGAAGAGAAGAAAAACAAGGCCAAAGACAAAATAAAAACCGCAAACGACTCTAAATGCATCCAAGCGTTGACGGGGATCATAGAAACACCCATTGAAGGGCCGGGTCGTTATTTCGTAGTGCCGACGATCAGGCGGGATCAGGCACTGGTGCATATGAATGCTGGCGTTCCGATGTGGAAGGATCTACCCTCCGAACGCCACGTATCGGCAGTGGGCCGAGAGATGATAAAAACAAAAGAAAGCAAAAGGCGAAAAAGGAAAAGGAAAAGGAGCTAGAAACTGACTTCGCCCGCGTCGGTTTCTATCATGGTCTCATCCCAATATTGAGAAGAGGGTCGCTCACGAGCCTCGGGTTGAGAGCCCAGCGCGATGGCTTCACCTTCACCTCGTTCCACGAATTCGTCCAGACTGACCTCCTTCATAATTCGCTGGAAATACATTCGGAGTGTGCGGAGGCCACGCAGATATCCACGATCAATGTCGTGCGGGCTGTGAGGTGGGCATGGCGTATCCGGAGGAAGCTTGTCCTCGCCAGTGATGCAATTAGCGAAATCGACAATCTTCAGTTGAACGTTCAGTTTGCTCTGGCCGTCTGCATGGTTTCCATTATTAGAACGCGGCGGTTCTTGCTGAGGTGGAGATTGTGGTTCTCCGTCATAAAGAATCAACAGACTGCTAGCATAGAGCCGGTAGCTACTCAACTGTCGAATCATGTGCTCTAACAAAGCTAATTTCTCCAGAATGACAGGGATCTTTTTGGCAACACTGGCATAGCTGACACCATCGTATAGGAATCGAGTCAGCGCATCCTGAAATTCACGACCAGACTTCAAATCTCGCCCGAAATACTTGTCTTCAAACATGTACTCCTGCTTCTTGACGTTCCAGGACTGCATGCCACAGAGCCGCACACCCAGCTGCTGCGAAGTAGTGGACTGACATTTCCGTCGCTGAGACTTCTTCTTCTTCTCATTCGCCTCGATACCATATTGACGGGTGCCCATCTTCAAATCCAGCACGCATGGTTTATTCATACCAGCTGTCAGATCCTCAAGGAGGAGGAAGAACTGCACTCTTTCGTCCTTTCTCAGCTGCGCCTCTTTGGGGTTGCTGGGCAAGATCGTGTTGATAGGCTCCTGTGGTTTGAAGCGCGTTGGATCAGAAGTTCTACCGAAAGCAGCTTCGGTTGCGTGGCCACCATTGGTCGAGTTATTTTCCGACACTGGGACCGTGGAGGAACCATTCGACATTGAGGCATCGGCTTCCATGGAGAAAATCCCATCCTCCTTGTCACCGCCATAATCATCGTCATCGAAGAACATGAGTTCCCCATTGTTGTTAGAGTCCATGGTACCACGTCTCCGAAGGCCACTCCCGGAATGACGCCGTCTTGGGTGGTGAACCCGAGAGAGCGAGCTTGCTCGGTCAGGCTCTTCGGTCCGGATCTTCTCTAGACGGTTTTGATTGGCTTCTAGGGCAGTCGAAGCCGACGATGAAAGAGCAGAGCCTTCACTAGGAGTCACCTTTATGTCAATCGCTTCTGTCTTTAGCGCCGCGACTGGGCTAGGGACTGGTCGTTGATTGGTAGCTGTGCAGTCTTCTGATAGATTCTCTCGACGGTGCGTGGCGCCCGGCATATCGGAATTAGCTCTTGGCAAATGGACATGACCACGAGCATGTCGACGATGATGATGAATGGCAGGAGGGCTGAATACCTCGCGGAGAACCTGCTCCTGAAGCTTGAGATTGACGGTCGTGGCGCCCCAGATCTTGGCCCGCTTACTCATAGGCGATGTATCAGACTCCGCTGACATACCTTTCAGACCGTCAACGGATCGTGCGCGGCTCATTGAAGCATCTGCTGTCCGCGGTCGCTGCTGACGAGTAAAAAGATCGGCAGGAATTATATGGCGATTGTTCTCAAGAATGACCTTGGGGATGACTCCTGTGACTTGGGACTGGCTAACAATTCGCTGTGGCGGTTGTTGCTTTGCTGACTCTGGAGGCTCAGAGCTGGGCGTTGAAGTTCCATTGGCTGTCGGATCTGGAATTATTTTATCGGCAGAATCGACCTGGTCCTTTCGTTTGGATGTCTTCGAAAAGGTGACATTCAACACTCCGATGTACCTGATCGAAATATTAGTATTTAAGATGCTGATAACCGTCTGATCTTCGTGGAATTGATTTTACATACTTGGGAAGAAATACCAACATATCTGGGTGCCTCAGTTCAATGCGTTCGTAGAACTCGTTCTCTCGGTTGTTCAACTGCTTGCATACAGCGCGTCTGGAAAAGCGGAAAACAGTTGTGTGCCCGCCAACCTGATGTCGATAGGGCTTCAATTCCACGGCACCAAGAGGCCCCGGGGGCGGGGGTTTGGGACGAGAGAGAAGCCGAGAAGGCTGGGTGGGTGTGGCACTCGGGGTTTCCACCTCGTCAGCAGATGGGATACTTTCATCTGCCGATTGGGGTTCGACTTCGGAATCGTAGATTGAATCGCTGCATTCAGAGATGGTACTCAAAGGCTTTTCTGGCACATTCTCTCGTTGAGAATGGATATCGCCATAAAGGATCTTACTTTCATTCTTAGATCGAAAGGATATATCCACATGGCTGATTTCCTTTTTGGGAGAATCGCTACGCTCTTGAGGTACTAACATCAGCTCATGACCTTTCTCCGCAGCCGACAGCTGACCCGGCTGTACATGAAGAGGGCTATCGGGAAATTGTTGCAGGCCCTCAACCCCATCAGGAACCGTACGCTCGTGGGGGAAGTAAACGGCAGAAGAAATCTGCTCGTTTTCTTCCTCCTCAACCTGACCACGCTCCTCTTCCTCGAAAGAGTTAGACGGGGATACCTCGGCATGAAGATCGCTCTGGAAGTAGTCACGGGCGCGCTCTGAATATTGAGTGGGAATGCTTCTTGAGAAAGAAGACCCATGGCTACCACCAGGCGTGAGATGAAAGTTTCGGATCTCCTCTAGCAAGCTGCGAGGCAAGGCTGTAGGGCCACGCTTGGAGGGGTCATCATCGTATGTGGACTGAGATAATTCAGCCGGGGGAGGTTGGAAAGACGGGGCATCGCCAAGTGCGGAGAGTGATGTGCTTTTATGAAGCGACGTTTCGTGCTCTGAGCGATATGATTCTTGTTCATGTTCCATGATGCGATCCCTCGACTCCAACGTCTCATCTTGTGGTCGGCCGCGATCCTCCCGTCGTTTGCGATCCGGTGAAGAAGCAGTGTTTTCTTTGAAAAGGCCCAGGTAGTGGCTAGACTTACGACTGCGCACGTTAGAGGCCGGCTCCGGGTTGGTAAAATTGGCCTCGATCGAGCTGTCAACTCGGCCACGACGACCTCTGCTGGGGCTTCGCTCAAGCACCACAGGGGTCTGAGGTTTTTCTTCTTTCGCACTGTAGGATAAGGGATCCTGACTGATCTGAGAGCCCTCGTGGCCAGAGGTTGGGATAGTCAAAGAGTGAGAGGTAGAGACATCATCTAATGCAGACGGGAACAATTTCCGCTCAGGTAAAGTGCCTTGGAACCGACTGGTCTTCGTACCTGTGTTATCCCATGGCACCTTGTATCGCTGGGATCCGGCCAAATGAGGCGGCGCACCCGTCTCGACCTCGGTTTTCTTTGAGCGACCAGTCGGCGAGGTCGGTGTGCGCAGCAGAGACAAACGAGGGAGGTCGGTGGATGAGAAGAGGGTCGAGGAACGCAACGGAGAGGTTCTGTGGACGTCAACTTCCATGCGGGAAGGGTCGACGCTATAACGATGGGGAGAGACCTTGGAGAATGCACTTGGAGACACGGATGCATCGTCAAGGCTAGGGATCAAGTTGACCTGGCGTTCATTGCCCAAGGCCTTTTCGGGGGGGAGTTGTGGGGTAGTGGCGGCACTATCAGAGGGGAGGTAATGAGTAGCGAAGATACTGTCACGTTCGGACAGTTGAGGCCTGTAGACAATATCAGGCTGCGCGGTGTTCTCCGGAGGTGTGGTAGCGGTTCTTTTTAGAGGGAATATTCGGGAGACGGGCTGAGACCAGGAATGGGCGGTGGGGGATTCCGCGCGCGACGGTGATAAAACCTCCCCAGAGCCCCGAGACAAATGAGCTTGCGGCAAATGGTGACGTGGGCCACCCCCGATGATATTGGAGCAATCATGTTGGGCCGGTGTAGCAGGTGTCACCAGGGGACTAGGCAAGGTATCTTCGGGAACGGACGGCGAGTTTGACATGGGGAGGACATTGGTCAAGCACAGGACGGGATGGTATGGAAGCGGAAACCGGAATGGTTGGGCGTAAGTAAAAAAAAAAGGAAGATTTAAGACTAAGAGAGAAGCCTAGAACAAGGAAGAAAGATAGGCGGGTTAGAGGAATGTCTATCTATTGGCAATCAAGGGGAAAGAGTTATGGGCACGTTGAGGCAGACAGAGATCTTACAGGCTAAAGGAAAAGCCGCAAATCGGTGAGAAGGCCGGAGGATCAAAAGAGTCAAGGGGAGTTGCAGGGAAAGGGAAATTTGAAGTTTGCGAGAGACCAGCCTTGGGATCGTCACCGCCCTTGAGTGGATCCGATTTGGGCCAAAATTGGGATAAAAATGGGATGAAGATGATATTGGAGATTGAGAAGGAGAGGAAGAGGCAGATCAAGGCAAAGAAAGATGAAGTCATAAGAGAAATATATGGGAGTCCATGGCACGAGACAGTCCAAGTACAGCTTCTATGAGTACCCGGCCTATCATTGTGCAACGTCTTACGAACTTCCTGACTACTGACTGCTAGGGTTCCCAGGCTAGAGATGGAGATTATTATAATAGATTGAATCGAGATCTCGGGATGATATTAGGGATATTTAGGGATATTCAAGAATATAATAGGTATTGTACAAATTACCAAGTAAACTCCCAAGGTTCTCTATTATAAGATCTATCAACTTCTACAAACCAAATATTTATGGCTATATCTTTTGATTCCTATCTGCCAATCATCTGTCTCAATTCATAGTGTGCAGCCATGTCGATCGCTAATAGGTGATTCAGGGGATTTCTGTAACTTGACATCTCGACATCTTGACATCTACAACATAGTATCCTAGGACGGAGTACTGCATACCCCGTACCTTAATAAATACTAGTCCAGTCTGGGGTTAAGCTCGTAGACTAAAACGACCAAGGCTTTTCTTCTCACCAGATGGCCCCATAAGGAAACTAAAAGAACTAAAGCCCCCCCACTTCGAAAAGCCACGCAGTGACCTTATCTCCCGCGGTATAAAAGGTACCATAGATATGTATGGATTTATACTGGATTACTCCCTATTGGTAACCTCAGCACACTTGATTATATTCAAATGGATAATCCAAGACAGGAAACACACAAATTCAATCCAACAGCGCCTAAGATGTGATTGTGATGAGATAAAGTGATTGGGAGCCGAGCGCGTCGTGACCCAACCAGAGTGCTCGGCGATGTGAAACAGATGCATTAGGGGCCACGGAAGAGACTAGGATGGTGTTTCTCAACGAACCAGCTTCTTCGTAGAACAAAAGGAGAGGAGATCCCCGCAGACCTCCGACTTTTGTACTCCCCGCTGACAAGGCTCCTATGGTCTACGACTCCTTAGTTTACTGTCGGCCTCCTTCCACCATGCGCCTTCTTTCACACTTGAGGCCCTATAGGCACTGGGACCTTATACCTTCCATTTCCCATCGCATGTCCTTGAGCACGTTCTCCCTTTTCGTTCATCCCATGAGAAAGCCGTTGAGTCGTATGTCATACAAGGTTCTTCCTTCAATTATCTACCTTGCGATCAAGGCCAAATCTACTATTTTACTCTTGAGAAGATCTCCATCAGAGTTATATCTATTCACTTGATAGGAGGTTCCCGAGAAATATACTGCCTTCAAAAATGAGTCGCTTGAACGTGGATACAGGAGGAAATCACGAGAGGTATTCGTTTATGGAAACACCACTCGAAATGCACCCTTCATCGCACCAACAGAGTCTATCAGCACTTCCTCCAGCGGGCGCGAATGCGCACCCACAGCATCCTGCAGTGGACGAACAGCAGAAAGAGCGACAGCGAGCATGGTCTTATGTACCGAGTGAGAAAGAACAATTTCAGCATCAGGGGATAATCCCGGACTATGCCAACCGTCCGCCCCTCGAGCAGCACCCGGCCAATTATGCGCCTTTGGTTCAAAACCAGGAACAGCAGCAGCAACATAGCACTTCAATATCTCCTCAGACGTCCACAATCGCGCCCGAGCAGCAACAACACCATACCCAATCCTATACCAGCCAGTCTTATACAAACGTAGCCGAACAGCCGAGTCACACGGTGTCTCCCCAGACATATGCGAGTCAGTCGTATACAAATACACCAGAGCAACAGCAGCATCAATGGCACCAACAGATTGGCATGACCATATCTCCTCAGTATGCGAACATACCCGAACGACAGCAGAACAGCACCCCGATGTCTCCCCACTCATATGCGAGTCATCCATATGCGACGCAGTCATACCACATCCCGAATCAACATCGCGACATCGAAATACCCTCCCAGCAATATGCCTCGTATACCGAAACCCCCAGCTCGCCACCCCCGAACTCACCAGGGCCACTGCCCCTGAAAGTAAACCCCGAAGGTCCACCACGAAGCGAAAGCGTGCCCATTGTTCCCGACGAGAATCCCCTGCAGTCACCCATATCGCCCTATTTTCCTCCGATTACTAGACCGAAAACATCGCATGCTCCCCAGCCGGATGATCTGAGCTCATACCACCAGCCCGGCCAAACAACCCATCCAAACCAGGAGATAAAGGGCGGAGGATGGAGCAACAGACTGTGCGAATTTTCGAATTTCGGAATCTGCTGTCTAGGACTGCTATGTCCGTGCATTTTGTACGGGAGAACGCAACACCGACTCTCGATGAAATCGAGAAAGGAAGACCCGACCAACATGCTCGGCTATGAGACCTGCAACGGGTCGTGCACGGCGATGGGACTACTATGCGGATGTCAATGTAAGTCGAAGTCCAATTTCAACCTCAGTTTTAAGCTTGAGTGAATATCGCGACCGAGCAACCGAGAAAGAAAAAAGCACCATTCTGACACCAGCACAACAGGGTTACTGGCCACGGTCCAACACACTAGAACGAGAAAGGCATATGGCATCCAGGGTAGTATCGCATCGGACTGCGTGAGGGCAACCTGCTGTACATGCTGCACATTGATTCAGGACGAGAAGGAGATCCAGAAGCGCGAGGAGTATCGCTCCCGAGCGGCTAGGGAACGGGGGACGACTCTGCTCTCGCCGTATACTACTCCCGGGCCAATGTCGTATGGCCCGCCACGGAGATAATGCGCCATGGTTAGTGAAGAGCGGTTTCGATGGCGTGGAGTGTCTCTATGTATATAGTTTATGCATTGTGATGTAATAGCGTTTATCATTTGATGTATGTTTTTATTTACTCGTAGGGACAGAGGAATTCGTAGCCTGTCAGCATTGTCAATCTACCGACAAGAATTCAAGATTGAAGCTGGCAGTTACGTATGAAATCTACTGCTCTCATCAATTTTGCAGATAATTGCATGCGGTTGGTGAGATGTGATTCATCATATTGCCACCTACGTTGGAAACAGGGCATGGTGAGGGTTGAGATCAGGTTAGGCACAAGCAGAGAACCAAACAGGAGAAATCGATTAAATCTGGTAGAATCAACGAGAAAATGCACATCTTCATCTCTAAGCATTTACTAGCTTAACAACCAACGTGTAATCCTATGGCCATAGGTATCCACTCAAGCTCTATAGTTTGAAAGCCAATAATTGAACCCTTTCGCGACTTTTACTAGACATATGTCCATAGACGAGTACGAACCACTAAACCCTCAATAAGAGTACTCAAGGGTCTCGCCCACCACATATCAATCCCAGACCGGGCATTCGAGCCATGGCAGCAGGCCACCCTCCAAGGTATGGAAGGTAGCAATTCAGTTCGCAATTTAAGGTAGAGTACAGAGTACTACCGACACCTAGTCGCCCCTGGGATGTATCATATCAATAAACTCAAGAGAGGTCGTGCGATCCCACGATCGGACAAACCAAACTGGCGGGTCGACACCGATCTCACCGGGGCGATGGGTCGATGCGCCACGATGATCCACTAAGTGGCTCACCCATTCCCTCTGAAGAGTCTACGGAGTCCCTTATGTGTATCCGCACTGCAACCTCGGCTGTCAAGCTAGCCATGGTAATATGCAAGGCGATGCATTGAAGGGGCGCATGGATCGTAGATATCTTCACGTCAAAGCTGATGTATCAATTGGTAACGGGGGATCTCTTCCTCGGAAAAGGTTGATACTAGTCGTCAAAGCCCTTGTTGTTCCCTGAGTAGGTTTTGACTAGTTGCACTGCCGTTGGTCGGCTAATATGTAAGGGTGGGATATATATCAGCTACTATTGTGGGAGAGCAGCCATTCCTTAAGGTTATATCCAAGGTGAGACCTGTTCATTTCCTTGTTCGCTTCTGTGTATATAGTTGATCTAGGATTCCTGCGTCACGCTGATATCGGTGCTTCCACTCATTTGGAGAGTCACTCTCTATACTTGGTGATACGTGCAATATGGCGGATTCAGTGGCCCAGACCATCCATGGCTATGACCATGATAACTTGCGCCATGTGGTTGTCACCTCGACTTGCTTTGCCTTCATCTTGTCTACTACCGCAGTTGGATTCCGCATCATCTCTCGGAAGATCAACGGCAGCGGTCTTTTTGCGGATGACTGGCTCATTATCATTGCGTTGGTGAGAAGCACGCCTTGATTGTTTACGACAAGGCTAACTTGCAAACAGATCTTCGAATACGGTATATCGATAGCAGGAGTTGTTTGTACGTCGAATATCATTCACCTAAAGCAGCCAGGAGCTAACGCACGGCAGTACTCTACAATGGACTCGGAACCCATATCGTCGAGATCTCCCCCGAACAGCTCGTTATCTACTTGAAGGTATGGAATTGCATCCGATTCGCTATGAAACGCATGCGTGTACTAATAGACTCACAGACACTGTTTACAGGCTCGATCCTCTATACCGGCTGCATTGCAAGCATCAAACTATCCATCCTGATGCTTTACCGAAGACTGTTCCCTGTCAAGAGCATGAAGTACGCCGTCAGTATTGTATCTCTGATTGTGATTCTGTGGGCTGCCTGCGGTATTCTCGCGGGCTGCTTCATTTGCATCCCAACCGAGAAGCTGTGGCATCCCATGCTACCAGGTGGTTGCATGAATCTGTCAAAATTCTACTACGGTCTTCAAGTCCCCAACATCGCAACGGACGCAATCATCCTCCTGATGCCGATGCACATTGTGTGGAACCTTCCCATCTCCAAAGTTCAGAAGCTTGGTCTTTCCGGTATTTTTATTCTGGGAGTCTTGTAAGATTGTACTGTCTCTATTCGAAGTGGTCTTCTAATTAATGCAGGACTTTAATATTCGACATCATTCGTCTGGTTGTCCTGATTCAGCTTTCCACCCAGGGTGAAGACATTACCTGTACGTGGAATTATTCCCCAACCCACATATAAGGGCTCCTCACTGATATAAAAATAGATAACCAAGTCCCAGCAAGCGTGTGGACTTGCATCGAGCCCGCTGTCGGAATAGTTGCCGCCTGTCTGTCAAATATGCGGCCTTTGTTCAAGGTCATTCATACCAAAGTCTGGTCTAGGCTTTCCAGCCGATACGCCACCCACACGAACAATCCCAGTGATTCACAGATTAACGAGAAGGGTGTTTGGCCGCGACAGACACCTAGCCCGAGTAATTCTCCCAGTCCCAGTGGTGATTTCGACCAGTCGCCTACTCATAATCAGTCTGCTGTGTAAGATACGATCGGGACTACATCTATATGGATCGGATTTTTTTTGCCTTTTTACGAAGGGGGGAGGTACCGTCTCATTCATTCCTTTTTGTCTTTTGTCTTTTTACCTACAACGAGAAAGCCAGGATCGATTTGTTAGCAATTTTCTAGATCTTTAAGAGGAATCGAACACAAGAATTCAAACAGAGCTATTGTCTTTTGTCCCTATTAAGTAATTTTCAGCCAATCGACAAAGTCATTGACTCAGTGCAACTAGCAGTACCGGAGACATGAAAGAGTGGAATAACCACCCGAGGAGAAATGACAACGAAACAAAGGCTTTTATAGCCTTTGGTACCTTTATTTCTCCACAGAAAGGAGTTCAATGCTTAGCTAGCTGAACATCAGCCGAAAATTTCATAAATAGCTCCCATTGCAGCAATTTCCCTAACATTCAACCCTCTAAGAATAAGTTCCGCACTCTAATTTTCTTTCAGTCCAGCTGATTTATCATTGATAAGAAGACCTAGGTAAGTTCCAATTCCCGACCCTGCTTAGCTCCGAGTTTCTAAAAGATGTATAACTATGAGCCAGCACGCTCGCAGTGGCAAAAAAGCTTCCAAATGGAGTGCCGCATTTTTGTGAAACAGGCAGAGGCTCTAGCTAATTACACCAGAAAACATCCGGAAAATTATGATTATGAGCAAAACTGCAATGTCCATAGAGGGCTTATCAGACTGTGGTCTCAAATAGCGCGAGTGAAAGACACTAGGCTTGATATGGTTGCGGAAACCCCGAGATGTCCTCTCGTTCTGAAGCAACGCAGCTATTGGTTCATACGGGATCTTGCAGACCAGACCGAGTTTGAAGACGATTGCAATAAGATAGAGGCCCGTCTGGAGGCAATGGCGGTAAAGGTCCAAACCCGCGAGTTAGAGAACCTTTGGATTGCTGGAGTCCTTAAGTCGACGGCTTTGCATATTCAGGACAAATTCCATATATAGATTATATATCTTATTGGAATTGGTGTGTAAATCTGTATGGATTCAGCATAAATTCGAGCCTTCATTATTACATCACATAGAGTTTTTATTTCAGCCTTAATATATAAGCCCGATAGCATCTTTCATTGTGACATCAACTCAACACTATATTCGTCGCTAGTACATCTATGGCCTCATCCTCAAATTGCCTCCTATGCGGAGTGCAGCTTTTGAGGATTACTGACTTCCAACAGATAAATTCACTCCGTCACATTGATTTGGTACAAGAAAAACAATAGAAGCACCATAAGAAGGCCAAGCTTAAACATGTAATGGTCCCATCAAAGGAGGTAGAGGAGGCAGAATTTGAGAAGTATCCCAACATATGGACATGCATGTGTCGAGCCAGTGAGTTTTATATAGTCGCGCCCTAGACCCAGTTTACCCTAACAGACACAGTTATCAAAGAGCCCGATAGCAAATACTTTCTAAGCGGTATCACTGCACTTGAAGAAGGATACCCTAATCCCGGGATTATTCCAAAAAACCCCGGCATGGCACGAATTGGTGGGAGAAGACTTGAAAACCCCCGATACGACGACACCTTCATTCGATTCCATCCAGCAATACTCGAAAGACAACCGAGAGAGTACAAACGCAAAAATGTCGGATTCGTTGTCCATGCCCACTGCTGGGTTCTTCTTAACCACATCATACCAACGACACTGATCGAGAGCAAAATGGAGAAATTCGTTCGCGCTGCCCGACAATACTGGCGTAGCCGCGAATCGTGGGGAGCTAATGATTATCCGTTCAGGATATTGAAACGTAGGCAGACGAGACTTAGGATTCGGTCGGGATATTGGCAGTGGAAGGATTGGGATCCAAAGGACTCCAAATATGCCTGTGATATTTACAGGAGTCCTCTCATAGTGCCCGAAGTTCAAAGAGCAATTGAAAGCGCAAGGAAGACCAAGAAGGAACGTGTGCAATCCCGTTACAGTGACGTGCCATTGGAAGTTGCGATTATGATTGCCGAGCTCATCTGCCCTGTTGACTATACACCGGCTGATTTGAAGAACACACGGAATATGCTTTCTGTATTGCAGTGGACATTGCCTGATTGGTTTTGGAAGAGGCGGTTAAAAGAGGAGATCTTCATTGAGTTGAACTCACTCAGGGAGGCCAACTGTTCAATCGATTGGCAGGGCCTACGGCTTGATTTGATGGGTCTTGTTTTTGATAAAAACTGGTATGTTTTCAGCGGTTTGCCGAATCGTGAGCGGGTGCTTGGCTTGATGACGGGTATCAAGTCGAATTTTCTCGAAAAGTGTTGAGGGTGGAATGAATTAGGAGGACTTGCTATATTAGTGATGTGAAATGAATCGCCGGTTAGGTATAACGGACTGTGATGGCTCTTTATGAATGTTAATACTGCTATCTCTTGCTACGCTTGTATTTGTAGAGGCGCTAATGATGGGAAAGGTACTCAGTACTTATCACAAGGTGGAGTTATCCGCAGATTGCCACGTACCGGGTACTTTATACTAACATCGCCATTTTGAAGGTCAGGCAATGCCGCAATGCCTTACGCCCAAGCGAAGATGCCTATTGCCCACGCCATAATTACAGACGTGAACGGTTAACATCAAATATGTGCGGAGTATGTCCTACACGTAGCAGGCGCTAAGACAGCATCCCCGCCCACATGTGTGGACGTCAAAGCTCCGATACTCGGTCCAACGCTTATCCAAACCCCGAAGTGGGAATTGGGCTGCACGGTCTAATGCCAAATGTACTTTTTGTATAGGATGCAGCCCAACTCCCGACAAGGTTGGGCCGTGCGTTAAGCCGAATAGAGGCGTCTGCGGGTTCTTAAGAGGCGTTTTCTCCTTTGTTTTTTTTTTTTGCCTGAATATGCTCCCTTGAGATTGACGACCTTCACGTACACCCAACATGCGCGGTCTCGACGATAGCACTGATGTATTTATACGCACTGGCCAAAAGGCCCAGAAACATGTGCGGCTTGCTTGGGAGGGCTTCATCAATTTTGCGGCACGGGATAACGTTCTCGAGGTTGCGTTGGGTTTGATGTGAGCTCTCCCTATCGCATAAAACTAACAATCAAAATGCTAACATCTCAAAAGTATAGCCAATGCGTTCACTAAAGTCGTCACATCTTTCGTCACAGACATAATTCTGCCGATTGTCTCTCTACTGCCATTCCTGAACCGAAACATGGATCAGAAATTCGCCGTTCTCTCCAAGGGTCCGACTTACGACCAGCAGAATGGGTATAATACCCTATATCAAGCGAGAGAAGATGGTGCACTGGTTCTGGCTTATGGGTATGTGGACCCACCTCAGATACTCATGGAAGGTCTCTCCCATCGATCAGTTTTATCTCACATTTATGCAGACTGTTTGCCGAGACAGTTCTCAACTTCCTGGGTGTCAGTCTTACTCTATACGCGGTCGGAAATATGTACATGATGATCTTTCCCGACAAGATCATCAAGCCTACTGTCCGGTGTCCATACTGCAGGCAGTATATCAGTAAACAGGTAAGTGGTCTGATCGGGTGTGAGTTTTACCTCGGCTAATCGTTGATTGTCCAAAGGCGCTTCGCTGTCGCCATTGCTCAACATGGCAAGACGGAAGGGAAGACGAGCCTCGGAGTGATAAAAGCTCTCGCGAGGAACTGGCTGGTGCCGAGCCGAGTCGTGCTGGGCAAATTTCCTAGGTTGTACTAGATGACGGTGGATTTGTGAGGTACTGTTACCCTCATGTGCGCCCACGTGAGGGTAACAGGTACAGACAGTTTCCCGTTGCAATTTTTGTGCAGTTGTTTAGCGAGTCCGATTATGCACGAGTAGATGATGAGATTTGATTTATTGTTGTTATTGATCGAGGGCCGTGAAAACCTCGGAAAGACCGTTGGATTTGATGAATTGAGATGTGAATTGAATGTACAAGAAGCTGTATAATACAGACACCAGAATGCCAGATCTAGATTTCTATACCTCTATATCGACCACCATTCGAATTCAGTCATATCCTGTACCGGCAAAGTATGTTGCTTGCGGCGCCACGTCCTGCGGGCATGCTTGATGAACGCGTCGGGAGGAGACCAGGCTGCCTCCCAGGTCTGAGGGTGTCGCAGAGTGGTTTTAGATTGGAGAATACCAAAGCGGAAATCAAGGGGATTGAAAGTCCCTGGAGGAGACGGCAGTCGCATGTAGTAGCGGACGCTGTCGGGAATCTCATCGGCCACATGGCTAGTCATGATCAAGGCTTGATCCTCCGTGAGACCAGTGAACCGGAATTCCGACTCCTTCGAGGAGCGGGCTTGAACATTAAGTGCACGGCGTTTAGGTCTCTCGCCATTTTCTAAGAAATGCAAGCACGCGTTACGCTGTGCTGCAGATAGGCCCGAGAAAGCTTCGTCGAGAATAACAATGTCCGGCTTGGCGACGATGGCCCGGAGGAAAAGCACAATGCGTTGTTGTGCGGTGGTGAGCTCACTGAAGAGAATTTCATCTGCGTATCCAACAATGTGATCCATTAACGCGTATGTACCTAGCTTGACGTGAGTCCGCTTCGTGAGTGACGGGAGACCGGCAGTCGATATTTTTGGTACCTCGCCCGGGGCGTAATTTGGATCCAGATAGGGCTGGAAGAATTGCAGGACTGCGGATATATCTTGATCGCGTTGAATGTTCAGCTTCGGCTTTGACAGGAAGGTCTCGGCGAAGGCACTCTCAAGTGCTGCACGGATTGATAATTGACGCGGGAAGAACGCATGGATCTCCGGTGATGAATGTCCAATGCGGGACTGCAGTTCGAAGATTGAAATTCCTGGTTTGCCAGGCTCCGGAAGCCTGGATCGTCCGAAAAGTTTGACAGGCTGTGCATACGCTTGCGGATGGTCGGATGTGACCATTGATAGCAATGTTGTCTTGCCTGACCCGTTGGGACCAAGGATCGCCCAGCGTTGCCCCCGACGTACTCGCCAATGCAGCCCATCCTTTGCTTCGCCATTTACGTTCTGTTGCCAATTACCGAGTACTACCTTATCCCCGTACTTGACATGAACTCCTTCCATATCAATGACTGGCTCTCCGCCCAAGGGTGCATGGACTTCTGTGGACTTTATCTCATTCGTATGCGCCACTAAATCCCCAAGGAGTTCTTTGTCCAAAACACCAGCCTTCAAGTCTGCTGTACATTTCTCCAATATTTCCGCTTGCTGGTCGGGTAAAGAGTCCGGCTTAGATTTATTTGCGACGTAGCTCCAGACATTGAGCGTGTCTTCGATAGCTGGCTTTGGCCCTTGCAGGAGAACCTTATGGTCATTGCCCAAAATCATAATGTGTGTGATCCAGTCCGGCACCTTGTCCTGGGGGCGCAGAGCTAGAATGAGCCGCGGGGCGCTCTTCTTCGCTAATTCATGAAGAAGGTTAGAGATCTTCCTCACTGCCACCGGGTCCAATCCCACTAAGTAGAGGTTAGAATATCACAGCCATCGAATGTGAATCAGAAACACTTACTGAATGGCTCGTCAAGAAGCAATAGCTCTGGTTTGCTTAGAATAGCCTTTGCAATTCGCGCTCGACGAGTTTGACCATTGCTTAGACTCGAGACTGGCAAGAGGAGAAGATTTCCTAGCTCAAGACTTTCAATGGTCCGCTGGAGAGAGAGTTCATCATGTAGCGTGCCATTTTCATCGCCCTCCATCGGATTCAAGGAGGTCTGCCCACGCAAGTATTGCAGCACGGTCCAGTCGGTTTCCTCCCGGTGACTCTCATAGCGAGCACTGAGATATGCGCCACGGACCCCTCCAATGGCCCCCGAGCCCTCGCCGCTGAAACCAACATATTGGACCGCATTTTCAATCACGCGTAGCCGTGGGTCTTTTTCGGCGATCTCGTCTGTGAGGAGGTACGGATATGAACGTGCCTTGGGCGGGATACAGATGTGTTGGCCGCGGAGGATATGCAGGAGGTCGGTTCGACCGGCTGGACCGATTATAGCCCAGTGTTGCGGAGGTGCCTCCTTGGTTGCACCGTTAACATAAATAGCGGGCAGAGTGAAGTTCAGGTTTGGGAAAAGAGGTGGATTGGACGTGTCTTCGGAGGTTGGGTATTTCTTGTAAAAGGTTCCATCTTCAATACGAAGGAATGGGATTTCAGACTTGAAACGGGTCGGGCGGTAAGCCGTGAGCCGCAATGCCCTCGGTCGCAATTTCGTTCGGAGTAGCATTGTCGCCATCAACTTCCTGGAAACGTCGCAAAAGTGCGGAGATTGGAGATTGGAGATTCGGGGTTAACATTTACAGGTCACGTGACCTCAAGCTGATTCGGCCGTACCTGAGCCTCAAACAGATCCATGATTCGCTACAATACAGTTACATGGTAGAGATCACGAAGGCTGTATATTTGCAATGGCTAATAATCGAACTAGGACATGATATCAGGACTTGTCCCATTATATCATGTGACCATTTCAATGTCCACTTTTCTGCCTCATCCGAAGCAGTCAAGTAACGTCAACAACCAAGTCGTAGATAACTAATCTGAATCTGATATTGATCATCTCTAAGCACATGGAATATTCTCTCGGAGATTGAAACGCCTGAATACCTCACGTGACTGTTCCGATCTGATCGCATCCGATCCCGGGGCCGGATAGCCGTCTGTTTCGGATCTGCATCGTGCGGGGGGGGGGGGGGGGGGGGGGGGGGGGGGGGAGAGGGGGGGGGGGGGGTGGGGGGGGTTGGTGATTCGGGGGGGGG